TATATCGATGCCTTTAAGCCCTTTCTCTTTCTTCTAATTCATTTTATACACCTCGGTAATGGAAGGTTAACATTGTTTAAAATAATTGAGGTATTACCGAGGACTTAACACGTTTACTATCAGCATCGCATCCTATTGGCTAATCCTGAAAATTCATTTCACAGAATTAAAAATAAAATCAACTTAAACAAAATTGAAAAAGAGTTGAAATAAAAAATGTCTTCCTATTTGATAAATCAAACTTTATCCACTTATGCAACACTGTATTCGAGTTGAGGTTAAGAATTAGTAACAGATAAGTGATTTCGAAGGACAAACATGACGTAAGAAACAAGCGAAGGTCATTTGTTCCGAAGTTAACCAAGGCTGTTATTGTTTTCTTTTTACTATAATAAAGTAATAAATATATTTAATAATTTCGATGATATTCTCATTTATGGAATATATTATTTAATTTACGATCTGGTAAAATTGGATGAAAGAGGTTGACGAACTTTCGTTCTGCTTGAAATACATTTGTTACAGATTAACTGAAACAGAAAATAAAGAAGACATGGGAAGACGAACAAAGCCAGCACGTAAGCGTATAATCTGGAAGCATTACGAAGACCCTAAGAGATTACTTGTTGCGGTGCAACTCATCATACCTGTATCCAGTTTAATCTCATCAAGGAAAAATCATGTAAGTATGTCGTTGTCACCGCAAAAATAAAATAGGATAGTCATATTATATCCAGCCGTATGAATGCAGCTAACTTTGTTTGTGTTACGTGTATCCTGATCAGATTCCCTGAAAGCAAATTCCGTACATTTATATCGAAGAAAAAATGGCGGACACATTAGTTCACTGAACTCTGCTAGTTTTCTAATTCATTTTAACGTATACAAGAATTTTAAATGTGAAAGCGCATAAAATTTCAGAGAAAAATAGTATAATACATACCATGTGTTTGTACTTTACATTAAACCATTCGCCATTTTCTAATTTTGCAAACCATCCGCCATTACTATAATTTCCCGCCGCGCGATTTCTAACCTATTACGCGTCGTCACGATTACGAATTAAAAAGAAAAAGAATAAATAAATCGTATTACAATCATTAATTCATCGAAACGAGAATGATAAATTATGAGAAAGCATTATTCTAATTAAACAGTTGGAAATTTATTTCAGCACTTACACAAGTTCGTTAATTCGCTTTGTACCGCGCGATCAATTTATTCGTTTATCCGCGTTACCACCTGGCAACATTTCTATTTTACGATTATTAATATAAGATGTCAAAGAAAAATTTCTCGAAACGATAACGAAATATTTTCCGTAGCTAACTCACTGTCGAAAATAGAATCCGGAAATCGTAACTGCCTACAGAGGGGTCTCGAACTGTCAAAAGCAAAGAAGCATCATTTCCTTCCGGAAATCCTAATTTCACAGACTGTTTCGTGCGCCACCGATTAATTCTCAAATGACAGAACGAAAACCTATGAAACGTATACAATGATACCTCGACTTTCGTCGAAACAAAAGGTTCATTTCTCATCTTTCCAACCTTTCACTGCCACTTTGTTTGCCATCACGTTGTCGATGTTCTACGACCACTTTGCAGTGGCAGATATCGATCAGAAACGTAGTACAAACTACTGTCCCATATATATACAATCACGATCGTACTATTTTCGTGTCTTGCTCGTACCTCGTTTCTTTACCTTTCGTCTTCGTCCTTTTCGTTAGTCACACGAGAGAGTGTGTAACCCGCGACGAGTCGGGTCTATCGACCGGAGGAGAACCGGAGGGCGGAAGAGGGTCAGAGACGAGAAACACCAGGAACGAAAACTCAACTCGACTATAATTATTCGTACAACAACATTCGCATCGCGGCACAATCGTTAAACGGAGTTTCGCGTATCCGAAGATTAGTCATCCTAGTTCAACGGCCACCGAATTTTAATTCGTTTAGGGCGCATTTAAAGCGATTACTACTTTTGCACTGGTACGCAGAGGTCGCTAAACGTCGTACTCGTCCTCGTGGTAATAATCCGTTTCATCGTCCTTATTTTTAACATCTTTATGGTTAAACAGCTTTATTCTTACCTTAATCCGTCATATTTATTCACGAAACAAGAATTTATGTTTACTTTTACAATTCGGTATTGTTTTTAGGGTAGTTCGCAACGCTTCCAGGTTCAGCGGTGAAAGGTACAATGGCTGAAATTGATCTACCGTGAAATCTCGTTTTTCGTACAACTTTTACACCTCTTTATTTAATCCTATAATATTTTATAATTCGACAGTAAATTTTATCACGGAATATATATTTACAATTAATGAACAATAATTAATCTTATTTCGATAATCAAATCAGGGTAAACGTAGTTGGCGTAGTACATCGGGAACTATCACAGGATTTCGGTTGAAGGACATAGGTTCCTTTAAAAATTATATATATGCGCGTTTACAGATAAATTGAAACGAAAAATGTAATTAAGAGAAATGAAACTGTCGGGCTGCAACAAAATAACGAAAAGTATGAAACAGAATGATAGAAAATCGTAAGAAAAGTATGAAATAAAAAGAAAATAGAGGGAGAGACATTTTGCCCCTGTTACGTTTCTCTCTCTCTCTCTCGCACACACACCCTGCATATTGCTCTTTCTCTGTCTCTCGCTACTCCCGCTTTACCCTTTGCGAAAATCGATTCGCTACCGGCCTAGAGAGCACTACACGTCGAATAGCAGGAGAAAATGTATTTTCTTAGAATAAAAATCTTACCTTATTACTCGTCGCATCAGCCAGCACTTATCCTATGCGAGGACCTCCACGGCACGAGTAACTGCAGCTCATCGACCGGCGTAATCAGTTCTTCTTCTATTATTATTTTTACTACTAGAAACTCAACTATTACACTTAAAGGACGGTCCTCGTGAGCGGTGAAAGGTAAACTAACGATATCACGATTGAAACGGCCGTAAATACGATGAAATGAAATAAAACCTCGGCTTAATACATTCTTGACGCACACCCGTCGGCCGACGACGCCAGACTGCGCGTGAGCGCCACCTTTCTTGCCCGTTCTGCTCATCCCCACCACTACCCTTTGTATCGGTTTACAACGGCTATCTTTCTCTCTCATTATATCATTGTATTTTTTATCTCCCTCTTTCTTTTCCACCCTTTCGCGTTTCATTTTCTGCTCCTAACTTTACTTTCGTTCCTTACTTAATCCCTTACACACCTATACTTGTCTTATAAATTTCTTTCTTCTTTCGTCTATCTTATTGTCCTATAATTTATTATATCGCGTTTCTATATTTTAGAGAGTTCTTTTATCCTTCTATTCATCTTTATACTGTTTTCCCATCGTCATGTAAACGTACCTTTCTCTTTATTAATACGGTACCCGTATTTTTACCCTTTTGCTCGTTCATGAACAAAGCCTCCTTCCGCGCCTGCGTATCAATGTCACCGTTGCGAATGGAACTGCGTCTGCGTTCCTCTAATATTCTGCCTCCCTAATTCTTTTAGTATTTCTCTTTTTTTCATTTCTTTCGAAACCATTTATTGTAGTTAGCGTGATCTAAAAAGAATTATCTATCCGTTCCACCTTTCTGCCGTCGAAAATATGGCACGTCGCCTGTCGACGTTGCCCACCGGATGGTGACACGCGTTTTATCATCCTGCTGCCACCGTTCGGACACGTGATCATGCAAAAGTAAATTATGCACGTCTGGGCACAAATAACATTTCGCCTATATTCCATTCTATTACAAAAACTTGTAGAACAAGTACAAAAGGGGAAATGCACGCGATGGGGGGTAATATCGGTGATATTTACTACTTAATATATAGGGGACAAAATGCGTACTACGTTTTCCCACGGCTGCCCTATACACCATATGTTCCAATCGCACGCAACAGTTACAATTACGTCTCCGTAATTTAAAGGCTATAGTTAGGTTCGTGAGTTCATCATAAAACAATTAAATGAATAATGTCATTTGATAGAAATAGATATTGCAATGCTAGAAACACCTGTTCCATGTTAGTTAAATATGAGTAACAAATGTTCAAGGGATATCAGTAGATGTTCCTAAGTATCTTCAAGTACTTTCTTATCACTGAATCGTGCATTGTTCAAATTTCCAGCCTAGGAACAATGCGATATCTCGAAACCAGAGTGCAACGTCCACTGTATTATTGATGTACTCTCCTTGTAGCCTCCTTCAATCGAGAACTCGCTACTTGTCTCTTTTAAAGTTCCCAGGAATATGATACACGTGTCGTCTTAGGTTATATAAGAATATTTATATTGTGCAGTTCGCGATTCAGAAGCATATGTTGTATCAAATATTTATTTCTAGCGAATTGAAAAAATAATAAAGTGAGTGACAATAATTTCGCTCAAAAGAAAGGTTCGTCTAAAGTACGACCGACATTTAGGTGCGGTCTTTTCCAGATAAATTCACTACATTAGAAAAACGGCACTCCCACAATGATTTCTCTATTAAAAACCTTTAAATCGATACGCGTATCATTCGAGTAAGAAAAAGAATGAGTAATACCTTATGTAAGCAACACTAAATTTTGTTCAGAAGAAATGCAAATGTAAAATAGCGTATACTTAACGAAACTAAGACTAAAAGCAAAATCTCTTTACACTAGTTGCCGTCCAGTCATCTAAAACTATGTGTAACACCTCTGAATGTCTATAATTACGGGTCTAAAATTAAATGAAACGTTTTCTCGTAACAGTTTTGAAAAATCCGCCATAAAACAGTACGAAGGCACTAATGGCGCCATCCGTGGCAAAACGCTGAACTACAACGAAGTTGCAGACGGTAAATTACCAACTGCATCCTTCAATTATCGACTGGGTGAGATATGTCGATAAAAGGATTTCTCCTATGATAAAACGTTCCTTTCACAAAAGTCCGCTATAAAAAAAGTGCGCTGCTAGCCCATTTTGGCGGTCCAGTTTATGAGAATTCTGTTTTTTACTACAGTGATTACGAATAAGAATCCTGGATATTTTATTCAATTCAATTCATGACGTTTATTTGTTGGTGATTCTGTATCGAGTATTAACACCAGGATTTATAGCAGGTATGTATCGTACATCAAATTACTATACTAACATCAAAAATATGTCGCATTCAATTTTAGAAAACTTTCGACGCTTCAGAGCTTCGCCAATTACGATATTCTCTAATTATACTTAATCACAATTCGTAAATTGTTATTATCGATAACAAGGATCATCGATTTTTAGATTAGATCGTATTCGATGAATCGGTAAGAGATCATCAACCTTTGTCCTTGTTCTCCATCACTTCTTCGTCCATGTTTTCATGAACAGAATCGATGTGATTTACATCCACCTCGATTACGAAAATGGAGGCTGGCGGTGTTTCTTCAACGTGATCGATTTCCGCTGGAAGTAGCGGCATCAAAGGTTTGTAAGTCTGTAATTCTATAGACGAAATGTGAGGTGAAGTTTTCGAATCAATTCTATTATTCCTAAAACTATCGCTTTCGTTTCGGTGAAACTCGCCACCATTCTGATCTCTATTATCATTTACAGAAACATCCACCTCCTGTTTGTCACTTTGCGAAGAACTAGATCCGTTAGTGCTACAAAGTTCTTTCTCCCGAATGGAAACGTTGCGAGGAGTCGATGATGATCCTTTCAATTTGACGTCAGTCACCTGTTATTTAAAACACGCGTTATTACACCATCGAATTTTTTCTTGATAAGATAAGATACATGTATATTTCCAACAGGGAAGAGAGATCTTCTGATAAAATCTGAGTTTTATTCATCAAAACTTCGAGGATGATCGACTGCAGCTGTAGAAGAGCACCGATAACGAGTGGATCGCTAAGTTAAATTAAATGACGCTATCTACCAGGGCCGACCCTGGACCTAGGCAGATTAGACGGCCGCCTATGGCTCCCCATGGTCCAGGGCCCCCATAAAATGATTTTGCGACTAAGAGTGCAAGAACAGTAATGTTTATTAATAGAGAAATTGGTAATTTGGAAGCTGATAATCTGAAAAATGGTGATTGGGGAATTGGTGATTTGAGAATTGATAATTTGGAAAATGGTAATTTATGAATTGCTAATAGAGAAATTGGTAATTTGGATAATATTAATATTAATCGATGTAAATGCAAATCTAAATTAGTTATACAAGCTTTAATGTTAATTTTATAAATTTTATTTCAGGTATTCTTTTTTATCTGAAGGGGCCCTTTTTCGGAGCTCGCCTCGGACTCCCGAAATCTCAGGGTCGGCCCTGTTATCTACCCCTGAAGTACAAGAATATTGTTCTTTTTCCCACAGTCGAATGCTGTTCAAAGAATTACCAAACCTTACCTGACGCAGTAAACTTGATCTTTGCCCTCTGGCTGCAGGTGGACCTCCCATTTGCCTTTGATGTTGCCTCTGAGAACCCACCAAAGACCCACGATCCTGTATCACGCTGATAACGCTGGATTTCACGTCGCTATGCGGGAAAATCAGCCTCCACATGAAGTTCTTCAACGCTGCACGAAAATCTTTCAGATGGTAGGCGTAAAGTAGCGGATTACCAGCCGAGTTAAGGTGCGACAGGATGATGCAAAAGTTCATCAGGATATCGTTCACCTTGCACCGTGGACAGAAGGCCATGATGCAATTAATGGTGTACAGAGGGAACCAGCAGATGATGAAGAAAATTACAATGCGAGATAGATTCTGCGTCGCTTTTACTTCCCGCTTCCTAGCTGCTCCGAGTAGACGCAACATCGTACCTGTTGTCTGATTTCCGGTCCTTCTACCCGGATTCATCGTTACAATTTGTTGCAACTATTAGAAATATATAACACAGAGATATAGGACGATTTTGAAATGAGAAAAGTCTGGCATAATTTGACGGCATAAAAGTATAACAAAATGACACTTATGATACACCAATTTAAAGCTTAAATTTTAAAGATGATTACATAAGGGTTCTATCAATATTCTCAACACAAAATGGCTGATTCTTTGTTGGAACAAACAATTGGATACTCCCTAATGGACAGTTCTAACGATAAGCTGTAAATTGATTGATTCATTGTTTTTGTTCTAATAAAGTATCAATCAATTTCTACTAAGAATATCGATGAAAAGTTTATGTAATCATTTCCATTAAGCCTTAAGCTTGAAATTGACATGCTGTAAGTGTTATTTTCTGATACTTTTATGTCATCAAATCTTGTCAGACTATAAATTGAAATGGGATGAAAGGAACACGTGTATACTGAATAGGATGTACGACATAGAAACATGTTCCTTTCATCCTACTTTAAAGTCCGTTTGAGATGTTAACAGGTTTACATATAATAAACCATTAATCCACGTATCGATGTGCGTTACATATGTATTAATTAAAAAGGGTAAATTGCGACGTCTAGTAAACATCAAGTGATCTTCATTAATTCGTTATCCTCTGTTTGCATATCGCATATGTATATGATCGTGTATTTACGGTTAAAAGTGTCTGACCTGCTTTACGACCACTCGGTATATATGGGCGTAGAAGGCTGCAATTAATAGCGCGGGAAAGATGATCGTAGCGAAGTAGAGGAACACCAAGTAATCGTAATCCATCACTTCGGTGAAGATACATTTCTGGTTTGACCTCTCGCCCGCGTTCCAGCCAAAAAGTGGCAGAAAACCGACCAGAGTGCCGGCGATCCAGCACACGCAGATTATACCTAAAAAAAAGTACATTATCTATTAATTTAATTTTTATTAGTTATATGAATTATTCGAATTTATTTTACTTGCTATGGAATAAAATACTAATAAATATTGTATTATTTTAGATATGGATCACGATAGGGACAGTTCAAAATTAATTTTCTTTTTCTTCACGTCTGATGGCTTCTGGAGGAAATTATAAACGTTTTGGAAGTCGGTCAAAGAAGTCGATGATAGGAAGTACACGTGAATGTTATCGATTGGATAGCTTGGCAATAAACGCACCTTTTTCCCTCTTGAGTGATGGTATCAGTCAGCGGGATCGTAATTAAAATCACTCGTGCCATAAACAGGCGAAACGCTTGAATTAATCACGGCCAACCACCCTCAGAAATGAGAAACGTTTGAAGGTGCTATTCATTATTTTTATTAACATTGAATATTTGATTTTTTTAAAATATATTCTTATGCAACGTCTAGATCCCTGAAAATTCCAAAGAGACACGGTTTTCTATCAATACTATGACACGGCGGAAGAAAAGAAAGTCCTTTGGGAAATCGAATGTAAAGGGAATTACGGCGTGTTTTTCATACGATACGCTCGCGTGGACATCATCCCGGAACAAACTTGATAATTTCTTAATTCCTTTGTTAATTACGTAAGTATCATGATGAGTATTCATTATACTGAAGCAATTCTATTCTTACGAATAATTAATGGGTTTTGTAATTTTACAATTTCAAAGAGGATTATGTTTGAGAGCCACCAATTTTTATATTAAAATTAGTAAGTAAACTAACAAGTATTTAGATAAACTCAATATTAAAAGATATAATGGTTCTTCTAGGATATTAAAATCTTTTCTATACCAGAAGCACCACCTGTTGCCATCACTTCAGCCTTCCAGAGAAATATGCTAAAGCTTCTCTATACAGATAAAAGAAACAAAAGGATCTAAATATTGAATACAAAAGATTTTCTGTAGTATTACTATTGAATAGGAAACATAATCGACAACAACGGCTTCTGAGAGCGTCCACACAATGTTGCTTAATCAACAGTCTGATGCCCTGTATTCGTAGAACGTGAGGTACACTACTGCCAAGAAATTTGGAAATATTTAAATTGTTTTAAAAAATAATTAAAAGGTCGAGATAGATAAGTGATTCTACATTGTATTCTTTTGTTTAATTCTAATACTGTTCTCTTCTATATTAATATACAGGTGAAATATATATTTTATATTATACAATGCAGTTGAAGTATCTATTTAAATCTCTTTCTTTCCAAACTTTTTAACAGTAGTGTAAATCCCTTATCAGTGCGATCACAGAAAAAATTTTACTTGAACTACGAAACATTGAAGATAATCATCGAATTTCTATTGGAATTTATCCAATAGTAAATTACTATAATCCTGACGAGAAGAATTAGTATTTTCAGAAATGAATTATTAAAGTTATGCGAATGTAACTCGTTCGATTAAAAGTTTGCCTGAAAGTTGCGCCGAGCGTGTAACAGGTGCTTTCGAGAGCAAACAATTCCGTAAATTATAATTGCACGACTCGGATCAATATTGCTTTACGGTTTGCTCGATTAAATGGTTACGTGTGTCGTGCAAAATACTTCCGAGAAGACACGATTTTAATTGGATCATCGGATTGCACTAGGTAACAGATAACAATTACTCAATTCTTTACATATACGATTCTTCGAAGTTTACGCCTGTCCTGTGCGCGCAATTATTGACCTATACTACTTGCGCGTTGATTTCGTTACAGGCTACCCTGGATTTATATAATAAAAATGAAGAATAATCTGAAGTTATGAATTAAATGACCACTGCACCATTTCTCCAAGGGTCCAAGGTATGATTGTATTACAGTATCCGAATCCTATATCGTATCGAACTCATTATTCACGCTTACCTATGGCAGTTTTAGTGCGTACGGTACGGGAATATCCCATGGGATGAAGTATCGCCCAGTAACGATCGACGGACACCGCGACGAGACAGAAGATGCTGATGGTGCATAGAACGACCAGCACGGATACCGTGAATAAACAAGCGTGAAAATTTGTTGGTAAACCGATGCTAGCCAAAATAGCAAACGGTATAGCGAACAATCCAACGAGTAGATCAGCCGTAGCTAAAGAAATGATATAATAATTAGTTCTTCGACGAAGTTTCCTTTCTTTGCTGAAAACAATGATCACAAGTCCGTTGCCGAATACCGCGCATACCGCCACCAGAATTTCACAAACCGTATACGGTAGATTAAGTTCCGAATTGGTAGACGGGTTCACCGCGGTCACGGTTAAATTATCAGCTAATTCGCTGTCATTTAATGGAAATTCCATCACGATTAACGCTGATACTCTATGCCTTAACGTTTCTACGTAAGATTGATATTAAAAGCACTGGGATGTTTGGAGAAATTTGAAAGCATCTTCTGGTATCGAGAGTCATCTCCAAAGTGGAACATTATCAGTTATCAGGTATCAATTGATTCTCATTAGTCTCTAACGGCGCCGTTCATTTATTCTCTACGGTTATTGGAAGATCGGTGACAAATGGAAAACGCCAGTCGCGTGACACGAGCTTTTCTCCTGATCTTTTTAATGGATCCTCTTAATTTCTGCACAGAGAATTTCCATGATATCCAACTAGACGAGCAGTCACGCGAGCTTGATGCCACTTCCTTAAATAGATCCTCCTGGAATGTTTTTGGTTCTTTATGGTGGATCAAAGTTAATATCTTCTTCTTCAAATTCTGCCTGACAAGTGAATCAACAAGATGGATTGAATTTATGGATCCAAGGTTCAACACCCTTCTGATATCCTTGCATTTTTCAACAGCAACGCTTCAAGGTCGAACGATGATGTTAGAGAATTAGGTATCTTCCTGTTGAAAAGGGGCATCGACCCAGGATTATCGTGTCACGCTCTATGGTAATCGATCGATTTCGTTTTACCAGAAAGACACCCGCAGCACGTGGAATGAAAAAGACCGGAAGAAGGAAGCATCGTTGCTGATTTGTATGGACGTGGCGCGACAGCTAATGATACTTGCTTCGCCTCACACGCGACCAACCTTGTCTCTTCTCTGTTAAATAATAAGTGTAATTAACTTTGTCCACAGATGATTATTTTTATCGCACCAAAGTATTTAACGAGAATCTTTATTTCTTCAATGTATGAAAGTCTTCCCTTTGGAAACTTGAGCGTCCAATTTTAGTCGGTACACTGTTGGATACCAACTGACCCAGCCACCATCGTTGAATGGTTAATTGATCCACTGGAAACACAACGTAGATCTTCTCGAGAGTTCGGAATAGCTAATCCACAACTGGGCACACACTATCGCCCATAATTTTCATTCAGAGTGGACCAACAAGTGGGCAGTCGTGATCAAGTAGTCCATGCAAACAACCGGCACCAAATTCTCGTTAATCTTCTGAGTTATGGTTGAGCCGTGTTCCCAAACAATCTACAGAGACTCCGAAGGTTCTAGCTTATTTAAGCGGTAAGTAATTGTCCATTGAAAATCACAGTAACCGAGAACCTCGGGTCACGTTCGTTGTGTCGACGCTTCGAGTCCAACCACTCTTCGATCGCACACCTGTACAGCTTATTATGATCCATCATTTTCCAAAGCATGATCATTAAATAATAATTCTATTTTTTTTTTTAGGAATACTATGTTTATGGAAGGATGCGACGAGTTCCAAAAGCGTTTCTTTTTTTATCTTCAGTTCATCAGGATTTCATTAAAATTCATAGGATTTCGAATCAATGAAACTTTTTTATTTCTTCACAAAGTAAAACTGGCTCTTTATTCCCCGTCTCACAATGTCGTGATTAACAAGCTGTTCAGCATCTCTAAAGAAAGAGACAGATTAAGGTTTTAATTTCACAAAGTTTCCCACTTGAACATTGATAAACAAAGTAATATTGTTCCTGTCGTGATTTATTTTTAGACACAATTTTGAAGTTATGGATGCGTTGAGGGTGAATTCGATACAGCTGATGGAGGAATTATCAGGCAACACACGACGCTTGGAAAACTATCAAAGTTTCGAACGAAAACTTTTCTTCGCGTGTCGTTTTAAAATTCTGCAAGAAAGTCCGATACAAAGTGTTATAGTTTTAAGAAACTTTCTTATAGAAAGTCTTATTTGTAATCGTTTTAAAATATTGACTTGTAAAATGGATGCTCTGATACTAGAAAAGCATTTGAGGTGCGCGTTTAAGAGAATCTAGGAAGTGATAAAAGTCATCATAAAGTAATAGTGGAGGCAATCGTGTTTTAATATCATCATATACGCTGATACTCTATTCTAAGCATTTACGCCTGTCTTTATTTATAGAGGCTTAACATATCACTTCCCGAACATCATTATAGCCTTCACTCAAATTTTAGCTCTTATAGATCCATCACGATCGAAGATATTTAGCGTAAATTTAATCATTGTTCGTGGATCCGAAGGGAACACGTTCAAATTTCGCGAACGATTTAGAGCGAATCTCGATCAACGACGAAGCGCGCTAATTTTTAAACTGTCACTAATCGTTTGTAGATCAAGTCTTGTATTTCTTTTTCAAGAATACGGAATCGAAGAGGAACACGATTGTGGATAAAACGCGTCCGTCTTCTCAACCCTGTGGCGCGTAACTGAGTTCTTCTCCGTGACACACGGGGACAAAGCGACGGTGGAGGTGGAACGGAAGCGGTAGTGGCAAACTGGAGAAAGAAAATCGACGATACTGTACGATGGTGGTTTGCTGTTTCATCAAACTCTAAAGAATTTCAAATGATCTCTCGATGATATACTGTATAATGCTTGTTTGATGTTTCAGCAAACTTGGAAGGCTTTCGAAACGGTGAACTTTTGAAATAGAAGAACACTTAATAAATGAAGGAAAAACCTGGAAATATAATACATCGTATAATTAACGATGAGCATGGCTGATATATGTTGACCACAAGAATAGAAAACTCTATTTATATCAATTCGAATACTTCCGGAAGCATCATCCTCTCTGAATCATGAGGTTGCGAGATAACGTTTGGACCGTATCTTTAAGTAAACAAAAATTAATTAAATTCAGTTAAATTAACGTGAATAAATTGTTACTTTCGTCAATTGCAATTACTTCATTTCTAGATGATTAATAGACTGGGACATTGCGGCTCCGATCAGGATCTAAAATTAATAAAAATTCGATTTGTCAAGTATTATAAATTATTTGAAATAGATGACTTACTGGATATTCTGCTGGTCAAGTAGGATCGTCTGGAAAACAAGCAGGTATTTATTATTCTATTCGATATTAAACAGGATCGAATTACTATCAAGGCTAACCAGACAAATGGATCTGCACATTTTTCGTTCTTCCATTCGCGGGAGTCGGTTTTATCCGATGTGCGTGCAAGTACATTTCAAGTGAGAAATTGACTTTCCGAGCGGGTTTCTAGGGATCCAATTTTATGGGAGTGCATGGTATTTCTCTACGTGATTGATCCTTAAAATGACCTAAAAACATTCCAAGTATTATAATTTGAAAAATAGTGAGAGCGTTAAAAATTAATTGTAGATTTCTTTTCTTTTTTTGTTTGAGAAGGTTCTTCCATGGAGGATTGAAACATCGACACGTGAAAATTATAGAGTATAATGAAATTAACGATAAATTTTAATTGCTGGAGTGGCCTTAAACATGTCTTCGACCCGAGCCTGTTATCACATTGTTCTAATAGCCGGCAATTACGTAATTAGTGGGAAGTGCGGTGAGAACCATCGACTTTCATGAATTTCACTGTTCTTGTATTCGAATATCGATGAAATTTTGAATCAAGAATTTTACATTTTCTTCAATTATAAGCGTGTCGGTAACTCAATGTGGTTGAGAAATAACGCTTTAAATAGTTGCACAGTTCAAACGTTATACTAACGAAAATACTACGCTAACGATTAGACCAGCATCGCGTGATAATTTCACGAAAATATCCTCGCTTGGCCTTTTTACGTTTAATAAAAACACGCATCAGGAAAAATGATTCCGAGAAGCAACTAAATAAAACCATATGACTAAACAAAATTTATAGTACAGTTTAATAGAATTCAAGTCTTAATGAATAAATAATTCTATGTTTTATAGACTATGATAGAAAGATGATTGAATGAAACTAATTATTGGTCTTTAAACATTCTTTAGTGTCATGTATAATCACTTCCTTTCAATAGTCTTTAATCAGGCAGAGATTTTAAGTGACACGTATCCAACGGCTTAAAGACACCTTAGCGTAGCTAATAATCTTGACGAACAGTGAACGAGACCATTCGAGGTAATTGAAACGTGCTTTATTCTACGTAACAGGCGCATAACAGGTCATTTGACATCGCATAAAAGGATCCTTAATTGCATTGCAAAGTTGAACGAGTTAAGCATGGAGAACGATGACAAGAACGTGAGTTGTACGGATCTGAATCGAATACGGGTCATGTTCCTGTTCTACCGGACGTGTCAACACACCCCAAGGAACTAAGCACCTAATGATTTTAATGTTATTGGAAGCGGATAAAGGATAGATGAATAGAACGCACCTCGAATAGAAAAATAAGTAAATAAAAAGTTAGGAAAAACTTGACGCGCTTCGTGTCGCGTGGATAACTCAGGTGGGGTACACCTGGGGAAACATAAAATGCTACTAGAGACTAGGAGATCCAATTAGAGAGATACATTTTACATGGTGTTAGATTGCAACATAAATGAAGTATAAATATTTCTTAGATATTTAAGTTCTTATTAAATTCCTAGGCAGAATATTTCCTCGCGACATAAAGATATCGTATGAAACGAGAGAAAATTATGAATTCTACTTTTCTATTTCGTTTTTTCCATCCGTTTCTTCCATCTGGAAAGTTTTTCCTTCAATCCAATACCAATTATCTGGCTCACAATATCAACGTTAACGAACCAGCTTACTTACGCGAATGCACGTGTTCCACCATTGATAGAAATGATCGGCTATCCGTGATATTGATTAAATAATAACCATTCCTGCGATATTCGCATCTAGATTTCAAAAGAATATTTCATCTACAGACTGCTAATTTGTTGCCGATATGTTATTAAAGTTAATCTGTATTATTTATTCCTTAGAATCTCATTTTGTGTTAGTCTTTCATACTTTAAAAAATGTATTTATCTTAAATTACTTCATGTAACAATTACGTGTAACATCCTGAAAATTACAATTTGCATATAAATAGATTGATTGAATTACGTAGAATATGATACAGTGGTATAAATCATATCTTAAATAACAAAACAATTATAAATATTTAATTCATAGAGAATCCCGTTGTACTGGCTCTAAATGTTGTTCTACTTGATGCTGTCCAAGGTTCCAGTGTTGCGCGTATTAATATATATACAAACCATATGCAAAAAGTAAATCCGAGAAACACGAAGATACCGTAACTGTAAAAAACAAAAAGAATAAATCATATAACTCACATTCCTCTGACTATAATTTAGTACCGATTAAGTGTCATACTTTGTAAGCCAAAAGATAAACATTCCTAAAATTATATTCGCAAGAAGGCTATAATTAGCCAATGGTCGCAAACTCAATCGTGGCGGAATACGCTCCTCATATCCGCTGGAAAATCCATTCGGTGTTGTATTTGTTCGTTTTTGTAGTTTCACAATTTTTGTAGGTGGTTGTAATGTCTGTCGGCAAATACTGCCGAGGAAACCGCGTCGTTGGTACAACGCAGTTATCTCACGTCGATACTGTCAAATAATGCCATTAAGATTACAAAAATTTATTATTTTTTATGGTGTACTACTAAACGTATGTCCATACTTTCATGTTTATGTAAGAAGAAAGTTTGTACAAATTTCTAACGAGAAAAGCACATTCGTTACTTCTAACTGGCTGCAATTCCGGATCTCCTAGATATTCGACGTACCGACAGGTTTGTCTGTCTTCTTGCACGGGTACGAAAACACCTGGCTTGCTAGTGTCTAAACTTGAATCCATCTGGAAGATTATTGCATTAAAAACTTGCTATAAAAATTATAAATAATGTTTTTACTTGTGACTGATGACAGAAGGATGTTGATAGAATGCTTTCATGATATTCTTGATCAGCTTCAATTGCTACCTGAGGAATCTCTTCTACGTTAATCTACAAAAATATGTTTGATATATAACAATTTTATTTATAACATACTTGTGTGTTACTTTTTGTTACCTGAAAGATTTCAATCAATTGTTGTTGTGCGTTTGCCAGATATACAGGAACTCGACGTCGTTCTTCTATACTGATATCATCCGAAGAATAGTCTTCACCATGAAAGAATTCCCATATGGCTAACAAAACTCTTCTGTTCTTTCTTTTTTGTTCCAGTGCCTCGATCAAGCTTGTTGCTGTTAAATGAGCTTGTTTGATTGTGCTTAACAAGCATACGACCTAAAATAATTGAAAATATGTATTAACACTTTGATTATTTTTGTATTACTTTTGTCTTCACAAATCTTATGTATGTTTTCTTCAAAGTAATTTATTTTATTTTTATCCATAATTTCAAGTATCTAATACGAGTATTTCCAATTAAGTAACTCAAAGAATTTCTAATAATATGAGTGATGGATTCCTATTGAAATTCAAGCGTCATCCAAATATGGGTGACGTGACAGTCAAAGTGTTAAACACCAAGTTCAGTCACGTGTATATATTTTACACACCTGTGAGATGGTAGCTTGAGAGAATATTGGAACATATTGATATGTCGGCCCTTCAAGCTCTAGAATCTGCTGTCGTACAATTGATGCCCATTGATTGGTAGATACTCTACTTCTACTTATACCAATATCATCCATATGATTCTCTATTTCACATATTATTCTTTCTAAGTAAGGTTGCGAGAAAACCTATCAAATATATGCTTTATGAAGGACGTACCATACTACACTTTATTCATCTGAAAGATATTAACATACCTTTGTAACTCTGAACAACATTAATGCATTTTTAGGAGCTACAAGATCTGTTCTCATAAAACGAGGTAACAATTGTTGAAATATCGCTGTGTAAGCTAATAAATTATGAGCAATAAAGGGCATCCATCTGCATACATCATGAATCTTTCCTCTTTCTTCTTCTTCTGATTTACTATAAGAAGTAAAATAATTCTGTAGTAGTGAATTAAAGAGTTTAAATTACGTGCTTACCCTTCTTTAGTATATGTAATACCAGGGAAATATCTCCATGGTTGAATGAAACTTAACCATGCTTCTAGGATTAATCTAAATGAACTGTCTAAGGGCCAATGGTGTATAGCTTTCCGAAGGAATGTGTAGATTTTGCCTTGGACAGAAGGCAAAATTATTCTGTAAAAGATATCCTTTAAAAATTTGATCATTTTTGTTAAGTTTAACATTTGCATACCGTTTGAGCTCGTCCATTGCGCTTTTATCGCCAATTGTACTGTTTGCAAATTCATGCAAGGTTTTTATAAATGCTCTTACGAGCCGTATGTGTTCCCCGGAATGAATACTGTGCTGTAATTGAAATGAAACTGTATATAAATGTTATGAACATGCTTTAATCACAGACTTACACGTCGTGGTATGGACGGAGAATATGATGTGCCTAGTCGCGAATTCAACTGATCATCTTCTGTATATTCTAGCCAAAAATCAAGAAAAACTTGAACCACAGTTTCACTTCTCCAAACCTGTGGTAGACACTGCTGCTGTGGTACAGTTGATGTAGAATTCGGAGATCCTGGTGATAATATGGATGTTCTCAGAAGTCTAGGTGTTTGTAATCTGTAATAATCTCTGAATTAAATTTATAACTTATTGTCACATTTCTAAGAAATGCAATTTTGTAACTATTAATATTCCTACTATCAGTGAGCCCATAAAATACCTTTTAGATTCAGGTGACTGCACTAATTTTCTCTGAGGTGTTTTTCTAATGTACGGACCAATTATTGGCAAAACTGGAGAATTATCTCTAGGTAAAAAGTGATACAAATAGCAATGTGCTAATTGCACATAGACAGTTTCCCAATTGACCCAGACATTTTCTTGCTGTTGTACTTGCAGCCAAGGGTTTGTTAAATGGTAGGCAAAGTGGAAGATGTAATATTCAAAGGGATATGTGTAAATGTTAAGGCTATATTTTGTATAAATTTTGATGCATTATTGTATCAAAAAGGATACTCATATTTAGAGCAGTTACAGCACGTGTACCCTGCTCCTCTCTAATTTTGTCAAGATAAAATGGTGGTATTACACCTTCTTCCAGCATTGAACGTATTTTTACCTAAAACAAAAGAATATAAAGATTATTGATTTACTAATGTATAAATTTAAATAATACATAGTTTCAATTTACATACAGGTAAATATGAGACTGGAAAGTTATACTTTAAGTAACAATCTGGCAATAATTTATAACACAAAGAAAAGACTGGTCCTAATGGATTAAGAAAGTTGCAGAGTGTTTCATACTCCTGCAAATTTTTCTTAAATGTGATGCTGTGTAAACCCCAACCAACATTATCAGTTATTCCAAATAATGAGTCTATTAATATTGAAAACACATGTTGCAGTTCTGTTGTGCTAGACTCATCTATTAATGTTGCAATTTCCTTGCATCGTTGCACCAGTGGCAAAGTCAAATATCTTTGTAGTCTGATCTGTGCATAGATTAAAAAATAATTGATATAATGTTTTATTATACACATAAAATTAATACGTGCCTTATAACTATTTAAATTACAAAACATATACCTTTACATAGAAATGCAACTTATACATTATTTCACATATAAATTTATTTAAAAGAGTAATACATTTTCTTTATTTATACGTAGAAAATATACTTTCTTAATACAATATTTTAAATAAACCGGTTAGTGTTATAGGTTAAGTACAGGTTATGTTTTCTTAAAAGTTAACGTGTTAAAGGTAATGAAAATAAAATATGCATATGAAATATGCACACTTAATACCGTAGCAACGTCTGAAGATGTAGCCATGTTCGTATTTATTTATTTGTGTGAGAATTGTTGAAAAGAACATTTATAAAACGTTTGTTAACTTAATTGCGACTAATTCGCGCCACATATGTACATAATTTAAGCAATGATGAACATGTTCGCCACTACGAGAAATAATTTCACTAGACATTTTCTACCTGTGTCTACCTTATCGACATAAAAATTGTAAAATAAAGAGCAGTGTTTATATAAAAATATCTTTTATTCGCATTCTAATTAACAGTCTCTCGCTTTTATACTGATTTTTTAAATATTTACACTATTAAGTTTCCTTGTGCTGATTAACAATGTTATCATCAGATAATGTAATATCAAAGGAGTGCTCAGTGTTTTTTCTGACCACACGAGTAAATCCCAGGTTTGTACGTCGGTAAAAATGGTACATACTGGGTCCATTTCCACCTGGAAGAAAGAGAAACCATTAGTAACCGATTTCATCTTTTTGCGGATAAGACAACGAAATTTCTGAAATCTAAGAATATAATAATGCTCAGTCACCTTCGTAAAACACTCATTCCAAATGGAAAATCAAATGTGTTCGGTACGTATTCGTCTTGCTCTTCTTTCTCATCTTTGCCGGCATCTAGTTCCATTTCATTTGCCCAAGCTATGAGACCACGTTCTTCCGGAGTACCTTAAATTAAAAAAATAATTGTATTAAACTGTAACCTTTTTATTTGAAAAGAAAGAGAATTTATACCTGGTATAATATTGTCTAGTAAACACCCTACTACACCCCCAACTAGGATAGTTGTACTAAGTAACACAGTAAGTACACCATCGGCTATTTCATTCCCAGTTTGGATCACATTTGAATGATTAATCATCCACTTTGATAAGACCTGAAAAGATACCAAAGTATGTTAATGATTCTTTGAGACAGAAAGGCTTCTTTCATTGAGAATCTTACTAATGGGAAGAAGATGGAGAATCCAAGGATGTATAGATTCCTCGCTGAATTTAAGTTTATGTATTGCAACGCAGATAGACCTAGAAAAAAGAAATCAATCACGTATTCTATTGATTATTAATTAATTTTTCTTATAATATGCCTGCCTTCGTTATAACGCACCAAAAGCGGAAATCATTCCAAACATCACACAAAATATTCCACCCACTATGGGCTCAGGAATGATGATAAAAATGGCACCAAATTTGCTAATCAATCCTTGTAGAATCATTAGTGCGCACGCCCACTGGATGACTCTACGGCTGCCAACTTTTGTAACACCTGTTAATGTTTTATTTAAACATTATATGTACTAAACTATACACGTGTTTTATTTACAATGTTGTCCAGGTTGGTTTTTTCCTGTCTAACGTCGGAAAAATAAAAGTTCACCTATCGTTCCAACGTTTTCCCCGAAGGTGTTTGTACCATTTCCACTTCCCCAGAGACCAGCCAACATGGTACCAAGCCCCTCCATACCTATACCTCGGTTAATAGCATGAACTGGTGGCGGAGGAGCACCTGAATTTCATTCATAAGAGTATTTCTTTAAAATTTAATATTTGTTAATATTTCTTGTAAACGGTTTGAAAGCTACTTCTTACCACACATTCTTGATGTCGTTGGATAATAACTGATAGATTCCACTGTACACGCTAATACCCCAGCTAACATTCCGAGAACCCCTGACAAACTTACTGTCGGTACTCCCCACTGACCAGGATACGGTACCCTGAACCATGGGGAATTGTTAATGATTTTTAATTTACTATCTGCCCTGGCTGGATGTCCAACTGGTAACGCATCGGTCACGGTTAAAATTGTACAAATTATCCACATGACTATTATAGTTAACAGCACCTACGGTAAAAAAAAGTATACGTAATAATCGCCTCGCCTTTACTTTGCATCTGTGAGTTTAATTGTCTTTTATACCGGGAATAATTTGAACAGTTCGAACCAGACGATTCGTACTCCTTGACCCTTGCGATACGTTAAAATCGGAAATGGCACGTTCACCATTATTTGTGAGTACATCGTTAACATCAGTATAGTTCTGTAATACATAAGAAAAATATGAGATTTCTATCTAATTTATTTCTTTAATTAGGAAATTTACCCGGCTGCAATACCCCAGTGTTGAGACGCCGCATCGGCTGCATTTTCGAATAGGGATAATCCAACTAAGGAGACGGTCGGTACGATCGTCAGAGGTGTTATAAATTTTAACAAGTAACCAATGATACCTGTTGAAGAATATATGTTAAGTAGATGATAATTGGAATTCAAGAGCCTCTTTATTCTTTACCTCCAAATCCGACGACAACTTGGAACAAAGCGGAAACGGCGATAGCACCCGAGAGTTCTCTCATTCTAACTTGCCATAATTCTGTGCGATTTTCCGCGGACATTTCATCTAATACTTCCGGCGCTGGACATTTCCATTGGGGTAAACTTAATATCGCCAAAGTTGGGACTAGAAACGATATAGTTCCTCCTTGTACTAATGGTAATCTATGACAAAGAATATTAGACGCGGTTAGACATTAACGCAGTAGAAAGTTAAAAAACTTGAGCTACTAATTGTAAAATAAGATTGAAAATTAAAGAAGCGTATTTTCCATCAATTGAATTACAAGATCTCGTTGACTACGTATCAATAATAAGTTCCAGTAGAGTAATTTTCTCGCAATTAGAATTACGAAACTCGGTTCTTTTTATGTCGTAAAATCTGGGATAAAACGTAAGCAGTATCCTTCCTGGAACCAGTCAAGGATCTTTAATGGTTCGTAAATCTTATTTAACAAGAGTACTGAACGATCATCGTGACAGTAAAGTCTAAAAAATTAGCATTAGAAACATGCTGCAGAAACAAGTAACAAGCGTGAAACACGCATAAAATATCAGCTACCGATTATAGGTATTCACATTCAACCTTAATTCAATCCTAATGCTTTATATCCATCTACAAGTGGCACTTTAATCAATTTTCATCGGTTGAAAGTTTTTATATAAGATAAATACTTATCGCGAATATCAGATTATCCAAAAATCACATAATTGATTAATAAACATTTCAATACAAGAGTTTCAATATCTATCCTCTTAAATAAATTACATTCACAGTAGCTTTAAGATACATTCTGTAATAAGTAATCACGATTTAGTACTTTATCGACGATAACAAAGTGAAAGACACTCGAGTCTTAATCCTTATATCTGCAGATCCTAAACTACAATTATCTGGTGATAGTAAAACTGATTATATAAGTAATTCCGGTCATTTTTGTTACCTGCACCCGATAGTGGTTTGCAAGAGGGTCACCAATCCAGTGACAAAGATCATAGTAGAAATAATATAACTCCTAGCTGGGTCATCCTCGGCCATACATAATGCTGGGCACAGGATGAAAGGTATCGAAACGATAGCTCCTATCATGGTCAAATAATGCTGAAAAACATGATATTATATGTTTGAAATAATTCAAAATAAATACAAAAATTTATTTAATTATCCTAAAGGATGTATCTACAAATGTAGAATTCAATTTTAACACAACTTGTGGAAAGTAAAAGTACCTGTAAAGCCATGAATAAGCATAGATACCATGGTGGAACGTCGTCGATGCCATAAGTAAGATTAGTCTCCCTATTGCCTCCACTTTTAGTCGTCTGTGATGTGAAATTAGAATTTTCCACGTTCTAAAATAAAATTTAAAAAACAATAAAATAAAGATACATATATTTTTTATCTAATTGCTTAGTAACTCTTCAGACTCCACCTCGGGAAGTCTCCCTAAATTAATTTAGACTCAATTCTTTCTATGACACCCTGTATTTTATTATTAAAACGAGAAATAGGATTACATAATGCAAGAAACAGCTGGATAAGAGGAATAATTAATTGTATCACAGCGTTCATTGAGACGAAGTTACGTTGCCATACTAATTAACAGTGGATAACTCACTTAAACAAAAGTTTCTTTCCATCGATCGCGTAACTTTCTTATTTAAATCGATTATCGTTTTATTTATATTAAAAAGGATTAAAAGGGATAATATAGTATAATTACAAAATAAGTAGTCTGTAAAAGAATTGACGATTTTAAAAAGGAAGATTTTCCTACGTTTTACTTTTCAAATTCCCTGATAAACTGGTTTAGAGCTGTATCGCTAATGAGCAACATCAACCTTGGTGATTTTTTATGTAATTATTTAAGCAAACAATCAATGATCGACTGTCATATAGTTTAAACGAACAATTATCACAATTACATTGTTAGAACCTTGAGAAGTAACGATAGAGTAATTTCGAACCGGTTTCTTTTTTTTTAATACAATTTCAATTTTCAATTCAACGTATTAATTAATTCACGAAGGTCATATTTAACGACGAGAAATTGAATGTATCTTGTGATCTAGAATTCCTAATCGCTTTATTACTGAATCTGAACGATACGTTGTTTGTGATAGTAAACGCCTCAATTAGAATCTAAACACGTGTCGACTGTACTATACTTTCAAAGATCACGACCGTTCAAGTTCACGATCAACTTTATGTCTGCTATTATTCGGTTTCTCTCAATTTTCGGAGGCTTTTGAAGACAACATTTTTTGTAATTACTATTATTTAACACGTTGAACGCTAGGGGGGTCATACTGACCCCGCAACTTACACACGCCTGAATAATTAAAAGGATACAAATAATGGCAAACAGAAAGGTTGAAATTCGAAATTTGAAAATTAATTATTACTATTCTTAGTAATTAGAGCTTTAATAGGTCCCACAAAAAATGCCCCATTTCATTGTGGCGTTCAACGAGTTAAGTCTTGGAGAATGTAAAAGTGTTAAATAAGGTGCAGAAATACATATAGCCAGCTTAAAAAGATCTTGCGACGCGCATGTTACTACTACTCTTTCTGTTATATTATCTGCGATATATTTAAGTTAAACGACACTGCAACTCGAGGTCTGACAGTGGCTGGTGCTATTTAATTAATTGCTCTGTTGAACGGTATTTAAAATATTATTATAAATGTTATTTCAGTGTTCCTACCAGCTGTACTTCGTTCGGTAGGTTTCTAGTAGGTCTACTGTTTGTATTCACGGAAATATAAACGAAGGTATTAATAGGAATAATTGAAAACGATCTGGCAGTTACAGTGATGCTTACAATAATCTGTAACTATCCAAGTACAGTGCCAAAATTATTTTGAAATATATCTTCGAATACATGAGAGGAATAAAGTTTAATAAATTTTCATTTCCTAAGATACCACGATGGTGATAATACGTAAGTAGTTTGACAGAAAAATATCCGCGTGTACTTGAATTTTATAATAAAAGAAAAAAGCTTCTGTCACAGTTAACTACTCACCACCTCGGTCATTTGTATTCCGTTATCAAGCATTTTGAAATCGCGCTTCGTACGACACGTACATAAACGAGTTCAGTTATTTCGATTAAAAAAAACTACACCTAATCCCGTGGTTAAAAAACATTAAAAAAATTCTGGGGACGATTTTCCGGGAACCACCGACCGCGGTGTGGAAGCTCTGCTCCGTTTGACGCGATTCAGAGCGAGAACAACCACGTTCCCGCGACGTTAGCGACGAACTGTGTCAATAGATACCATCGCTCCTTAATTTATCGCTAAATGCTTGGTCAGAAACAAGCCGTTTACTGTTGCTAGGAATTCTTCATCGTTTCGATCTTGACCCTCGAAAGAAACGGATTAAAAATTAAAGGATGGCATACCTGATCTGTAGAATTGATGCGGATGAAGCCAGATCGTTTTAAATAGTAATTAAAAATTGAAATACTTCAGGGATTATTAATTTTTATCGACATTGTATACTGAGACTTTTATGCAGAATGACCTAAAAAAAAAAGATAACTTTAGCATAGTAATAATATTATAAAATTAAATCAATTTTAAGCCCACGTGTCAATTACTTGCCAAGGAATTCTGTCTGTACAATCGTAGATTGATAAAAATAATATTATCTATAGTTTGGTATGAAATCGAAATAAACAGGTACTAATACAGATTTAGTTGCTTTATCGACTTTGTTATGTGGGTCGTTGATCGTCGCTGAATCGCTGATTAAACGATCATTGGAAATATTTTTTTTCAATCTCCTTTTATATTTTAAGATAGACATCTCTGCAAGTACGATATGTGAGGCGGAAATTCTGTGGCCTTCGAGAAGATTATTAAATGAAACTTTAAGTCCTGGTCTGCGGCTTTTAAGTATATCTTCTGACAATAAATTCGCACGTTGAAGAAAATCCGAATCCAGACTATTATCTGTGAAAACATCGCTTTGATAAAGGACAATAAAATTGATGTACAGTTTAGAGTAACGAGTTTGCTAAACAACCACTATCTATCTTCAAGATTTAATCCAATGATTATAACATACTTGTGTAAATAATGCAAACTGTAAGAAAGATAAATAGAAACTGATAGCATTTATAATGGATTAAAGTAGGATACTGATAGCGTAAAATTTAAATTTATCATCTTTAGTGGTGGCGCTGAAATCAAAATATATAACCTCAATCAGTAACTATTGATATAACAAGACTGAACATACCTTTATTTCCGAGGGTTCTTGAACTTGTTCATCTAAAACGAGCGGAATCTGCTCTATCCCAGCAAATAAATGTGAAATACTTCGCACTGCAATAATCTATATTGCTTCGATATGTCACCGATACCAGACGAGGGCCTATGAACTTTGGTGGCGCCCCACATCAATTGTAGATTAATTGTAAAATTAACTCGCAACTGAAAAGACACATCTTTTACTCCTTTGGTTCCATTTTTTATTAAAATAATTGTTTGACACACCTATATTTTAAAAAGACCGCCATAAATAAAAACTACTCAATAAGTTACCGACCGGGTTTTTTGCACGCGGGAAAGTTAGCGCCATCTATTAGGAAGCGACGGAAACTACTTGTTGAATAGTTTCCGCCGGTTTTGTATAGGTGGCGCTAGGATCGAATTTTAAAAATAATTTATGGCGGTTTTTTTAAAATACAAATTTATCAAACAATTATATTTTTCGGTCTTGTGCTGATTGTAACTGATTTCTAATAAATGGAATCAAAGGGTGCCAAAATTGTGTTTTTTTAGTTGTGAGTGCGAGGTGTGGTAGAAGAGGAAGTAGTAAGACAGGCACGAGCATTATACCAATTGTGCTCTCTAAATGCCGACCTAATTTTACCTGGGGGTATCTGGAACCCTTGAAATCATTGTCTATTCCAAAATCTCATTCAATGATGGCGCTAGAAATTCAATGTATAATAAAAAACAATAAATAAATATAATATACTGAATTATAATTTGCATCTATCGACATTTAATATCTTAAAATCAATACTCTGTAAATTCTATACATTTATATTAATATATAAGAATCTATAAATTTTGTATACCCATATTTTGTACCTTATGTATTTTATATTCAAGATAAAAAATATAATTCAATAATATAAATTTCATGTGTTCATGTAATTTGAAATTAAATAGTCGGAATTATATGTTTCCTGCACTGTCTGTAAAATATTTTACTTCATGGCGAATCACGACTTATAACAATATCGAATTCTCAGCAAATTTTTATGAGTGCTTGGAAAGCATTTCGTGTATGTTCAATTAATTAATAAACAACAATGATTAATATTTAAATCATTAAATCAGTTATATAATTTAATAAACCATTCGAAATGAAATGTCGAAGATTCGCATAGCTTTCACAATTAGGAGATACATGTAACAATCAATAATATCCCATTAACTTTTTATTAATATATAACAAACAGGATGGCTAGTAGGGAGACATCAATTAATTCAAAAAACTCGGATGATCACACCGTTGAGGTTTGTATAATGTCTAGTTTTCCAAAATAATTTTAATGATATATAATATAGGTATACGTTTTTCTTATTTGATTTAAATTTACTAAAGTTTTGTCTTTCAACCCACAACTTCCATATACATGAAAGTTATTATATTTATAAAGACATAACTTTATTTTAGACATTGGCAGAAGTCTTCAGATGTTTCATTTGTATGGAGAAGCTGAGGGATGCACATCTGTGTCCCCATTGCAGCAAACTGTGTTGTTATACATGTATCAGAAGGTGGCTCACAGACCAACGTTCTCAATGTCCTCATTGCAGAGCTTCCTTACATTTACATGAATTAGTAAACTGTAGATGGGTCGAGGAAGTGACCCAGCAGTTGGACACTCTTCAAGCTGTTGGTATCTCAAACTCTAGACATGATGATTCAAATAGGGATAGGTAGTCTATTTGTAACTTTTACTTTGAAAATTGCAATTACTTATTTAGCATTGTATTAATATCTACGTGTTTTTGAAACAGATGTACTGTACATCATGAGAAGCTATCTGTTTATTGCTGGACCTGCCGCAGATGTATATGTCATCAGTGTGCTCTGTGGGGTGGTACTCATTCAGGGCACACTTTCAAACCATTAGAAGAGGTGTATGAACAGCACGTTACACAAATAAAGGCAGAAGTTGGGCAATTAAAGAGAAGATTGATGGAATTAATCAGCCTAGTTCAGGAAGTGGTATGCGTACATTTATACAAAATATTATTAAGTCAGTATTTCACATTCAATTTTTCACCAGGAACGAAACGTGGAATCTGTAAGAGCTGCAAAGGACGAGAGAGTAAGAGAAATTAGAAATGCTGTAGAATTGATGATAGCACGTTTGGACTCTCAGTTGAAAGCTAAATTATTGACGTTAATGGGTCAGAAGAATTCTTTAACTTTAGAGACAGAGCAGTTGGAAGCTTTATTGCAAGAAGTAGAGCATCAGTTACATACGTCTACTCGTTCGGAACTTATACTGAAAAGTTCCGATATTTCGAGGATGATACATCAAGTACGAAAGAAACCAATGACTAGTTTTGTTACTGCTCCTGTTCCAGCTGATTTTCACAGGTAAAAAATCAATTTTTAAAGAAATCAGAAGAGTAATAATCTATTTATTGTTACAGTGAAATTGTACCGGGGTACGATAGCGCCACATTTGCAATGCAAAATTTTACACAATTACAACTAAAAGCCGACCCAGTGTATTCAGCACCTTTGCACGTTAATGGGCTGTGCTGGAGATTGAAAGTATATCCGGATGGGAATGGTGTTGTACGCGGAAATTATTTATCTGTCTTTCTAGAATTAAGCGCTGGTTTACCAGAGACATCGAAGTACGTGTGATCAAGTATCTTTATTTTAAAGATATAAGAATTGGATTTCCTTATAGCAACTGAAATTTCTTTTTTTAGATATGAATATCGAGTTGAAATGATCCACCAAGGATCTCGTGACACAAGTAAGAACATCGTACGAGAATTTGCATCCGACTTTGAAATCGGTGAATGTTGGGGATATAATAGATTTTTTAGATTAGATTTACTTGCCACTGAAGGATATTTAAACACAGAATTGGATACTCTTATATTAAGGTATGTTAAATGTTCTTGAACTATAACACTAATTGTAATACAAATATGAATAATAGATTTCAGGTACGTCCACCAACGTTTTACCAACGGTGTAGAGACCAGCAATGGTACATTAGTCAATTAATAACAGTTCAAAATCAATATGCTACTCAAATCAACGAGCTGAAAGAGGTAATAACTTCAAAGTATGTAATATAATAAGTTTGTTGACAATTGAAACCCATTCTCTTTGTAGAGACTGGCAATAGAAATATCACGGAATGCTATGGCAGCAACCAGAGTACCTAGTGGAGCTACATTATGTGGATCAGCATCAAACATAGTGCCTGTGATGATTCAGCAACAATCACAAGCTGCTGGAGATCCAATAGTCAATTCTAATTCTACTCGTTCAACTGAAACATATCCAAATGGTTCATCTACAAGGTAAATTAATTTCAAAGAGAGTACTTTACGTTTGGATGATCTATTTTAATTTTTTTCTGTAGTAGATCAGTGCAGAATGCGGTTCCAGGAGGAAGTAATAACAGTTCTCTAACGGGGGATCAGTTAATGCCCATGTGTGAACTAGTAGATCTTTCAGATATCTGTCCCCTTGGCTCTACTTCAACGTTGTCCTCTGTATCATCTAAAACAAGCTTGAAGCAACGTAGAATGAATTTTTTAAACGTTGTTGAAGCTGAATCACCCAATGTACACAACGCGAATGATGTCGGTTCATCAGGAGATTGTCCGGCAACCGATGTCCATTCTCCACCCCTGTCTTATCCGTCTCCGACGGTGCTCAATCAACAACCATCGAATCGTCTGTCTAGTAGTAGCAGTAGTGATAGTGGAGTAAGTTCTTCAAAGTTATTATAAAATATTTATGTATTTATACATAATTTAAAATGATACTATGTTGGTATTACAGGAATTAAGTGAGCACGATATATACTTGGATGAATGTGAACATAACGAGCCGCATTTAACACTTCTGGATGATAATTCTAACGATGAAAACGATGTAGATGATGAAACTATGTCAGGTATCACACAAACTTTGATTATTTTATTAAACAGGATATACCACGTTGAAAATGGTATACTAGTAATGTTACGTACATACAATATTGTATATTAACATAATAATGTCGCTAATATTGCTAAATTAGGCGCAAGTTCAAACAGAGGTTCTGTAGGAGATGTACAGAGAGACAGGCAAAGAGAAAGCAAGTTAGATAAAGGTGCCGAAAATGAAAAACCCACGAATGAGAAACCAGACGAAGATTTCGTGAAAGAAAATCCTACTCCTCATACTCTTGATTACTTTCAAACTATTTCATAAGAAAATTTCTCCTTTTTTCAAATCAGTCTCTCCCTTACTGTTTTTGGTTTTATAATGAAAAATAAATATTCCCGTGAATGTACCGTAATGATCGAAGTTATAGAAAAATCAAATGATTCATTTATATTGCTTATTTTATCAAATTTCAAGTAACTGATTTATAAACTTACATATTTTGCATTAGTCAGAGTAGAATAATGTTTAATAATTATTCGTAATTTTTAAACATATGTACGTGTAATAGCAACAACTGTATATTTATAGGAGAGAATGATGTGGAAGTAGCAGAATCATTAACGTTATGGATTCAAAATAAACAGCGCACAAAGCAACAGAGTAACCGGGATAATACAGGGGATACCTGCAGGTGTGTGTTTTCATAATCAAAAATATTTTGCCGGTAATATTTTCAGAGAATTTAAATTAATATAAATAATGTTGTAGATTACGTGGCAATGATAGTCTAGAAGATGAAATAATGTTGCTACATTTATTCGAAATGCAAGATCGAAATTCTGCCTGGCCTCCTTTGTGCTTCAACAGCCAACACGTGGATGATTCTGATTCAAGGACGTGCTTAACAAATCTACATCATAATTCTAGCCCCTTGCACTGTAACGCTACACTGCCAACCCATGGATCATCTACATTTTCCCATAAGCATAGAGAACTTGAATCAGTATGCAACGAACAATTTTCGGATAAACGATCTACCTGCCCGTCTCATCTTTGTCAGCCTCAAGTGATGTGCAATGGTAGATCTAAATTAAGTCAATTACCTAGTATCTGTCAGCAAGATGTATCCGGATTAACAGCTTGCGGAAGTCAGACTAGATCTGAACCTGCGACTCGTTCAAATTCAATAGACTGTGAAAAAGATCTTCCAAAAATGTCTGTAGTTAATAAAGTAAATCATGAAGTAGAGACAAGTAGGTCTGATTTAATAGTACCAAGTGGTAAGTGAAAGATTAAAAATATCTTCATTATTTATTTGTGTCTGTAATATACAATACTACATACCTTTTTAGTAGTATTGGACAGTAATAAAATTGTATCCAAACATTTATTGTCACGACGACAATCATCACCGTCGTCGTCCACTAATGTTGGTATTGTAAATAACGAGAATAGTAAGATATTTGAGTTCGAACAATTACTTGAAACTATTCAATTATCTCCGATATCTCAGAAGGACACTGCCAGCTGTTTCAATAAATTAAGGTACAAACCTTTCTTAATGTAAGGGTATAAGTAATTTTTTAATACAGTTTAACAATGGTGGATTATATACAGGAAAAATATTTCACCTGATGGAAAAAGCAATGGTTGCACTGCTACTAGTATTAAATCCACTGCCCTCTCATTAGGACCTGATGTTCCATCATCTTCTACAAGCAGTACAACAGATGCTGTACCGAGCCCCAACAATTACAGCTGGGCTCCAGCACTGTACCAACACAAGCATAGTAAATGCAGTTCATTTTGTATAGTATGCAATATATATAATTGATACGGAGTTCTAAAATATTTTTAACAATTTCAGGTCAGAAAAACATTTTAGAGGCTACTATGCAAATATCTTCTAACGATACTTCTAATAAATGTACTGCTGAAAAGTAAGTACATTTTTCTATTTGTTGAAGAAATATTGTTATTAGTCTTTTGTAATTGCATTATATCATTTTTATTACAGATCGTTAGAGGAAAGTAATTCATGAAGTTCCCTTTAAAGTGCATCTGTTGTATTTAACGTTACAAATATACTGTGATTTTTTATTTATCTATACATTAATATTATTAAAACTAGTAAGAATTAGAAATTTCATTTTTGAATCTGCTAACATGGTAAGTGTAATGTTCAAATTAATTCGACGTTTTATAGCAAGTACTAAATTTTATTAATGAACACGAATAATACGTGTATCATTTTATAAATATTGAATAAATAATTCCGTATTTGCTATGATACAATTTGTTAGCTGTAACTGAATATTAGTAACCAGTCGATTCTTCTTTCAGCTTAAAAAGCATATAAAGAAAATCTGACAAATATCATTCCATATTAAATAGTTCAATTTACATTATTTATTATACGCGCGTATATTACACTTTCAGAAAAATTCATGTATTAATATATTGTATAGTATCAAAATACTCAGTATGTTTATTTTTTCAATGGTTATGGTGTTACAAATATAGAGAAAAGAAATTTTGTGTTGTTTTTATGTGGTTGATTATCAATATATATATATAAAGCGAGCACAGCCCATGACAGAAAAATAAAATAAAGACCACAATTAAATAAATACCTTCATCATTCTACTCGTTATGTAGTTAAATCTTATTTAATGCTATTCTGAAACTCGTTGTACATTATTCATTAAAAATGTATATACTTCATTGAAAAATACACTTTAACTACTGTTTGTAGATCAGGAATTGATACTTAACAAAACGATGTTATAAGAACATGAACTACTTCTCATTCTCATTACAAATAGCAGTGTATTCAATACACATTTATATCACATATGAACTGATTTTTAAGAGTTAAAAGTTGCTCTACGTTTTTCGAATTATCATGTAGCATTAATGATAAATGTTATCAATGAGCAATAGTGTGTATGCATTTACATACTTAACCGTGTTATATAATCCAAAACTTTTATGTATATATGTATAGCCTACTAAAATTTTCATATACATATACAATTTTACACCTATGTTCAGTACTAAAAAAGAAAAATTTTTCTGATTTTTTTTATTTACAGTAAGTGCATAGAAGCTTACTAAAAAAAATTCTTATTTTTTTTATAGAAATACGATTTTCAGCACTATCAATGAATATGATACAGAAAAAAATATTTATCTTATTAACTTGCATTTTAGTTGGAAAAATAAATAAAATATTAAGTGGTATTAAGCGACATTTCGTGTTTAGCAAGCAATTCATTACGAACTTTTTCGTCTTCTGGATACTCTCTTGCTTCTTCTTCGTTTGGTACGTAATGAGTACCATTAAATTTATAAAAATACCTACCAATCGCATGATGATTTATCCATTCTGGATTCGAAGCGAGTTGCAAATTTTCTAGCCATCAATTTAGACTATTTTAGAATACTTCACTTTTCTTAATTTGTAAAATAAGAAACCATAGATGAAGCATTACCTTGAGCCACATACTGACACGATCCATCGTCCACAAATACGTTGTAGAATGTATCTGCATCTACGTTCATTTCATTCCATACGTTCATCCGTTTAGGAGACGGCACGAGGCGTGCATCCCATCCTGTTATTACACACAGATATCCAAGTACCTTATGTTTCATTATCAACCCTATCGCATATTTCACGCCTGGCACTCTTTCCTTCGGTTTTACTTCTTCCTAAACATATATAGAATTATTACTGAAATATTTTAAAGAAATTTAGCAAATAAAAATAAATATTTGTTATCATTCTTACTTCTAACTGCAAATTTTTGTGACATTGCTGAATGTTTTTAAACCTTTGGGAAATATCATTTGCCTGTCCTCTTGATGTCAGTTCTGAATCCTAGGAAGTTTTAATAAGATTTTAATTTTTTATACCAATACTGTCTTTTGTAAAGTATTGTATAAACTTGATAAAATACTTTTTGCATATTTTCTACGATTTTCACTAATTCGGTTAAATCCATATCCTGTAAGAGGTATATACGACCTAGTTGTAAAATTATGTCTGTATCACTTGGTTCTATCATATATCGAAGCTCGAGAGCTGAACGTAGTCTTGCAGTTCTGATGTTTATCTGAGTATGTTGTCTAGCAGCTGTTTCTATGTTACTTGCCATTTTTGTTATTACCTATTCAAAATTAAATGATAAATTTAAACAAGGGTACCGGGTAACAGTTTATAGTTCAAAGATACAAACCTCCACAGCAGTTGCTGCTTCATGGACATTATATTTTGCTATTGGACATTTAGAATCACCGATTCTTGGACAATCTTTCTTAGTTAGAAACTCGCCACCATTGAAGACGTCGATATAAAAGTTTTCCTTGTCTTTTGATTTTGGACCACTGTAATAAAACGTTGCAATATTTCTTAAGATATAAAACAAATAAAAATGTGAATTAAGCCACTGGAAACTTACTATGTTTCCTTCCATCTTAACAAAAAATGTGATGGAAAACTAACAGGCTCACACCGTATACCGAGTCTTCGAGCAACGCTTTCAAATACTATTGCTAAAGTAATAGGAATCCCGCATTTGTGCTCTAAAACCTATAACGACCCATATTATTGTTTACAAATAAAGATGACATTAACAGTTTATCATCATAACTTATATCAACTTACACGATCTATAAATGAACTTTCTAAGGAATAATACATTGCACTATTCCCATAGAACCCTAATTTCTGAAATAATACTTCACACAATGCATTTGTTACTTGTTTTGTTTCTGTAATGCTCCACTGATTGTCATCTATAATATTATTTTTCCAATGAATAAACTGCTCTTCTGGAGTTGAAAATATAGAATGATTTGGATATTGTTCTCTCAGTAATTCTTTGGTTTGCTGTGCAATATTATCTAAGGCTGATGATACCGATGAGTATGATACATCTCTTTCTGGCTGACTCCACTGTGCTACAATAGTTGCACCGCATTCTAAGGTTTGCTCTTTTGCTGGTAGAGATACAAATTTTTGCCACTCGTTCTTCAAGTGACTCTGTTTCAAATATCGAATAACTTTGAGAGCATAATATCTGTGTGTTAAATTGCTTGCCCTAAAAAAGTTTTGTAACAACAGAAGTCATATTTGAAGTTCTAAATTGTAATACGATAAATATACTTACATAGCAGGATATCTGATTAAGCTCATAAGTTCATCTACAAGAAAAAAGTAACCTAATGGGTGAGCTCCTTCTTCTGGATGAAACAAAGGATTATATTCTTTAAATTCAACATCAGACAACTCTTGCTTTCTGAAATGTTTACTGGACATCATAGATAAATGATCAATTAACTTTCTCCTGGTGCTGAGACTAGCTTTTATCTCCTCTTTCCAAACCAACATTTGATTCTCCAATCTCTGATTTGTCTGATATGCTTCCTTTAAAAGCGGCCATCTATTATTTAAAGAACAAATTGTTTAAGTTTTTCAGTAAATATGTAAAACATTTTTTTGTTCACTATTATAAAAGATAATTTATAGTGTTTACGAACGAAGGTTACAACGTGAGGTAACATGTTTGTATCATCTGTTAGAGTAGCAATTTATTTAAAATAGCTAAAAGTATACCTTTGAAAAAATTTTGTCTTCCAAAGTTTATTACTGTCGTTGACAATTTTATACAAATGTTTGCATGTCGAGCTGAAATTAACCACGTCGCAAAAGTTCAGGCGTTTATCTTCCAAGATATACACGATTATTTCTTCAGGGAATGAAGTTATTGCGTTGCTTGCCATTTTTACAATTTACACCTATGTAATCTAATTGAAATTATAGAACAAATCTATACAATAACCTCTAATTAAACACCTTTCTACTCTGTATCTGTCATCATTCTGTCACATTAGTAGCTTCTTTGGAGTTCAGAGGTTGAATCGATAAAACCACTAGGATAAGGGCGAAGAACGTAATTATGTGTTTCGAGCAGTGATGTTAGATGGAATAGGTTATTCCGCGTATGCGCACTAGTCGTTGAGTAGTTTCAGCGATTTCCCGTTAGATGGCGATAATGCTCCTTTCTTCCAGAATCCAGTCGATAAGTCGTTGAGTAGTTTCAGCCGTTTTTGTATAGATGGCGATAGGGTCGAATTAAAAAATTTTAATTTATGGCGGTCTTTTTAAAATACAAATTTGTCATACAACTACTTTAATAATTTTTCGGTATTGTGCTAGTTGTAACTGGTTTATAAACAATAGAATAAAAGGGAGCCAAAATTGTGTTTTACCAGTTTTCAATACGAGTTGTGGTAAAAAACAGACTGGTAAAATAGGCAAGACTGTCGGAGTATGCAGCGTTTATTTTACTTATTTCTTGAACTTGTTCTGTTTGTTTATTGAATTTATGTTAAATTTAGTCTTCTTTATTTTAATCTATCCTAATATTAGCTGCACATGCAGACTTAACCGCAGCTGGGGATATCTGGAACCCTTAAAATCATGCTTCCTCGAGAACAAAGACATGTCTAGTCTTTTTATATCTGTAGTCAGTGCCTCAATATTTATATATGTATAGTAAAAACGAATGTGTACCATAACCTATCACGTTGTTTAGGCTTTATTGTAAATAGTTATTCCATTAATTAATATTTCATATATTTCTCTGTATGTTTGGTAACGTTGTGAGAAAGTAAAAGCAAAGATTTTTGAAAAATGGATGAATTAGGTGAGCCTATGGACGTGGAGGTAGAGCCAGCAACTGATGACAGCAAAGTTGTTGATTCTGCTGAAACCAATGTAAAACCGTTCAATTTGAATGATGTACAAGTACCAGAGGTATTTAAAAATAAAGAATAATGACTTCTGTGTAATCAATAACAAAGTTTTCTAAGTTTTGTGTTATACTTCTCATTTTTCCAATGCTTGATATAACAGGTACATTTAGACAGCCGCTATGAAAATCGTGGTGCTGCCTTTACAACAGGTATAGACATATTTAGTAAAGAAGAAAAAATGAAGATGGAAGAGAGAGCTAAACGTTTTGGATTAACAGACAAGATAAAAAACAATGTGTCGAACCAAGAGCAAGATTTGTATTCTAGGTGAAAATTCAGACATGTATTAATTTGCTGAACAAAATATGATCACTTTAATCTACTGTCTGTTATTTTCGTTTTCAGTATGGGTGTTGCAGAAGATAATGAAAATACTAAGAATATTAGACTGAATGTGATACACATGAGGGGCACCGAAGATATGAGTACCAAAGATGTATTCAAGTATTTTGAGGACTATGCTCCAGCATCTATTGAATGGATTAATGATGTATCATGTAAAGGCAGTTTAAAGTATATTAAACACTAAAATAATAACACTTTACTAATATATAATGTATTCTAGGTAATATAGTATGGTTAGATAATGTGTCTGCAGCTAGAGCAATGTTAGGCTTGTCAAAAAAAATTGTGGGTTTAGAAAAGCCAGATCAAAAAAACACGAAATTATTTGATAGTAATCCAGATGAAGAAAATAATGTAACTAATAATGTTGAAATGAACGATGACGAGGCTCCAAAATATACAGAAGGAGACTACATAAACATCAAGGATATCAGTTGTCCGTTACCTCCTGGTTTGTGGAGGAAGGGTATAGACTACCCAAAATCTAAAGCAATATTTCTCAGGTTCGCTACTAGAGCAGATAAGAAACAGCCAAATGCTGAAAAGATGAGTGAATATTATAAAAAATATGGAAACCCTAATTTTGGAGGTATCAAAGGAATTTTAACAGAATCTCGTAAGCGAATGTACAAACAAATTAAGCAGAATAAAAGAAAGTTCAGGGATGACTCCCAGGGAGATGTTAAAGATAGCAAACGCATAAAAAATCCATGGGGAGCACTGTCAGAAAGTTGGGGACTCAGTGACGCTATGGAGAACGATTTTGTTGAAAGAACCGAACCCAAGGAACAGGGGCGTAGTATAAAAGAAAGATTAGGTGTAAAGCAACCTCCAAAAGATTCAACACACACGGATGAACGACAAGGCAGTTCTAGCGAGGGTGAAGAGGACTGGTGTAAAAGAAGTAAAGTGTTGCGAATGCGAATGCATGCAGACGACGAAGAAGAAAAAATACATAAACGTCGTGCGCAACTTAAACAAGTCTGTGAAATCTCCCACTATTTAAAATTATATAAACTGACAGGATTTATGTACTTATCATTATTCATTTGCAGACAATGTTAAGCACTTTAAACAAGGATAATGATTTACGTTCAAGGCTTGGCAAGTCGAGAAAAGGGATGCCTCAGTTTCGTGATGCGATTCAAGTAGTTGTAACAAATACAAACGCAGCTAAACCGAATCCATTAAAAGTTAACGATTCAGAGGTAATGGTCGTCGTTAAAATCTATAGTCTGAATTACAATTAGTGAAATCTAAGACATTGATCCTGAACACAGGGTGTTAACCTAGTCGATTATGATATGTCTTTTGACTGTATATAGGAAGAAGACGGTGAAATTATAGAAGATAATGAAAGTCAGGAAAAAGAAGAAGGCGAATGGCAAGCGTCAGACGTAGAGGAGCATGAAGAAGAAGATGATGAAAATGAAGACTATAGCGACGATAGCGATAAACCTGCAAAGGAAGTACAAGGTCCTAAGGGCAGTGTGATAAAAGTAGTCCAGCATAAACCTCGCGTTGCTTCTACGGTATGGGCGAGACTAAATCACGTAAAAAGCGAAGTCATCGATAACTCTGTCAAAGACAGGTAATTGTAACAAATTAATATTTGTTTATATAAAAGCTGTGTATAAAAACAGGATAAAATAATGTTTTACAGGCAACCAAAGGTACGAGATCTAAGAAGTACCTTAAAAGGTGATCTTCGATCCCGAATCGGCAATCACACTAGAGGCCGTTCTCCATTAAGGATAGAAGTGAAAAATGACAAATATACAGAGGAAGGAAGTGAAACGGAATAATTTTTAATCGAACTATCATAGTGTGAGATATGGTTGTGGTGATTCCGTGCAGGAGTACAGCATGGTGAAAACTTTCTAATTGGTGTATAAAAATATATAAAATGCACTCATTACTCCGAACCCATTACGGTTTCATTTAAAAAAAAAATTGAAATAATACTGTATGATCTGTTTTACTAGATGGACGTATTTAGTTAGATTAAATCAATTAAATTTGGAATATTACAAAATTTAGTTTCAAATGTATATCAGAAATAATTTGGTGCTATCAAATGAATTAGTTGCTTGAATATATACGAGTTAAAAGTTTCGTATTTTTGCAATTCATATATGCATTGACTGTTTAACGTTTAAAATGTTAATACCTTTTACATACCGATATTTTAGATATTATCTTTCTATCTATAATAAACGGGTAATGAGTGCTTTCTGAGATGTATATAGATATTGTCTAACATAAATGATCATACAAGTAGACTTTCATCAAATGAATAAGGTACTGAAAAACAAAGTATATTTTTAAATATTCGTTTGTACGATCGATGATATTTTCTTGAGAATCGTGCATTTTTAGTGATTGCAATATAATCAAATCATGTTGAAGAAAAAAATATTTTATAACAAAGTTGTATGCTGAAGTATGATAGAAGATTTTGCAGACGAATATTTAATTGATTATGCATCGAATCCATGGTAATGATCTTTTGATTTTTTTTTCTTTTTTTTTGTAACCAGTCAAAACTAAAACATCACATACTTAATGCTCAATAAGATTGTAAATAAAAAATGGAATTATGCGAGTCGAATAGTTATACGTACAAAGCATTTAGGATATATTTTCCTTACGTATTTTGCGAATAATGAAATGTTTCGTAATCTGTAATTTCTCAGAATTGTACATTAAAAAAAAAATTTAATAACGGTGATGAATCCATAGTTTTCTGCGAGTACAAAACGCAGAATATAAATCTGTATGCAACTTTTTCACGTATCTGAAAGAAAAAATAGAATTATATAGAAAAAACAGGAAGTAAGGATAACAATAATTGTGACTTCGATTCCGAATAATTGACCAATAAAGCCGCTTTTATATTAGCACAATAATACTTTGAATAGTCATTTTAAAATACAATAATTGATAATTACCATTTCAGTACATACATATGTATAATATATGTATGTATATATGCAAGATATACATATATATAATATTTATCATTTACATGAATAACAATTATTCGGAGAAATGGCTAAAGTAATTTAAAAAAAAAAAAGAAAGATAGATTTCTTCTTTGAAGAACATAGTGGATTATCATCAGAATATTCTTTAGCCGCATTCATAGTTTACTTTGATTTCTCTACATATTAATTTAATCTCATCTTTGTACTGTTCAATGTTTACAAACAGAAATGTCTCTCTACTGGAATAATTAACAAACAGGAAAAAAAGAAATTTTAAAGATCATTTCTCATAATGTTAAATTCTATGAATGCAGCCGAGGCACGAGGTAATTTAATGCATTAACAAACGAGATGAAATATCTTTGATATCAGCGTTAATACCTATTATTACTATTATTAATTATGTGCTTTAAATCAAGCGTACCTCGACAAATCTACATACTCTTCTATCTAAATTGTATTCTAAGTTTCCGTCTTTTTATACATTTTATAAGATCTACTGATTAGGAAGTCAGGTTCTTTGGACGCTTTGTAATCAAAAATATCAATCTCGTTTGTTAAAAGGCAATCGTGCACGATATCAAGATTTCCATTCTTCTATCCTACGTAAAAACTGTGTTTGATGCATTTCTCTAATTAATATTCTTTTCTCTTTGTTGACCTGACGTCTCATCCTGTTCTTTTTTTTTGTTATTTTTCTTTTATCGTAAATGACGTATAACATTTAAAATCCATAGACGAAATATTCTTTCAATATTTGGATATATATAAGATATGAATCGGCAACAACAACAAATACACGCAACGTTTAAGTATATTAGGCCTGATGATATTAATAATAGTTTCTATCAGTTGTATATTAAACGCTACATTATATCGTTGCTCGCATTCCATTTGAATCCTGTGCCTCTTTCTTCGCCGATAATGGTGTTCCAATTGTTTCTCTTTTTGATAAATTTTGATAAAAGTGTATAGAAGATCCTTAACGATACATAAATGTGCCTTGTATTGATCTTTTATAGGGTTCAATGTAAAATTATAGTTTCCATTGATTAATAAGAAGAGAGAACAGACAATATTAATGGAATTCAAATTGTCGCTTTGTAAGATATATTTTAATACTTAATCTTCAATACCATATTTATAGTTCTTACATCTACAAATAATCAGATTTAAATGGTAATTTTAATCTGTTGATCCTAGACGAACTAGCAGGATGAATTTAGAGATCCACAAGCTTACTTCCAGTCCTTTTTTAGATTCTCTGACTTGTGCAAAATGTTAGGATCATGATTTACAGAGGTAATTCTTCATAGTATGTTGGAATAACAGTTGCAAAGGTCTATACTACTGTAGCATTCTTTATGAATAGCATTTCCTATACTATAAAATATTTAATAACTACTTGACCAATATTTAGTATTCATGTAATTACAAAGTAAACCTTGATGTCCAATTTCAGGGTCTCAATTTGTAATGTAAAGAATCACCTATGTAATTCATTATTAACACCTTTTATAATCTCTAATTAACGGAAGTGGTGTGTTTCAGGTGAAATGTCGATTTTGGAACACCGATATCGTTCGTCAGGCCCAATAAATTTTCTACTCGTTCTTCTCGAGGCAGCTCGTGAAAATTATTTGACAAACATTTCGCAATGCTAATTTATCATTCGACGATCGTCTCTCTGTCGCAACTGCTCTCGGTATTAACTTCTTAAATACGTACACACATATAATATTCATGAAATTCTGATACATAGCGACTGTACACGCAGAAAAAGTACGAAAAGACCGTCTGGAAATTAGTTTCACTTAGCACTCGAGAAATTCAGTTCCAAGTTATATGAAGACGAAATTGAAAGGGTACGAGGAAGAAAGGGTTTCATTCATCGTGTGTTCTTTTTTAGATAAACACCCTGTACAGCATAAAAATATTAAAGAAAATTGGAAGCTTCTCTAAGCTTTCTTCCTGTATTCCCTTTGTAAAACAGATACGCTCTGAATACATCAGAAATACTGAAAACTGCACATTTTTTTAACTCCAGGCTCCTGAACCTGAAGGATTTTCAGTATCTTTGAGTGTATTTTAAGCGTGGATCAAAACATTTCACATCAAGAATTTAATAAGATGGCACATATACTTCAACAAGCGCTAGTTGTCCTTTCCGATTTTTCATTAAAAGAAAAAGGTATTTCCCAGGAAGGTATATCTGTTAAGATAGCAATACGTAATGGATTAATTATTAATTTCAAATGATGAAATCATCGTCTAAATATTCAACGACGTCAACGATTCAATTATGCTTGCAAGGACAGCAGTGTAAAAAAGAAGCATATTAAATTAGATTCTCCTCACTAAGAAAGAACGAACAAAAGCTATGTTTATTTTCTAAGAAATAAATTAATGAAAATAGAAAAATATTTTCTGTAACTCCTAGATAGACTTATCAACTATGAATCACCAATAATGTTTCAAAATTTTAAACCTAAAGCGACTGATAAATATGAACATTCTATTCTGGATAGATTGAAAAATTCTTCTGATTATTGGTGAGATGCTAAACTCCTCTCATAGACTGTTATTTTTTATTGAACTCCAGATATAAGCAGCAGCAAGGTCAGATCAATAATCCAATACATCCTTCAAGGGTTTGTAGGGCATAATACACGCTGAGCAATCGAAAAGGACATTCATCTGGGTAATACAACGTTCTCATCGAATATTTGAAGAAGGATATTTGAATCATAGGCAACGAAGCGTTCTTGAAGTGTATAATTATTGATAACGCATCGACGCCTTGAGTTCAATCGCGAATACACCACTGACACGGGTTATTAATGAAGAATCATTTTATTGGATGTATCGAAGATGAAATCTGAGATCTGATTAGTCGAGGGAGGCAAAGTGTTTCATACTGATTCCTTTTATCACTCTCTCTTCCTTTCTCGTGTCGCTCTTACTTTCTTTTATTATTAACAAAATCCTAATGTTTCGTTTGTACACACGATTGGTCTCGTCCAAACATTGGCGAAACTAGGTTTTCAGGGTGCTCCTGGTCTCTTAGCTTTGTTAACAGTGTCAAATAAAGAAAAGGACCAGGCCCAACCTGGCCCCTCCTTAATTCCACCAATGCATCCAAAATAAGAATAATATGCTTCTTCTATTTTTCTCTTTCAACAAGTATCTCGTTGAAGAAAGAATAATAATTGAAGTTTCTCATAAATGGGTAACAAGCAATTATTAAATGAATCGTTTATATCTTACTTGTGCTTTAATGATTACTCGACTTCTGCTGCGTTCGTGATCATAATCGGCTAAGCTTTTTACCGTCGATGATACGTTCGCATACATACACAGATCAAATCGCTTTTCCATTTGTCACGGCCACATATCTCCAAGGATGCTGTATCAACTAGAGCTATATATTGAATATCAAAAAAGAATCTGTTCGAGTATACACATGTATATTTAGAGCGAAAAAAACATACGAATCGAAACAAGAACATTATTTTGTATCGTACATTTAACTCACATGGTGATTGTTTGAATCCCGGAAATCGTGTCCGCCGACAAGTGGACTTTATGAAACCAAATGGTTGGTTTTATGAAAGAACGTTCAAGTTATTTATGAATGACAAGGTGAAAAATTCTTGAATGTAAAAGAAAAATGTGATACATTAAAGCATGTAAAAAGATCAGAAACATATATATATATAAAATAAACAATACAGACACCGCATTCAAACAGACACCATGCGTTCTATCGCACAAGAATGGCAGTATCAGTGTAATAATACCTGTAGCTGGTAAACCAAGGCGCAATTAAATGGCTTAGTAGAAGTGGAAGTTGCATCGGTTGCAATTAATTATCTGAATTAAATATGCGCCTATCTCATTCTCTCTTTCTCGCATGCACTCTCTTCTCATTTTTTCTCCTTCTTCTTGTCGTCCCATCTCATTCTCTCTCTTTCTTTCTTCTACAAGCTAAGTCCGATGGAGGCAAAAAAATGAATTTCCGCAGCTACTATAAAAAATGATGACACTGAAAATTACATAATGACAATAAGGAAACTATCGTCAAATACTTGGATGAATTTAATGGCTGTTGTTTCGCAGTACACTGATATTTATATACGTATATATCTATATACTTCAGTTACAAGCATTCTCTCTTTCTCTCTCTGCGCGCATTCATCTTATCGGTCGCCGTTATTACGTGGCTCATAATTATCTCGCACATTACACCGACCACGTCACTCGCTCGGCAATTAAATCACAGACAATGTGTATGATACGGTGATTAACAATAAATCGTCAACTAGCGTTACCTACATATAATTCGGGATAAATAAAAGTTATTGTACAAATTAATATTATGCAATTCAATGTAACAAAAAAAAGAAACACTGTATTTTGTTTTTTTTTTCCGGTTAAGACATGCGAATGTACAAGTATATGCACGGACACTGCGGTGTTTTTTTACCTCATTTACCGCTCCCGTTTCTCACCAATGGTCGTCGCTGCTACTAATTTTCTTCGATTATAATATCCTCGTAGAATGTTTTGGTTTTTCTTGCTTCGATCGTAGACAACTGTGAAAGAAGTACACTTCTGTTACTTTGACGCCACATCTTCGCCTCCTTTTTGGTCGGCTTGCGTACTAACTCCAGCTGGAATGCAATTGGATACTTTCAATGATTCTTTATTTGTATCAAATGAATACGAATAAATGCAGATACCAGTAGACTACATAGGGTTCTCTTGATGATTCTCTTGGAATAGTAGGGTCTCTTCAAAGATATACTGTTTCAACACCTCTTTTGGAAGATTGTCTAGCTCCATGTCAAACCTAAATGGCTCTTCCGCGACAGGCTGTAACAGTTTAGCTTTAGCATTTATCCATTAGTAACTAAAATTTATTAATACCTACTTCGTCAGCTGGATCGTAATATTGTTCTAAGTAAGGATGCGCGAGTGCATCTTCTACAACGATTCGTTTGTTAGGATTAAAAGTTAACATCTTGTCTAAAAGATCTAAAGCTCGTGGATCAGCATTAGGAAAAAGGCTTGTCCATGGAACCTTTGGTTTGTACGGTAAAGATTGAAGGTAATTTCGCGCCTAAAATAACATTTGAAAATTACTGAAACTTAGAAGCATATATTAAGAAATTTAAAAGAGTATAATTAGTACTTTTTCATTTATAATGCACTCAAGATCTTCGGTAGATGGTGATCCAAGTACTCCCAATATATGGTTCAGTTGATCTAAGTAATGCTTGCCAGGGAATATTGCTCGCCGTGAAAGCATTTCTGCAAGAATACAACCAACCGACCAAATATCTATAGACTTAGTATAACCCTGTAACAATAATAATATTGTATTATATGTTATTTCCAAGCTAAAATACATTACTTAATCATTTACCTTTGAATTGAGCATTATTTCTGGAGCTCTATACCATCTTGTTGCTACATATTCGGTAAGAAAACCAGCATGATTATGCTCTGGATCGGCAACTCTGGCTAAACCAAAATCACAGATTTTAAGGTCACAGGTAGTATTCAACAGCAAGTTGCTTGGTTTCAAGTCTCTGTGCAATACATTTGCGGAATGAATGTACTTTAATCCTCTTAATATTTGGTACAGAAAATAGCATATGTGATCGTTACTAATAGCCTGTAATTAACAGAAGATATTTTATGTTAAAATTTTTAAATGCTTCAATTATATATCAGCTATTATGTTAACCTGTGTTTTCAGAAGTTTATAGAGATCAGTTTCCATTAAACATTGAACAATATATACATCTTTCATTTGTTCTATAGTAGGTGCCCTTAATATATCCCTTATATCTATTATCTATAAAAAAAAAGATTGCAGGGGTAGTGTATTTTTATAACTCACATTTTGCCAGTCAATAACATACTCACATTACAAAAATACTCACATTTTCATGCTTAAACCTAGTCAAAATTTTTATTTCTCTTAAAGTTCTCTGGCTATATGTCTGATGTTCAAAAGGTGAAATTTTTTTAATAGCTACCTTTGTCTTCGTTACATTATCATAAGCAGATCTAAAAAAAAAAAAGATAATTCCAAAATGCATCAAATTATTATTTTATTAATTTTATGAATCATTAATGTTGGATTTAATTGCCTTAACTTAAATGATAAAATGCTGTAACATGCATACATAATATTCATGTTTTTTGAAGTATTTTTTTTAATATTATAAAACATTTTTAATGTTTTTTTTTTCATTTAACATATGTTTATATAATAAATTTTCAATATAGAATAATTTCATAACTATAATATTATCAATGAGAAAATTCGTAAATTTTGGGAACAAAAATTAATCGTTCTTATAAGATATTGGTACAATAATCGTGATCTAATAAACGGTATAATGATAAGACCGATAAATGAGAGATAAGCGACGGGAACAAGGAAGTGATAACACTAACACAAGTAGAGAGGAGTTTAAAAGGGTGTGACAATCGTGTTTAAAACTGGCGCCAAAAGGCAATGATACATAACGATGAATAGCACATAATAGCAGGTGTATGTACACGATGCCAAGATGAAAGAAAAATCTTTGATACTCATTAGAAAATAAATATTTTATCAAAGAATTGATCATTCACTTATTAAGCGTGTTTCTGATTGTTTATCTTTCGGCCTGTCAGCCAGTCAATACACGGTCGAAAGTTCTCGGGAGTAACAAGAAGAAAATTGACTTGAAGACACTTACACGACCATCCCGTAAGCACCCTCGCCCATGTACGATAAATTCGTATATCGTGGGCCAACTTCGAATGTTTGTCCCCGAACGACCTCACAATTTGGATTCACATTTGCAGAACCTTCGCCCGCCATTTTGACAACTATTTTGCGGCTCCGGCGAAGTCAGAATAAGTCTTGCTTCGTAGCCGAATCGTCACAAACAATGTCACTATTAGATGGACTTTTGGAATTTTACATGTCACTTGTCACTCGATGTTTTCGCCCCCTTTTTATAAACTTTATCACTATCCATTCCCGTAAACCGTAAAGTTTTATAGATGTCGCTATAGTTGAAACACAGTTGTAGTCCATCTACACATAAGATCTGTAGTCACTGCCGCGGCAATAAATAATTTGCAACAGTTTGCAATCTGTCAGTAGAGTGTTATTATTGTATTAAAAATTGAATTTTATAAAAAATAACTGCAAGGGTTTGATCTCAATATTATATATAATACTTCAGTTATAAAATGAATGCACCTCCGACCTTTGAATCATTTCTACTGTACGAAGGAGAGAAAAAGTTAGGACTGAAAATTGATTAACTTATTATTTCTTAATTTTCTAAACGTATTTATAATTTTAATTATTGTATTTAGAATTATCAAGGAACAAGACACAAAGGTTCCCAATGCTGCAATTTTCACAGTTAATAAGGAAGATCATACTCTTGGAAATATGATCCGCAAGTAAGTACCCTTAAAAAGATAAGAACTGCTGTTTTCTTAGATGTATGATTTTATTTAATAGCCAACTGCTAAAAGACCCTCAAGTTTTGTTTGCTGGATACAAAGTGCCTCATCCACTAGAACACAAATTTGTTATCAGGATTCAAACAACATCAGACTATACACCACACGAAGCTTTTATGCATGCAATTACAGATCTTATAGCAGAACTTTCATTATTTGAAGAACGTTTTAAGGTAAAGTGCAACTATTAAATCTTATACCTCAGTTTATCATGATGAACTTATGTTATTCTTTACAAAATATTGCAGGAAGCAATTAAAGAGAAAAAAGAAGGTTTGGACTAAATTGATTATTAAATATAGATATCCTAAGCAATTGTATATATATGTATAGGTATTAACATAAATGTATGACATTTGTATATTACAAAGGGAACTAATATACTTCGATAAATAGAGAATAATATTTGTATATATATATGAATAATTAAATACAATTAATTCAAAGAAATTGTATTAGAATATTATTTTGATCATGATTTTCTTACAAAGATACAAGGAAAAATTAATAACTCTCTGCTCATCATAACTAATCAATATTTACCGTTTAATTTGAATGAATTTCTGTAAAATACTAAAATCAGTCTCTTACAATTTTATTTCTCTTAACTACAAAGCATAAAATTTTAAGACTAATGAATGTATCAACCTTGTATTAAAGCTTAGTTAAAAGGCAAGACAACAGTAGGACATAGTAGTACAATTTCGCTGAAATGATTTTCATAAAAATAATAGATGACATAAACAAAATAAATACCTCTTTTTATATCGAATGTAAAAAGCACTTTCTCAGAAAAATGTACTACCAATTAAATCAATATAAACTCTTGCAAATGAGGCAAGAAATGTCTTACGCTTCAACGCTAATGACTCGATCATTGCGTTCTTTAATTACAGGAACTATCGCTGTATCTGCTGCGTTTTTGAACGCAAAATAAATAAATACATGTACAGGTTGATATAAATAACTATTATGTACATAATTACATCGAACTTTAGACAGTCCCGTTAATCGATACCTGTAATCGTTTAGCTTTTCATAATGAAAATGAACAAAATATGCTTCATTTTTATAAAACAACGTAACAATTTAACCATAACTGTGGCTTGTAATCAAATGGTATGGCTTTGTACTTTAACAATTACAATGGAAGCACAAATATGCACACAAAACAATCCAGTAAAAACAGACTTTCAAGCCATGAATTTAACAAGAGCACAGATCTTCATCAAGTCATTAGAATTCGTGAATGAATACCCATGTCCTATGCAGGAAGACATACACACAACGGTAGCATTAAATTCTTTTATATAAAAATATACTCTGCTAAATTTCAACAGGTTTCTTCTTGTATCTAGAATATCTGAGAAGCGGTAAGATAGGTTTAGAAATAATAACACGCTTTTAAAACGTTTCGGCATCATCGCAATCACGAGTATCGTGTCCAAACACTGTAAAACAATTAAAAGAATTTTTAATGATATTAGTTAGAAAGGTATACATTTAGGAGATATATCTTGATAAGAAAATTGTATTAGTAGGAATAAAAATACTTTCTTTTAGTTATTAGATGATACTTTTTAGGAACTGCAAGCATCTTTTTGAAGAAAATTTTAAACACCTATTTTTTCTTTTGGAACAAAGAATATTGTAGACAAATACAAAGAGGAATATAAGTTTTACAGTTCTGGATAATAAATTCTTACTTTCACAGTTTTCGCAGTACGGTCTTTCCACAGACACCTTTTTTGGGGATTTTGCAATTTTCTCTGTTTCTAAAAAGTCTTGGGCTTGGCGTGGACAATCTTCTGTTTCATGTAAATCGAATTGATCACATATATCACAGAACATACGTGGTGCGGCCATACGTTTCTCTAAGGTGGTTCTAAAATTACATAATCAATGTTACAAATTTAAAGATTAAGGATTGTATAGTTTATACGATAATGCATACGTTGTATATTCGTCAGCTTCATTAGCGGGTACTCCCATTTCAAGAACCTCAATTTTACATAACAAAGTTTCATTTTTACGTTGCATATCTACTATTACAGAATTTAAAAAGTCTATCTGGCCTTTCGCCGTTTCATAGTTTTCTTTTAATTTTAAGGAATCAATATCCTTATCGCCTAGAATCAATCATTTTATTTCATTATAGAGTAATATTTAGGAAATTGAATTGCGAAAAAAAATATTACCTATATGTTTCATATCACCTCCTGCTGCCTGAAGTACGAACAATTTATTATTCTATTGTATTTATCACATATACTCTATTTAGATATAAAAATGAGGAACTTACATCATAATTATTCTTTATATTTTCGCGAGTCAGTTTTAACTGATTCGTCGCCTCCGTCCATTTTGCAGTAATTAATTTATTTTCTTTTTCCCTAAAAGATGCAAATTTTTATTACACTTGCTATGCAAATATCATTATACCTACTTACAAATTGTTTTGTGCTTCCTTTAAATGTGCGAATTCTGAAGATACACGATTTAATTTTTCCATCAAATTCTGCATGTTTTTCTCACTTTCTTTTTCCTTATTTTTCATAGTATTTGTTAGTATTTCGATTTTCTCCTTCTGTTCTTTTAATATTTTTTCAAACGATTCTTTAGTATCCATCAAATTCCTATTTTCTTTAATCACTTCATTCAGTTTACTTTGAGTAAGTTTTATTTCTTCGTTTCGCGTCTGTTCGTCTGCTTTAAGCTTATCTGTTTGTGCATTTTCTAAAACCTTTATTTGTGCTGTTAATTTCTCTATCATCACTTCTTTATTATTTAAGTCAATATTTTGTTTCTCAACCAAAGTTTGAACGGATTGTTGCTTCTGCTGTAATTCAGAAATTTTCTTAATTGCATTTTCAAGTTCAGTTTGCTTAGATTTCATATCACATTCGTAGTTACTCCGTAATTTCGTTATAGATTCATCTTTAGAGCTTTCTAATTCTTTTATTAAGCGATCCATCTCCTGCAGTGATTTATCTTTCATGGTTAAATCCTGTTGTACACTCTTCAATTGGGATTCTAACGTTGTTGCATTATCTTGTAATCGTGATTCTAAATTTTGTACTTTATTTTCTAAAGAAATCTTTGTTTCTAGAATGCTAGATATTTCTTTTTCTTTTTCTACAAGAGCATCTTGTATCTTCTTCGTTTCGTTTGCATTATCTGATTGATCCTTTTGCATTTTTGAAATAATATCATTAAGTTTTAAAACTTGCGCTTCAGTTTGTTCAGCTTCCTTTTTCGTTTGAACAAGAGCATCTTCTTTACTTTTGATGGTTTCTGTTGCATTGACTAGTTTATCTTTTAATTCTTTTATTTCATTGGACATAGTATCCAACGAAGTTGTTAGATTTTTATTAGTGGTTTCTTTACTATTTATTAATGTTTCATTAGTTTCTTGTAATTTCAAATATTTATTTTGTAACTGTTGCAAATAAGAATCTTTCTCGGTTATTAAAGATTCTAATTTTGAACGGTTTTCAGTCTCAGCTGTTAATTTCTCTGTTAATTCTTCGATAGACCAACGATTGGCACTTTGATCTGCTTCTAGTTTCGATTTCAATTTTTGCATTGCTTTTGTCTCTTCTTTAGAAGCAGTCAATTCTGATTTTAAATTACTCATTTCTTTTTGAAGCGATAATATCTCTTCCTTGTGCGAGTTTTGCAGCGTATCACATTGTTTTTGAAGATTAAGAACTTCATCTTTACGGTTTGTTAATTCATTCATAAGGTTCAATGCTTCTTCAGATTTTTCTTTAAGATTCTGCTTAATATGTTCATTTTCCTGTATTTGCTTATTCAGTTCTACTATCTCTGTTTCAAAAGCTGTTATTTTATCAGATAACGTTGTATTTAATGTTTTCTCTTTTTCCAACTGAGTCTTATTATCTTCTAATGCCGAGCGTTGTTCTTCAATTACTGCGTTAGCTTTTTTTAATTGTACTTCTGTATTATCCAATTTAGCCTCTAATGATTTCAGCATACTATCACTGTTAAATGCTCTATCTTTTAATGCATCTAATTCTTTCTCTTTTAATCGCAAATCTTCGTTATATTTTACAAGTTGTGCAGACGAATCAGTGGAAGTACTTATCATATTTGCAATATCAGCCTCCTAAACACAGTACAAAAAATTAGGTATTTAATTCAAATATAATATAGGTATAGCAATTACTAACCAATTTCTCTTTTTGAGCGGTAACCTGAGACAACTTATTTTCCGTGCCAGCTACTTGCTGATTTAATTGTTCTATGTTGCTTTCAAATGTCCGAAGCTGATTCTCCAAATTTGTTTTACTTTGTTCTGACGTAGTAAGCGTGCTCTGTAACTCTAAAATATAAAAGATAATATTTAAATGAGTATCAAGATTATTACTATTAAATTGAATATATTTTTTACCTAAAGTTTTTTCCATAAGAGTTTTGATCTCTTGATCTTTATTCGCTAGAATTGATTTTAGTTCAACTATATCATTTTCTAATTTGCTAAGTAATAATGACTTTTGAGATATGTTTGTGTTTGCCTCTTCAATATGTTTCGCTTTTTCTTCAATTTGACGCTGATAACGTTTAGTTAATTCCTCTATTTCAGCTGCGGTAGTTGAACGAAGCTCGGACAATTCTTTTTCCTTCACTTTCAATTCTTCGTTTAATTTTTGTAATTGTGTAGAAGAAGTTGCCTCGGTAGCTCGTAAAGACGCAATGTCTTGTTCCTAGATTAATAAAACATTTATCAATGATAAACTCGGTGTTTATAACAAAGATACTTACTAATTTTTGCTTTTCTTGAACTATTTTAAAGCTATCTTCAGCCTTTGATTGATACTCTTGTATCTGTTTAGAAAGCATATCATTCTTCTCTTCCATTAACTTCAATTTTTCGTTCAGTTCTGTAAAACGAAAATCATGAAAATCATAAGAAATTTGCACATTTTACATAAGCAACATACCTTCAAGTTTTTTCAAAGCAATGTTTAACTCCTCATCTTTTTTATTATTTATATTAACCTGTGCTGCCAGTTCTGCCATCAGTTTTTCAGTTTCTGATATTTTTTTATTTAATTCCATTGAAACTTCCTTGATTTCTGAATTTTTCATACTTAACTGTTCGTTGAAGGACTCTGAAAGTTTGTTAATTTGTTTTTCATTCTCAGCTTTTAAATCCTCCAAAGCAACGTTTTGTATCTCTAATTGTTTTTTAGATCCCATTTCTAATTCTTGAATTTTTATCTTTAGAAGATTTTCTTTCTCCTCCACCATTTTTTCATATTTAGATATCAATGATTCCTTTTCACTCGTGGTTTCTTTTTTTACAGTCTCTATCATTTCGGTGGCTTTTTGCAGTTCTTCTTTCAAAGTATTTGTACTATTTTCAAATTCTTTTTTCATATTTTCTATCAGAGTATTTTTCTCCTCTAAACTTTTCGTTGATTGTTCTAATTCTGTTCGTAAAACAGTTTCTGATTTGGTACTTTCCCTTTGATTATCATTCAATGTTGATTCCAGTTCTTTTATTTGTACGACACATTGTTCCACAAGTGTTGTCTTTTCTTGTACTTCCCTTTCAAGATTGTTCTTAATTTCTTCTAAACTCTTATTGCGAATCTGCAAGTCTGAATCAATTGAATGTTAATAAAAATGCATACAAAGTACAGTTTCAAAAATTACCTTCCAACTGGTGTTTATCTTGAGCGGTAACAGTGGAGATCTCGTTGCGAAGACGTGTCAATTCCTCTTCGGTTTCAAACAGTTTTATGCTATCGCGTTCTAATTGAGCAACGCGTTCCCTTTCCTCTAACAATTGCTTTTCGAGATCCTTTATTCTATTTTCATTTACCGTATTTATTACCTAACGAGAAACACATTTGTTTAGTGCCCAGATAAAATTATTTACATACACGTTAATTAGCATAATGTGCTCAAGATATATAAGAATACCATTTACGTTGATTTAGGCGAAAACGCAATAAAATATAAAAATATAATTTTCTTTCTTATATGTTCAAAGAAATGTGGAACATATTATTTGATTTTTCAGAGTAATAATATATGTATATTAATATATAATATAAATTCAACATAGTATATCAAACAAAATTTACAACAATAAATAATAAATAAATAAATAAATAAATTACATTAAGATAAATTTCCCCAATTTTTCCTTACTAATTACTACCTACTAATACTTGATTCATAGTCAAGCACTTTAGCATATAGAAAGCATTATTTTGCAGTGCACCGCAAAGCATTTTAATTCCGCACCTTTCTAACATATCTTAAACTTACTCTTTGTATGTAATACAATTCTAATTTGTTTAATTGTACTTTCTTTTTTCCCTTATTATATCATAAATACTATCACCCCTTTAAACTGACATTTAATGTTAACAAAGATTAAGAAGAATTAAAGCTTGAAGGAGGTAGTGCGATGTCATATAGCTCTTTGACAAAACTGCGATGAAATGTTAAATGATATGACTACAGTGACGATAAGAGAAGCGGTGCAGAAAAACAGCATCAACACCTCCTCTGGCCCAAACGGCTGCCATGGGATACTCACACATTGCTCAGTTCTCTCTTTCTGAAAATAAACGATAAGGTTTTTGTGTTAACCCAAAGCTTGGATAGAAATGCTTCATGTACCTCGCGAAACGGTGAACTTTTAATTTTATTTACCACTATTTTCTTTCTATGAATACATTCATAAGCACAGTTGAGAATCTGTACCCAACACCATTTATTATGTAAAAGCTCTTAATGCTAGTAAAAGCATTTTATTCTATTTTCTAATTCTAATGCAAATCATTTTGGGAAACTGATGTATACAATACTTTTTTAAATAGAAATGCAAAAGGAAATCTGATTAACCAAAGTGAAAACAGAAAAATACAAATTAATATAAGTCTTGATTATTTCACCTTGCTTTTATTTATTGCTTGATAATTAATTCTTTGAATGTTTTATAGCTTACCTCATATTTTATTATAAATCATTCTACAAAGATATATACCTGAATATCATCCTTATTGACTGATTCTTCTTCAAACCGAAACAAAAGATCTTCACATTTCCTCTTCTCCTCTTCCAATTGTAAAGCCAGGGCATTCTTCTCCTGAAGCAGTTTTGTGAATGCAGTTTCTGCTTCTGTAACTGTTTTCTGCATCTTTTCTCGGTACTAAAATTACAATCATATTCTTAGTATCTTTAAAATATTAAATAAATTAGAAATACATATATAATGTAGCAACCTGTTCATATTCTTGTTTTATTGAAATAATTGATTGTTCAGCTTGATCTGCTTGATTAGCAGCTTTTGTAACGCGCTCACGTTCTAGATCTCTTTCTTTCCGAAGAATTTCTATCTCCTGCTGCTTCTCTTTTAATGTTTCCTAAAATAATTAAGATATATATAAGAAAAATTGTATGCAATGTTATCGTATTTATTTATAATCTTCTACACTAGAAGTTTTTGGTACACAGAAGACATATAAAGGGAATACATATTTATTAAAGGAATTATTGAAAACTAATTTGAAGCTAATATTCAATTATTGTCATCACAATCTATATTCTTAAGTTTCTGCAAAACTTGTATTTCATTCTTGATACTGTACTTGAACTTTTAGATGATTGAAAAACCGGTTTTTAATTAATACAACAGAAACGTACAAACTAAGTAACATAAATATTCAAAGCGTGTACGCTGTTGCGTTACAACACTATCAGATTTGCAAGATTTGTTATTTCTTACATATTTATCTGGATGACTATCAATGAAATAGAAAAGCTTCTTACTTCTTATATTCAGAAGTTGGTAAAAAATAAATTAGCAGAATAAAAACTGACGACGTTGATAGGTATAAATAGTATCTTTCTGTACTTAATTTACAAAAGAAATCCCCACATAGGCGAGAATTGGCTTTCAAGGAGATTAAAAGGAATGGACAGAGGATTTTATTAACATTACATACAAGTATTATTTGTCTAAACTACTTATCAACTACTACATAAGTGGCAATTACACTTTAATGAATAAAAGTGTACTATCTATGGTGATCAAACCATAGTATATGATTACAATCACAATGGCTACAGAAATGAATTTAATAAATCTGGACTGTCAAATCATAGAATTATGTTATAATCACAACGCATTTGCTGTTTTAGCTGCATTGAGAGCTTCAATTTCTAATTGATTAATTCATAATAATCAATACAAACGTTAGATTGTACTCTCACCTGCAGTGTAATTCGTGCAGGTGTCGACGTGCGCAAACCAGGCCTCTGGAATATTGGATGCAACAGACAACATATATGTATATATATAGCATGCAACAGCCATACAGTTAAACTGCAATTCCTCTTACTCTTTCTAATAAATAAATGTATGTCTTCAATAAAAAAATATAATAATTTTCTGACATTAACAACAATTAGTTATCATCTCTATTATAACAAAATTAAGATTAAACAACTCTTTGGAAAATAAGTTAAACTGTCTAACGTTTGACAATGTTACTCAACAAAAGCAATAACAATAATAACAACTGTAACACATATATATCTATAACACTTCTAAGTAACTAATAAGCTAACAGTTCATGTTTCAAAGCAATTCAACAAGAGTTGTTATACTTTATTCGCAAAAATCAATTTGTATGTTTAAAAACAATAAGAAGGATCGACACTGTTTAATAAACTACTTAATGAGGTATTCAATGAATTAGAATCTAATGATACTGAATCTAAATTGTACTAAGAACATGTGATCCCCTAATTGTTTTTAACAATGTCTCAAACAAAGTAAATAGCTAAAAATCTGCACTCTGGACAGAAGATGCAAGCTGAAGACCATTCTCCTTATTCTGGCACGGTAAATCTTACCCTCGCTGAGCTAACACCAGCCCTGGTGGCTACGCTCGCGGTGCTGGCGATGCTCGACAGTGAAAGTAAAGACTCTCTGGAACCAATCTTCTTCAGGGATGAGTTTAGAGCAGCGCCGGTTGGCTTGTGTACCATACACGATGACCTTTTGCTGGTTGGCGACCGGGTGACCTTGTGTGCGGGTGTGAACAGGCCGTATTTATGTCGACACTCAAAGTACCTGAATCAATGCTAAAATAATTAGCAAGCCACCAGAGAAATCTAATTAATGGTATCAGTAACTTGAATTTCAATGGAATTTTATGAAATGAACTAGTTTCAATAACCTTATAAACCTTACTATAATCTAAATCTCTTAATAGAAAACAACGTTATCCTAATACAATAGACTGCTGAAAGCTATCGTTATCTATTCACATCAAGCTCTATGAACAAAACTATAAATATACCTACAGATAATTAATTCAACATTGCAGAATCGAACAAACGTTCCTCCTACGTGAACAAGTTCTCTTTCGAATTTTCCAAAATTCATCGTTTCTTGATACTTTCTGCTATAGCCAGAGCTGAAGATTCTCGGTTCAAGGTCAGTATAATCATTTCCAGGTTCAGAATTAAAAAGCTTTCTTTATAGTTGTATGGCAAATAAGAAAAGGCAAGACATGTAACTGAATCATATAAGTGGGAAGTTATTGATGAGGGGGATAGCGACCTTAAGGAACCAAATTCTCGGCTCAAGCTATAGAATTGTGAAGATCAATGCAGACCTCTTATCACCAACGGAGCCATCGTTTTTTCCAATTGGATCATCGAGTTCCACGCCACACCATTCGCCTGGTGCAAATTCTGTGGGGCCCATGTACCTGAGGACACCTGTTTTGCTGCCTTGGCTGGACGATACTATTACCCTGTCGCCTATCCTGAGATCCCTCTGTGACATCGTGGACGACAGACTCGTCGTTGATGCGTCTATATGACGAGTTACACAGATTTTATCAAATGATACTCTGAATCGAATCTTACATGCAACATAAACTGTACTACCAATGCTACTGTCTATAATGCAAATTTTCATTTTTAGAATGCCCTTCCTTTAACAGGATACAACTGAGAAGCCTCAAAATAATACCCTTTCACAATTTCAACGATGAGAAGAGGGTGAGGAATCGGCGTACATCCGATTTATTTATTAAAACACACACAATTCAAGGCTTAGAGGTTTAGCTACATAAAGAGGACGCAAGACATTACATTGTTTCTTTCCTTAACACTTTGACAGCCAGTGTCGCTTATCCTGACATTAACTTTTTACCTTATTAATCCTTCTACTAATTACAATTTAAAAGTTATATGCAATTGTCAAAGTGTTAATGAACAAAATATATGAGAACACAAAAACAAGGTTTGTACATACAACACTAAAACAATCTATTCTAAACGGTGCGTTTTAAGCTACATGGCGTGCGGTCAAATTCACAATTCATAGAGAATCCTGCAGTTCTTCAATAAATTTCAAATATAATATAAACAATTATGACAACATGAACAAAGAACTGCAAAATTCTTCAACAACGATAGACGGCAATATTTTATTCTATTAAGAAGGCATTGTTGTGCATGCCTTGCACAGCATTCAATCTGAAGGTTCTTAGACAAAATTCATGCATATTAGGGACGAGGAGAGTATCTCTTGCAGCGATCCTTACTTAAAGACGGAGACATAGACTTGCTCAAGCCTTCTTTCATATTGCCAAGTGGAGATGTTGGTGTCTTCTGTGTAGGTGATGCCATATCCGACAACGGTGCTCTGGTGAGCCTAGTCAAACGTGAGAATATCCCTCGTTTCGGTTCGCATTGAAAATATCGGCAACCAGCAACTGAGCCATCATTCTTTCCTAAGAATTCCATTTCATTCTTTAGTTTCGTTAACTTTCATAAGATAGAATGATCTTATGGGGTCTTACCGATTGGTTCATCCAGGACTACACCAGCCCAGTCTCCAGGTGCAAATTGGGTCTCTCCTATGTAGGCGATGGCGCCTGGTTTGGTACCACCAACCCATACTCGGTCTCCTATTATGAAGCTGTCGGTGTCTTCTGTTAAGACGACACTGTTATCTGTTCCACATAAGGATTGTTTAATTGTTTCACAGAGTTGGAATTTGGAAAAATGATCATTTCAATGGGGGTGTAGGAGTGTTTAATGTAGGAAAACTGAAGTTCTTTGAGTAGTGGTAGAAAATGTTTTCAGCATTGAATGGCTTACCTTCCAAAAATTATGTATTATTAAATTCTTACGTAATCTGGAAGATTTTTTTAAAACCAGGCACCTGCATTAAGCTTGCAATCACTATAAACTACATGAAGAGCTTTCACAAGACAATTTACAGAGGAAAAATACAAGTGTAACTACAAAGTGATACGATAGTGATAATTCTAAGTGGATCCAGTAACCACTTTGGACGATTACTTTTGCATCCCTCTTAAAAAGAAAAAAAAACACATGAGATGTGGTACCTACCTGATCCTCTGCGCAAGCCAGCCTCGCTTAACCGGCGACCGTGCGTTTCCCAAAGATGATCCATCTGGTCTGTAGTCATGCAAAACAACGCAAAACAATGCGAATCAAAGAGAAGGAAGCATGCTTTAATGGACAAAATTATGAAATGTTTTATCACAAAGTTGAATGATATCAACAACTTGCTAGTAATATTGTACCTGTTCGAGGCTTAATTCAATTACAACGCAAGTCAAGCGTACAATCACAATCGCTGTTGACAAAAAAAGAGAAAAAAAATATAACGATTCACGATAGTATCAATTATTCATAAACAAACGTAGGCGAGCAGTGGTAGTAGGTCGCTTGCGTGGGCGGAAGTCCGCTGTTCGACGAGATAGATTCGTGATTAGAGGGAAACGATTAAATTATTCTAGATTGTGTACGCATAATCTCTATGATAATCATTGTTTTCCGTATATAGTGTTTAAAAACAGTATTCAAAATTTCAGAAACATGAAATAAGATTTATGTAAATATCAGCTGAGAATAATTAGTAACATTCTAGGTCTGTTTTATACATCTCAAAGATCGAGACGTAGTTATGCTTTTCAAACACTATATAAAGAACGATGCATCATCATCTAACATTTCCAATCGTCAAACAATGACTCATTCTGCAAAAAAGAAACAACTATAAAACGATGCAAGTCAAACAATCAAGCCTTGCAAATTCAGGTGAATCTCAATTCACTGAATGTTCCATTCATTGTTTAAGGTAAGATCTAGCTGTTGGAAGCGGGTGATGATGAACATCATCAAAATAAACATCACGTAGAGTGTCAAGCACCTTGACCGCGTGAAGCGAAACGCTTGTAACGTGATCCATACAATATGTAGTCATACAATCCAAGATACATCAGTCTCTCGTATGTACATCATGTAAACAAGGTTAATGGTGTAACTATTCGATTACTATTACGCTCGTCAGGTAGCAATTTGTACCTGTAATCTAATCTAATGAAAATCATGGTAACGAGATCCGGGTATGATCCATTCGAGAACTGATTTTCAATCGTACCCGCTGAACAGCTCCCTGATGTATCAAATTTTTGTTACTTTGAACACATTTCCTTGAAACAATAAATTTTGAAACTTAATACTTTGATGACCGTTCTTGGAATTCTACGTTCCTTTTTTTTTATCTAGAAGAAGAATATTGATATTTATACTCAATAGTTTCAGATTTTAATCAATAATTAATTTTAAACTGAAGAAAAAAACAAGATAAAATATAATATATTCTGAATCCAATTACCAAATGTTTGATCAGTAAAGGAGATTAAAGGAATGCCAGTTATGTCAGTGACGCCAGTAAAACAAGGCTGATCACCTCGCCTCTATTAAAAATGCTCAAGATTCTTAAAACGACCAATATTATTCTCGATATCGCCCTCGTGAGTGTGCCCATATTTAGGTGATGGTGTCACAAGATGTTATTAAATACCGTAAGATTACGTCAGAATGAAAGATTGTCACTGCGGACGAACATGATTTATATTGGAATGCTAATCCATAGAAAAAACGCGTGAACATACGTGCAATTTGACAACATTTAGAATCGCATAGGTGACGAATAACTCAAGTCAGGAATTTCATGAAACCATCCATAAGGAAATTAAGAATCCTGATTTCAACGATATTGAAAAACTACAGAAGAAAGTCATAACTCAAGAGAGACTAAAGCCAACCCTTTTTCGCCCATTTCCGGTTAGACCGAAAGTGGCAAAAAAAAAAAAAAATCGGCCATTCGTTGAGATTTTGACCCACTAATCACAATGGCGCAGAATTTTTTCGATAACTCTTACCGTTTGGCCTGTACAAAAGTGACAGAAAGTCTAAATGCTATAGTCCCCCTATCAAGATTTTCAATCCTAGAAACGTGTTGGCTAATAACGAACAGGAAGAAAAGCCAGCTGATTCTTCTTACTTCCTTACCAGCAAGAGAACATTCCCTTGTTTCGAATATCGAGTATCGGGAAACGTATCCGTTTCTACGTCAAATCGAAAATTGACATCGTTACCTTGAGCTTTCCTATCCTATTTCGAAACCCGAGCCAAGAACCAGCTGATACATGGGACAATATAGGGGCAAAGTTGGATCGTGGCGCGAAAAGCCCTACCCAAAAAAGGAAAGCGAGGCAAGCACGTGGGAGGAAAGACGAAACGGCTGGAAATCGAGCGTACAATAAACACTGGGATTGCATAACGGTGTGCGTCATGATGACTGCACACACATATCTGTTCCTAGCTCCTCATCCATTTGTGCAACGATGCAACGAAGCCGCTGGATGAACCAATAAGGCAAGATGGGTGCCCTCGATGCGAGACTGACACTTTTGTACGCGTGCAACGTGCTGCGTTTCTTTCTTGATGAATAATCGAGCGACTAATCTGGATCTAGAAACGCAGGACCTTGCATCTTAAACGTGCATTCTACAATGAAACGAAGGTTAATGAATTAACGATTGGTCCTGACTGGGTAGAATGAATTAGAGATAAGTTTTATAAATAAGATTCAAAACAAAAGAGTAATTGTACCTAAGTAATAATTTTGTTGAGCTCAAACTTTAAATAATTTTATAATCCAAAGTTTAAAAGGTAGGAATTTTAAAAGCCTCTTTCTATATTAATATTGACTCCAAACTTGAGGACCTTAAACAATGGAAAAATTCAAATTAAATAGATAATTTAACAATCTTGAATGAGTAGATATTTAAAAAAATATATGAATTGTAGAAGAAGTACACAAAAAATTATACAACCATATTTCAATCACCAAATGAATAAACGTCCAACAAGAAAACTCAATGGAAATCTGAATGAAACCAATTCTTTATAAATAAAGAACCCAAACAAGACACCTATGAAGATTCTCACAATCAGTAGCACCTGCTATTAAACACAACACAACATTAATGGAAGGAATAAAATGATGTTTAATGTTAGTAACAAATAATAGAATGAATGAAATTTACTTTACCGTTTCAAAGGGCGTATTATGTAAATCAAAAGCGTTCACGATGCTTAATTAAAACTATAGCGTTTGTTACTGATATGTATTTACCGGATCGCTCAGACGAGATGCGTTGCGTTGAGAGGTGGAAGAACGACTCGTGAGAAGTTTGCAGGTTCGAGCTTGTAAAAGTATTCGTTCACGTTCGTCTCAGGGTCTCGTGGGCGTACTCGTTTGCACCGTGTGGGGAATTAATGAATCGCATTCGGCTTCAAACTAGTCTAAGCCCTGTATTTGTTTCGCTTTCCTATCCATATTATACGTATACTCAACGTGGATTTATTGGGTACAATTCCCTATTATTATTAATGTAAATTGGACTTCATTTCATTTACACGTGACAGAGAAACAAATAACTTTATCTTACTGGTTGTAATGTTTTTCATGATACGCGAAATATAAATATATACCTTTCTCATGTATTCATATATTGATACAATTTTAAGACGTATTCCAATGATTAGATCATATCCAGATATAATAATATTACCTTATCACCTTGCAGGTATTATAATAGTTCTTAATTTTTGGTGGAATACAAAACATATTAGACACTTAAAATATGAAAAATGATGAATAATAAAATATTCCTTTCTAAGCATGCATATGCAACACAACGCAACACAACAGATTTCATTGATAAAAACTCACTCATTGATGATCTTGGTGGTGACGGTGGAACTGCTGGTCTCGGTGGTAGATTACTACATGGCCGGCCAATTTTTGATGGTGGTCTTAATCCTGATGGTTTTGGATCTGTCATCTTATATATGTGCACTTACTGTTATGTAACACTGAAACATGAAAATAATGGATTAGTAAAATTGTAGCAAGTGTTCAAGATATATAAATAAGTAATGATTCATTGATCAAGAAATAAAATTATACATTTGCATTAACATAAAATATGATAACAAGTATCATAATGTATAAAAATCAATATCGTAATATAACAGAAGAATTCGATTTAATGGTATTAAACCAAGTTAATTATAACGATTAATTGAAACGTTTATTATAGAAATTAGGCTACCTGTGCTTAATTTTTATTTATAAAATGGGTTTTCTGAAAGAAAAGTACCGCAATGGAAATTTGAATTTTCAAATTAATCGAAAAGTCGTTGCTGAAATCGAAGTCAAAACTCGAATTGCGCACGCAAATTTGTGAAATCAATCCTTATTATGTATTTGACGTTCGTTGATAAGTCACAGAAACAAAATGTATAATTTATATATGCAAAAAGGAAGCACTCTAAAATATGAATTTTTTGCTTAGTGCATATTATGATATTTAAAAAAACGTCAAATAGAAGAGAGGTTAACTTCTTCAAGACGGATATTCATCATTTGAAAATGAATTTATATATATATGATTACCTTATTTAAATATGATATAATGCTTTCGAGTGCACTCAATGAACATATTTTACAAATAATAATTATAACATGACTGTGTCTACAGAAACGAGCACCGCGAATAATTCGAACAAATTCGCACAACAGTCAACGGAAAAGTGACAATTACTAGCGCCAGAAGCGCCGTCACGGTCTACTTGCGAATTAATTCATCATTTTCAGGTACATACAGGGCAGTCGTTTCTGTATAGATGGTATTTTAAGAATACCTCATTTATGGCGGTCTTTTTAAAATACACGTTTTTCAAACAATTACCTTAATAATTTTTTCTCGTCCTGACTTTGATTGATTTCTAAAAATACATGCAACACGTCGCATGTTGTGTACGAACGTAGAATAGGTATCGCGGCACGGTACAAACGATTTGTACGGACGCAGAATCGACACCAAGACTGGATATATGCAACGTTTAAATGCCCAGAATCGACACCGAGGCTGGATATATGCAACATTAAATGCCCAGAATCGACACCGAGGCTGGATATATGCAACGTCTGGGTCCCAATGTTTGTTGCATATATCCAGCTTTTACTGTAACACGTTTCACTGATTCATCATTTGTTTTGAAACACAGTGGTGAATCATCGTGTTTCTAAAAAATAAAGTTGAAATAAAACAGAAAGTTTAAAAGGATTTTATGATAACGTTCTAGCTAAGTAACAATTGCTATCAAAATTAAATGTTTAAACACGTATAATGTATTTTTTAACCACAGACTATGGTACAGTAAACAGTGCTAATTTAGTATTGGAAGATATTCTATCTTCTTTCCATATACTTTAGAAACTGTTTCATTATCTAAATTCGATATATCTTATATAAATCAGTAATTATCTGATTTATTGAAACAATTTTATTGTCAAAACTAATTTGAGGTTAAATCCAAGATAAGAAAAAATGACAGTTAATCTGTCAACAGTGCCACTTGTTGCTTTATCCGGCGAAACTAAGCAGATTATTTCAACATTGTTAAATCCACCAAAAATTATTCCATCTGAAAATGGATTACCAAGGTAACTCAATAATTTTTCAATGATTATATAAGTTTCTTTTGAATTAAACTCTCACTTTATAAATTTAAGCATGTAATAACAGGTTTTAAGAATTTGTGAATGTTTAGAGATTGGAGAGGTCTTGCACATTTATCCAACTTAGGTGGTGAGATATTACCATTATTAACTTCTCACTCAGATCCGTCTGCATATATCTTAACAACCTGGCGACAAAAACAGAAAGATATTACAATTAAGGATTTACAAGTAGCATTAGAAGAAATTGATAGATGGGATATTGTAGACGATACATTAGAGTTGTTTGGTTTGTATTTCCAGTGTGTAATTTTTCATTAAACATTTACTTTATAATCATACTTATCTGTGTTTGTATTATAGAAAAAGATGCAATAAAATATTTAGAACAATTAGAAAGATCTCAAACATCAGCTGATATCATTGCAGGTGATGATACAAAAATTCTTACAGTAGGTAAGTTTGTTGGAACATATAGTGTTACATTATTAGACGAAGTAATGAAATATTACAGATCATTCTGCTTTTCCAATAGATGATATTCATAGGTCCAGGCAAGGATTGGATAATCAATATTATGATGCTTTTTTATTATATGCAGATGAAGATATTAATTTTGCTACTAAAATGATAGACAAATTAGAAAGCCAATATAAGTTAAAGGTAAAGAAATAATATGAAATGTGTACAATCAATGAAACATAAGACAAATTATTTTTCAGCTTTGTTTGAAAGATAGAGATTTAATTGGTGGAATTACATTTGAACATGAAGCTGTAATAACATTGATATCAGAACGTTGTAATAGATTAATTGTAATAGTATCATCTAATTTTCTTGAAAGTCCAGCAAATAAATTCTTTTTAAATTATGCTCAGGCATTAGGTATTGGTAAGTTATGATGACATTATAATAGTTGTCTTTTTAATAACTATAGTTTTCGATTTTAATATTGTATTAGTATATATGTTTAATTAGATAAAGGTCAACGAAAAGTAATACCCTGTTTATATGGAAAATGTCAGTTACCGCGACAATTGAACTATATGTTTATACTGGATTATAATAGAGTAACTTTATATAATTTCTGGGAAAAATTGCGAGATTCCGTACAAATTGTAAATGCTCCAAAAAGTAATACAAACTGGTACTGTATCTTCATTCAACTTATTCCTTAATATTAAGAATGCTATGTATACTAAAAGTTCCATTCTATTTTTAGTATAACTGTAAATGAAGAACCTGTATTACTTTCTAAAAAGGAGGCTACTCGTAATACTGTAGAAATAAATAGCGAATATGAAACAGAAAAGAATACAGTAAAAGACCAAGTATTAAAAGGCAATGATAAATCATCAGATGCTAAACAGGAACCAAATAATCCTGAATTAAACAAAGATAGTAATAAGACAATCAATAACTTTTTACGATGGAATTGGAAAAAGAGAGGAATTCGGAAAGCTGAACGTGATAACGAAGAATATGTGTCAATTACAAAAACAGTAAATTTGCCATCTCTTGAAAACTTAGACCCGTTAAACACATCGACAGATTTGACGGAAAAGAAGCAAAAACCAAAATTTTTAAAGAAATACGTGAAAAAGGTGCCTTTTAAACTATAAAAATTTGTTATTTATAAAAAGTATAATGTTATTAATATTAATTATTTTATCAAAGTGTAATATTAAAGTAGAGTTGTATTATATTTTGATAATGAAATGTATAAAAACAAGTCTACTAATAAAATGTTAATTACAGAAAAAGACAGAATCTCACAATGTGAGATTCCCGTGTCTCAATTAGCGCAGTCTATGATTCAGCGGATGATTAAGTCGAAAATTCTGAAAATTATCAGTCATGGTGATTTAATTTTGTTTTAAAGTCTACATTGAAGGAAACTGCGTTACTCTTCAAAATTAAGATACATAAAATAAATTCGCGCGGTTGAAGATTCGAAAAGAAAACGGAAATGTGGTGTTGTTAGGTGGCGCTGTTTCGTCCGTACTCTGATTGGTCGGCGTAATCGCGCCCATGTCAGCTGTGCGGTAAAGTGTCGCCAGTCGTCCGTCGTAGACGCGGATTCGTGCAAATGGCGTCAGTGGCAGTATGAGCGATCGTATGCAGTGTAATAACGCGTACGGGCCTCGTCCGGGCGCGGCGCCGCGCGGCCCAGCCTGACGGCGAGCGTGAGTGCGACGATATTGGTCGAGATCGAAGAAAAAAATAATTAATTAAAGGGGATCATTAATTTTATCGTCGTATTGCAACGGTGTGTACGTTTCAACGACGAGTGGTGACACGCAGTGAGAAAGAGAGGTGAGTGGCAGATTGAAAAAAATATAAAGTCGACCAGAAGAACTGTGATCTTTTACAAGTGCCGTGTTACGCATTCGTAATGATTGTTATTTACGAAACGAAACTATTCGATCATGTAGTAATAGTAGTAGTAGTAGTAATATTTATTAGTAGTAGTTCGTGCTACGAATGCATTCTCGAACGTCCACGAATTTCTTTGAAAACGTACAACAAATCTATACACTATGCAGACTTTCGCTTGTATCGTTTAATGCGGACAGATTTTTATGAATCTTTCTGAAGATTAACAGATGCGTGATACGATCTCTATAATAATAAAATGAAATGCAACGCATTGGAACCGATTGCTTAAGCGAATCTAAACCGTAATAAGTAAATAGAATGAATAGGAACAGGATAGAATGGTACGCATAGTAGTTTCTTTGTTAGGTTTAGACAATACTCTTATGCGTGACAGGTGCCATGCGTGTATCACTGCCAAATCTATCGTGACGCCTTAAAACGCTATACTTATCGCGTTCGATGGTATTTTCGCGGGGATTAACCACGTTAGTCATTTATCCTATTTCAGCGTAACTTTCTGAATACACACTACTTATACACGATTTTATTATTTCGTCATTAAACGCGTTGTATCTACGGATGATGGTAGATTTTTATTTATCGTTTAACAAAGATTAGAAATTTTCTTATCGCGTTTCATGGAAATTTTTGTAATACTGTTATTCTGACAGGCTGTTTGAATATGTCGTTGTTATCGCGTAATCAAGACACGGCCATGTTTTGTCCCAGCTAAAAAACACGTTTTCTCGTGGCCACGTGCACGTGTGGGCTAAAGCGGAACGTTTTTGTTTGCGACGCGAGTTCCTAAATGCGACTTTACGATTGCATAAGAGATCGGAGGTGTGCTCATCTAAAGTCTGTTCTAACGTCGTCTAAAAATGTTAAGTTCGTTTCTATTTTGAAAAGCTCGACTCGAAACTACCCTGATACATTAGAAATTTGAAAACGATGCGTCATCTTCTCCAAATGTAGTTATAAATTTCAAATGAAAGGATTAAAATACCGATAGCATAACAATGGAGGTATACGCGCGTATTTTATGATTACGTCACGAGCACGCGTCACGTCTTATCTCCTCATAGGATCGTAATATTTCTGCTTTCCTAATTTATCGATCGAGGTAACACTTTTAAAACCCGCTTCCGTTACAGAGAAATTCAAGTGATCGTATTAATAAATTATACGGGTTTTTTGAAACCAAACAAGGGAGTATAAAAACGTTGGTGAACAAATGGATAAAGCGGTTAACCTCACCGATACGGAGTGACTCCGGGGTGATAGGGCATTAACACTTTTGAGATAACAATGTCGTGGAATATTAAGTTCGTTTATTAAATATAATTGTTACAGGGAGAATTCGTTTCGATAAAAATGTTTGTGTAATATTGCAACACGATTTATTTGTGTATCTTAAAGTCACACGTGTAAATCGAAAATCGTACGAGATTGTTTCGTCGCCTAGTAAATGCTAGTGGATTTCTATTTAGTGAAATATCGTCAGCTGTTGATGTCCGGTTGATAACCCGAAAAAAATCTCGTATCCCTGTAACCGGTTATAACGGATTAACCCAGAATTTACGATAGCGATTACAGACTGTTCGATAGCCATTAGAATGGACTCCGATTTCCGTTACACGTTTTCGTAACACGTATCTGTATGAAGGCTACATAGCGTTACAACTATCTAACATACACTATCGTTAAAAAGTTGGGAACATAAAGATTTAGATACAATAAATAATTTAACTGCATAATATAAAATATATACTTCAACCATATAGTAATATAGAAGAGAACGGTATTAGAATTAAGCAAAAGAATACAATGTAGAATCACTTATCTCGAATTTTTAATTATTTTTTCAAACAATTCAAATGTTTCCAAACTTCTTTGCGGTGGTGCACATTGCTTGTTAAATCTAATAGAGCTTTGAAATTCTCAAATTAGTATAAAAAATTAATAAACAAATTTAGTAATTAAAGTTTGTAGTATACAACTTGTTCATTAATTATACATTATGATTGATTACTAAGGTCGGAAACTTTCTAACATTAATTAAGGTCTGGTGCGAAGAAACTTAACACGTACAATAATTAACTTTCTCGTATTAAACCGATCAAAGTGTCGAGTTTAAATATAAACGACGCGTGTTGTGTTCGTTCTTCGGAGAAGTCACTGACCACCGAGAAATTCTGGCGCGCGACAGTATTTTCATGGAAACGGACCCTCCGGTCATTCAACCGGGCGTAAAGATTATTTATTATGTTCTTAATCCATCCGTCGGCTTAGAAGACGTTATACGTAATGTGTTTTCTCTTTATATTATCTGATTATCAAAGAATTTTCGCACTCGAAGAGAAGAACAAGAACAATTTATCTATCAACGATGCGGTAGATGGGTTTGATGGGAAAATTTGAACGGAAACAAAGTTCATATTGATGAACGGGATGAGATACATTGGACAAAGAACGGTAACCTTATCAAGCTGTTCAATAAAGACGTTTGTTTTGTCTGACGAGAAGAGATCGTTCCATCAGAATCGTATTGAAATCGATAGACTTTGTATCGTAGCGATTTTGCGAAATGAGGTCGGCTAATATTAGGCTGCAAATGTGCTCGTTTTATATTGTAGCCATGCCGGATAGCAGGATCATGTTGTAGTAATGTATAGGGTTATCCAAATTGAGTGCCGCATCTTCAAATTGAAATGAAACAAAGTCTATTTTACGATATTAATTATGAAAAACAATCTTCTCCGCTTCTTTTTGCGAGCATGATACGTTTGACCAAATTTAACGAACGTGTCTAGGGGATAGTAGCAAGTAGCGTAGTATAATTTATAGCTTAGTAGATATCATGTAGACAAATAAAGACATAGTAAAATAGGTTACGTGGACGATCAAGAATGCCCGGGTAAAATCGCGACCGGAAGTTGTTATTCGACCGCGAACCACGTTCCGATACGACTGTGCTCCGCAGAGTGCCGTCGCAAGAGGGATGCAGGCCGAACTGATGTACCGAAAACCGTTGACAATGACGACGTCTCCGAGTCAGAGTTTTCATCATCCTGGTAGCGGAAAGAGAGAGAATGGTGGTAGAGACTCGAGGGAGACCATACACTCTGGCCACTTCATGGTGTCCGATTTCGAGGCGGAGGCCCAGGACGACGAGGACGAGCTAGCGGTTCCTGTGCCGGACGAAGAGGCTGCCAGGATGGCGATCATCGCGCCCATTGGACTGTTTTACGAGAGATTTGCCAGTAATTCATCGAATGAGAAGAGTTCTCAGCAGCTCAGCATCGAGACGTCCTTGAACAAGCTGTTCCAGTGCATGTCCCTCGCTTACAGGTGAGTTTCTCTTTTCCCTCGGATTTTATTATTTTCTTTAATTTTTCACCTGCTCTACCCCTCTCTACCCTATATATTTATTAGCCAACCCGTATCTAAAATTGAAAATCTTGAGAAGGGGGCTAAAGCATTTCGACTTTGTCACTTTGTACAAGCCAAATGGTAAGAGTTATCGAAAAAATTACGTCATTGTGTTTAGTGGATCAAAATCTCAACGAATGGCCGATTTTTTTTTTTGCCACTTCCGGTCTGACCGGGGTTGGTTTTAGAGCGAATCTCGCTCTACTTTTACCTAGTTTTATACCTCTGTAAGTCTTTATCCCCACCGTTTGTTGATAATGCTCGCTTGGAGCGTGGCTCGGTGTTATCAACGATCAACGATGATGACTCATTAACCCTATCAAACGATGAAAAATACAATTTTTATAGTCTTTACTTTATCGTCACAAGAATGTTTTTAATTGAATCGATGAGGTTCCTTCCTTAGTGGCAAGCCCTCGTCAGCCCCCACTTCTTGCATGGAGCGTGCCTCGACTTTATCTACCATCAATGATGACTCTGGCATTAAAACTTTTTCATTGAATCAATCAGGTTGTTACGTAGCCAATTAAGGATTAGTAGAGGATATAAAATAGTTGATTCATTTAGATATATTATAGGACTAGTAGCCTACGTGGAACCAACCATAAGAGGAGGGTGAGAAAGCGACCGATAAATCTCAAGCAGAACAGAGAAACGAACTTTATCCCGTGATGTCAGTAAAGAGAAATGGAAGGCACGACATATTGCGCTCGGTTTGAACGTGTCCCGCGATTAAAATGTCGATACGTTTTGCAACAATAAGGGGGACAGTCTCGCAATCGGCCCCTTCGGGAGATTAGTAGGGCAACGCAGATTCCAACTGTATTTCAAACCAGACAAACGTTACGTTACACCCTGTCGGCATTCCGGATGATAACGGGCGATTAAATTAATTAAGAAGAGGCCGTAGAACCAAACGACAACATCGCAATTAAGCTCGTCCTTGATGAAGCTGGAGCTGTCTGCCTTCGTGGCAATTTCCGTTTTCCCACTTGGAAAGCTTTTAGGGAGGGACACTTGAAAGTTATCCTAGAATTTGTAGATTTCAATTGAACGTCTCGAAGACCGATAAGAGTAGATTTAATTTGTTTTGGACACCCTCTGTGCTATCCTCAAGAATCTACTGAAAGGGTATAGCCGGGTAAGGTAGGCAAAATGGCCCTTGAACCAAATTAAATTCAGAATGCGTCATTCGATAGCATATCAAAAGAAAATACTGTACACCAATTTTCAACCCTTTATTTTAACCAGGGGGGCAGTGAGGGGGGGCAAAAGAAACGCCAGATCGTGCCCCATAATATTCGAAAATTCTGAAAAAATTCCGGTTTGAATTTAATTTGGTTCAAGGGCCATTTTGCCTATCTTACCCGGCTATACCCTTTCTTCTTCTGCAATTAGGAATTTTTGAAATTCCTACTCCTCTTATTATTGGATCTGGAAATCTTAAGCTCAAATTAAATAAACTTAATGCTTCGAATAGAAGCGAGTATACTAAAGAAGGTAGTATATTCAGAGTAATAGTTTAAAGTTTCAAAATTTTCACTGCTCGAGTTAATTATCATCTATTTAACATTTATTATTGATCAGCTGTTAATTATTTCAAGTGAATCTCACATATCGTAAAAGATGAAATCTTTACATCTTGAATTCATTCGCATTACAAGAATCTGGTAGTAGAATCGTTTTCATTTGTAATTCGCTGTATTGAACTGAAACAGTATTGAAATAAATTCAAAGGAGTCGAGTGGTCTGGCAGGCGTGTTATCACATATCGTCGGTTATAACTTATCAGATTTCATACACGATATCTCGCAACATTTGGCTAATCGAGAAGCACCTTTGCCCCCGAAACAGACACGTGCGAAAAATTCCAATGTTTCAAGGCTGTTTAAACAATTGTTCTTTTCATATTTTTTTTCTCTCGCATATCGATGACGGTAGTCAAAATTTCACATCAATATTCACGAGACGTGTTAGAAATGAAGCGTGTCCAATTAAAGTAAGTCTACAAATTACTTGTACCGAGGAAAGAGATATATTGTCATTAATTGAATCTCATTGTTCTATTGTCTTCTACAACATTTTCTTTACCGTCGTTGATGAGCCATTTCTTGTTATTTTACTATTTCATAATTTTGGAAACACTTGTTTACTTGTTGAAAGAGATTTATCGTCTAATTTAGAGTTAATTAGCTATTATTTGATTTTGAAATATTTCTTTTTCCAAAGGGTTCAAATATTTAGGAAATTTTTCTGTTTTCTTAATTAGAATATTTTCTGTAATCACCATTGTATCGCTTTGCATACATCATAAATCGTCGTGTCTTTCTAAAAAATACAGACACTATTTGTCGAAAAAAAACAAAAGATTCAGTAGATATAATTAATTAAAGAAATTATACGCAGTGGTTAGAAAAAGTTGCAGTAAAAAAACAATGAACTTTGTAGAATAAAATGGGAAAAGAACAACAAACAATAGCCGTAGCGTATGCTTCAACGTAAACGCATTATTTTATCCGGCTATAAGATTGGATAATAAATGAAGAGATATCGTAATTCCACCGATAGCGTTCCGGCTATTATTGTTCCGCCTTCTCAACGAAAGGGTTAATCAGTTGATGATGATTTATGTCGGTACTGTAATTGGACGCGCAAACTGAAAAGGCGTGTATGTATATATTTTTATCTGACAAAGAGTAGCGATATTATTGTCATTAATGACGTAACTTGAACACACTTCTCTATCGAACATAACACGATCGTAAATTTCGTTTACGTTGAAAAACAAAAATGATAAAAGCAACACTTTTTCGTTGATTCTAACTTTATTAGGATAATTACAATTTTCATCGATATTTCAAGCAATTTCCTTCTGAATCAAATTGGATTTTCATAATTATTCGAGTTTGATTATTGTATTTTGTATTTTATAAAAATTGCAAAAAATTCATTATATAGAATTTGAAAGAAGTATGTGTACCAAAAGATACATGCCTTTTCCGTATACCAACGATAATTCCACTGCGAGGTTGTATACTGTTTGCGTACGACGCGATAAATGACGTGAATCATGTTGACAATATAAGGTTTATAGTAACATTTTGTATGTTTATTCTTCGATGTATATCATACTTCGTAATCTATCTTTTCGTAACTGTAAGACACGCCATTCCTGATGTACCGTTCCCAGTGCAAATAAGAAACGTAAGTTTTTCATTGATAACACCATAGAAATGATATCATCTATGTGTGGCTTTTGTCTTAGGGTTAAGTTAAATATTATTATCTATAACAGGGATGAGCAACCTTTTTTTACAACGGGCCAGTTACAAATTTAAAAATGAGATGAACTCAAATTATCTCTTTATTAACAAAATAAACTTAGTATAAAAAAGTACAGAAATAAAACACTCATTAATAGAAATATTATTAAAACGGTGAAAGATGTATGTGGGAAAAAATTATTTAATGAGAAATTTGGCATTGCTTCTTTGGAAATGATCAATGACGTCGGCATCATTTCCAAAAATTAAATTAGCACGCTGTAGGAATTTTCAAAAATCAAAATATAAAATCTTTGAAAGGACCGCGGGTTACTCATCCCTGATCTATAGCGTTTATGAAAGTGCTGATGAATAGAAAAATTGTAAGGAACGAGCCAGACCGTTGCTCATAATAGCACTCTCATTTACACGATAATTATTTTATGTTAATTGCAATTCACCTCCGTGATAAGCGTGTATTGATTATGCACTTAGAAACCGTTACTAGCTTTTAATAATCACCTTTTTCCTTGTAAAATTTTCAATGGTGGTACGTGTATGCATTATTAGGAATTTCAAATGTTTCATTGTTTATTAAAAAACATAACGTTGTGCGAATAAATTAGGATTGTATATTGAATAATTAAAAACACGGTATATAAATTAGAAAATCTTCAGAAAGTGATAAGATTCGGCTATGATCTTATCCACGATCTTAGATAAAAATGATCTAAACAATCATAATTAATCAGCGATTCGAAATGATCCTGGAAAATCCAAGCTCGATAAATATTTCCTTTCAAATAGCGAATTGTTTGCTTATCACCGAATGCGATCATTGTGTACTTGAAAATTATCTGAACCATATCAAAAGCTCAGCTTGTGCATCAAGGAAAATCCTGAGGTTTCGATGAAACGAAGGAAAACTTTGATGATGGAATGATTTGTAATGAATCATGCGAGCTTCGCTAATTCTGCGTTCTCTCGCGACCCGCGTAACTCGAAAATGTGAATCGAGCTAAATTACCGTAAAGACTGGTGTGTGTATGCGTTTGTCGTATCGTGTCTTTTATCATGCAAGGCCACTGCGTCATCGCACACATGCACATGTCACTAATGTGTATGCGCCATGAGCGTATGAACTGCACAGAAAGCAAACAGATCAGCTCAGTTTTCATAAAATTTCTCAATTTCATGATTAGGATACTTGGTTAGTATACAAATAACTTATTTCCATAAGTTTATTTAATAAGTAATGTAATTTTGTAGCATTCAGCTTTTCTGCAATTTCCATATTTTCCACAACTGGAAAAATATGTTATCTATCTCTCTTCTTATCTGTCCCCAATGTACTGTTTGTTTATCAGTTCCCAACTATCGTTGCACGTTTCTCTCAATGAATCAGCGTATGCGTTTGTTTTTTGAAATCAGAAAAAAGTAGCAGGAATTATTATACCAATTTGCATACCATTATATCAGTGTAAACACGTTTCAACCTAGGATGTAATCTTCAAATGACATATAGTTATTTTAAAAATGCTGTGGATAATAGGATAATAACATGTTTAATTGTTTGTATATTACATACTGTTATATTTCAAGAGATTGAGATAATGATGGTATTTTGGAATTTCTTCGGTTCCAAATTTATACGCAAACATTTCGTTATTTATGACAAAGATGTTCTCGTTGAAGCTTTGAATTTCGCAATGCTTACAATAAATTACTGTACTTAACTATCCGATAAAGTAACGAGCTTTAATTATTTTCTTGAATCAAAGGGCGTTACAAAGTGAATGTAAAAGCGCGCACACTATATAACACTACTCAGACATTGAAATTTTATGTGAACTGCTTTGATACCCGACTCGCAAACACAGCTAAATTAATTGAACTATCCTGAGCTTCTTTACGATTGCTCAAATGCTTGTCACGCTTTCAATGATTTGCGTAATTCCTTTCTTAACGCCTTATCATAGCCGATGATGATGCTGTTTCGTGATACATTGAATATTATCGTTTATAATGCGTTGAATAAGTGTTAAACTTCAACACTTTGATTGCCACAGTGAGAATACATAATTTCATTTTGTTATTTCATTTCATTATTTGATTAAATTCAAGAGCAATCAAGCTGTTATCCTTATTACAATTAGAAACGTAATTAGAATTTCTGTCAAAGGCCAAGTTCACTAATTCAATGTACGTTACAGAGAGTCAACGACCTGATTAATTTCACGTATACATTATTATTTATTACCATATTTATTGAGGGTACATTTTTAGGATATCAGAGCCATTCTATTCTCTCTCTAGTTTCTTACACATTTCTGTGTAGGTACTTTTCAATTAGTTTTAAATGTTTTATCTCTTGTAAGAAATAAGTTTGCAATTCAATTATCATTGTTTTTATATCACAAGCGCATTAATCCTATTGAGATGTTAATCTTAAGCAGTTTCCACGCCACATCTGTTGTGTAATGATTAATCCTCAAAGCTCTATAAGTATTATTTCTTCATTACACTTTACTTTTAATACAAGGGATTAAGAACATGCAATTTCTGATATAACGAAAGAGAAAAATACTTGGTTGAAGAAAATCTTGGACAAACGATGATAATCAGCATCGTTTCTCCAAGCCATATAGGTCGTGTGACGAACAAATAATTATCAGATAACCAGATTATATTCATCGTGAAAGAGAAACAACAGCCTGTGAAAATTGAATCTGTTTTCGTAATTAAGAGAAGACTTAAAAATTTCAATTGAAAGGGGAAAGAAAAGACGTTAAGATAAGCAAGCAATTATATTGTCACAGATACTGGAATTTCACGCTATTATTTATTATTATTGTTTTAATTGCATATTGTTATTACAAATAATATGAGAGAAATGTGAAAACAGAATGTAAAGCAATATTGACACTGGCAAACAACCGAAGAGGGCACTTGATTTAAATAACTTTCGCATGGTCATCGGTGTTTCCCAATGAGAAACCGAATCCGTGGAAAATCTTAATTCGTATCCTCTGCTTATTTCATTCCATCGTTCGTTTATATTTAGAACGGTATTCGCCTGAGTCGAGCAAACACGGCTGAGTATTTGCCGTGCTTGAGTAAACACGGATCGAGACCGATTCTCTACGATGATAGTTCCGTAAAATTCTTGAAAGCCTGATAATGCGTTTTATAAAGATAATAAGCTAAGCTTTAAGCCTCGTAAACGAGCTTTTCAACCATCCAGATCCCGCTGACAATGAGCCTTTAATGACGAAAGATCTTGAATCTTAATTGCGAAAAAAGATACCGCAATAATAAATGGATTAGCTTTTCCTAACAATAAGAGTTTACTAAAAATTCAAACTTATTTACAGTAGGTATGACGTATGGGCATTTGAATTTGTTCCAGACAGAAATTGACATCGCCCAAGTGGAATCGGTTCAAAGGGATCAGGCTGAGATGGAAGGACAAGATCAGGCTAAACAACGTAATATGGAGATGCTGGCACATGCAATGTAAGAACAGTTATAGAAAAAACATTTTGAATAATTTATACATTTTTTTATTTCTCTATAGAAAAATCTGGATGAATTTTATTTACCATTTAGAAATTATAGTAACGATAGGATGGAATGTACTTCGCTGATATAAATTATTAAACGTAATTTTCATGTTAAATGTTGATTACAAAAGGCGATTAATAACAAGTCAAAGTAGTAGACAGGATCTTTCTCTAAGAGCATCAGTAGCTCATTCATAAAATTTTACTGATGCATTTGTGATTATTACACAACACACTAGAAGGTTTAATGAAACCTCTACCGTGTTTATATTTCATTTATAATAAGTTTCATTCATTCAGCAGGATTATTCAAACATATGTAATCTCTTGTAACCGTTTCAAGCGATCCCAGTAACCGGAAGTAGTACGCGAAGCACAAGGCACGTTGACTGTACAGATTTTTCTGAGCATTACGAATCGTTTCGTACGATAACCCGGAGCAACATTGATAACGTCGCGCCTACTTTTTATTCTTTTTTCCATTCCTTTTTTTCCTTTTTTTTTTCTTTTTACTCCGGATGAGTTGTCACAGTTCGAGGGTCACGTGATAAACAGACGTCGCTGAAAGAGGAAGGCGCTTTTTGAAACGGTGGCCAATCTTCTTTTTTATTGTTATTGTAAAATTAAACGTGGATATTTTAATCGTTTGAACTCGGGGGTGGGTCACATTGGTTCAACTTATTTTTACACTTAACTAAATACAAATCTTATCGAATACTCTTTTTTCATTGTTTCCAGTCACATTTACAATTCTAAATTTGTAATCTTGTTATATTAATTAATGTAAAATATTTTTTTACATTATGTTTTTTTTTAAAACATATGTTAGGTTTTAATAGAATTATGAAATGTGTACAAATACTAATTCCTTCCGTTTCCACTCCTTAGTTCCAAAAATCTATATATGCTATACTATACCTATTTTGAATGATCTATTTATCTGGCAATCTAGTGTTAAACACCGGCGATTTAGTACGCGATATCGCGTGATCGGACATTCAGTGCTACCGGGATGAGTGAAAGGGATCGAAAAGGGGGTAGTGAAAATGCTTTCGAACCGAAGGCAACGTTTACAATCGAGAAACAAATTTGACGAGATAGAGTGTAATCTAAAGCCAAATTAAATTGATTCAAGATATCCAGCCGCGAAAATAAAGCGATACGCGGTAGATAGACGACTCGCTATTCGACGAGATAAAGAAATATCTTGCACGTGACACGGCAGTGACAAAGAATCCCCGCCAACGGGGATCTTCACACCTCGTCTTTCTATAAGTTTTCCAACGAAATTGACGATTCAGTTCCGCGAACACTCTCGTTCTAAGTCCACGAAATTTTACCGGGTCGTTATAATTCTACATACTTTCATTAATTTTCTCTTCTGCTCTGCTTTCATCGTCATTTTATTATTATTATTCTTATCATTTAGTTAAAGCGGTGACTTTGAATCCAGAGGAAATCGAGGTAAACTTAGAAATTGATTGTTCACTAAAGAAATTCTCTAATAAACAATGAGGCTTAATTGACCGATCGAAGTTAGGATAAAAATACAATTCCTCTTCGCTTTCTATACTTAAGTGTCCCACGTGTGGACTAAACAATCAAAGGGTTAAGAGGAATTAAGACGATGTCTTTGAGGTTCCATTCTGTCGGTCAATTACTTATCAAACTATTAATAAATCCTCTATTATTAGTCTCAGCTTGAATTTTTCATTCCAAACAAACTGCTTGATGATATTTAAATAACGATTTTCTATTACCCTTTCAGCCCTGTTAAGCGAAAGTCTTACTTTCCACGTGATTGATTAATGAAATTGAGGTGAAAATGACACTCGATCTCGATTTTCTCTAAAAAAAGAAAAGGAAGGTGGTAGCTTAAGGTAGAGGAGAGCAGAGGAGCATTGGTGAATAAGAGAAAGATATCGGGGTGAATTTGAAAATCGAACGTTCAGGAAGAGTTTCGTTCGCAATTCGAGACGGGACTTTGTATCCACCGTCACTGATTGCGAGAAAGTATTTCGCGGCTGCGATACAAAATGCGTCGACGCAAAATCGGCATCGGGACGTCCGCGTCTCTACTCCCTTCTACCGATCGTATCGAGCACGGTCTTCAATCGAAAGGGAGTTAACTAATCCAAGGAAAATATTTAGGGTATATATATTTTAAAGAGTTCAAGACTAAAGTATATGGTAATGTCTAAAAATTTCTAAGTTCATTAATTTTTAATCTTTTCAAAATTGAATACCGTCAAATATCATATGTTAAAATATGTCAATTGATTTATGCTGCTCCCTGAATACCATTCCACATTTGCATAAATGAAATCACCTGTCGTGCTTCGTATTTGCGAATTTCCTGGTTGCTCGAGGAGGTCAACCTCTTTGTTAGCTAAAAAAACACGTTGCATCCACTTTTAGAATGACGTTTGCATCGTGGTTCCTTTGTACCAGTGCACATGTATCAATTACTCGATGAGAACTTATTTTTACTTCTGATTTAATGATTTATTTTCTTCATTTTCAGTTATATTGAAGCAGAACACGCTGGTGTGCCAGTTCGCATCACCGTTGGATGTTGATACTCATAACAAACCCGAGGTACGTACGATTGCTGATGGTTTATTAATAATTTATTTTAAAAAATCGATGGTTAATCGTTAAAATCGTTACGTTCCGTCATAAGGAACTTTATTCAAGCGTAAATCAACTTTCTTATCAGGCGGTGGTCTTAGAAGGTAAATACTGGAAGCGAAAACTTGCTGCGGTTACTGCGGAATACAAGAAATGGCGTATGTTCTACCGGAACAAGATCCTTGGCTGGACGAACAAGGATGGCAGCGAGATGGTACTTATTTTATTTTAGTATGGTCAAATAAACAGGAGGCTGTTGAAGTTAATACTTTGACTGTCACGATACCCATATGTTATTGTTTAAATCGCTCAATGTTCTTTAGTTTAAAGCACACTATCTGGTATTGTTATGTAGTGGATTCGGTGGTATAGAATCTGTAGCATTTAATAGCAGAAACCATCGTCGTTTCAGATGGAATCGATGGATGTGTTAGATTGGGACACCGGACTGGGAAACTCGGGCAACTATGGAGCAGGTACAGGCAACATACACGGAGGGACCACTGGGACTCCAGGAGGAGAGAGTATGATGGTTGATGAGGATTACATGGAGCTTATGACTGATACGTTATTTTCAACAATCAGTTCGAATCAACCAATATACTTTCCCGATCCCAGAGAAATTGGTAACTCATTAATTCAAGTAGCTGTGTAGGAGACACCACGACAAATTGTACCAAAGAAAAAAAAGAGAAAAAATTGTACAACCCAAAAGAGCATGAAATATAAAATACCATATTTCAATTAATATTATCTATAATTGCAGCGCGAGGAGCTAGTCTGGCGGATTTTATACAACCCAGTCTTGGACCTCTTCAGCCGAATTTAGATGATTTTATGGACACCCTCGAGCCACTGCAAGGTACAAAATCAAGCTTTATATCTACGATTAAAAGATAATAATGTAATGCAACGTGTTTTAGAATTTCTAAATTCGAAGTTACCACCTGTACCCGAAGAGGACGATATGTTTCGAAACAGTAGCTTGAACGCGAACTATCCTGATCTCGATCTGATGACGCCTATGAATCAAATGAACGAGCTAAGCCAAGAATCGGCAGTGAAGAACGATCAAGCTTCGCAACAGCAAGCGTTAACTCGGGACGAGCAGTCGGGCACTATACAGAGTCTTCAGTATACCGCCAAGATATATACTCAATCTCAACCGGAGCCAAATGCGTTCAGGAATAACATGTGAGTCTTAGTTCTTGAGTGATTTGTCATTCGGTGAATGTCATGTTTCAATCGCTACGTGTACGTTTCAGAGCTCTTGGCGAGAATTATAATACTATACAACAAAGCTATGAACCACCTCCAACGAGTCAACCTATCAGGGAAAAGAGTCGACCAAGTAGGATCTCTTCGAGAACTAGCCGAGTGATTCAACAAGCTCAACAACAACAGAATACGTATCAAAGAACAACGCATCAGCAGAATTCTGCTTACCCACAGGGTTCTCAACAGTCTTATGCTATGGAGATACAAACCGTTCAATTGACACCTGTTCAGAACCAAATGCAATTGGCAGGGTTAAATGACCAATCTGTACACGCTAATCAAATATCACCTATCACTGGCCACGTTCAGAACTTGGTAACTGTACAACAAAATTTTGGGCAGACAAATTCCACGGTGTCTACTCAGCACAGAGCCATCAGACCTTTGCCACCGGTCGCACCTGTGTCCACCAAGCCTTACAAAGTCGTTCAACCGCAACAGTGTTACAAATTCTCCTCTCTTCCGCAAAGCTTTAATGCGCAGCAATGTAAATTCAATGCGAATAATTTCAAGGTATATTACATGACGTGTGATGAAGAAGTTATTTCATAGTTTGAATAATGTATTAACGTTGGAAACTGTGATTAACTGCGGAATCAGATTGTCATGTGTTTTTTCTTACAGACACACCCACCACAACAGGTGGTATCGGTTACCGCAGAGCAACCATCGCAATCCCCGATACTGTTACAGTGCAGATCCTCGGGTTTGGATCTCAGCACACCGACAACTGTACAACCTACAAAATTGTTACCGCAACCTGGTGTATCGAATTCGGAGAAAGAGGAAGTTTTCGCTGTGCCCAAGGTTCATATTTGTGTCATACGTTATATGAATGATGTTGTCTCTTTTTTCTTTCTTTTCTTCATGTAATTGTGTTTCATACTTTGTTCTTTAGTATCAGATGAAAACGAAAAATAGATCTCGAAGTAGTTCATCGTTAACTGCTCCACGAATGCATCCACCGCCATTAGTATCAGCGGCGAGCGATCCCGCTCTAAATCTAAATAACAATGTTTTGCTCGCACAGTTACTCACGAATAGTATGTATTACAAGAAACGTAATATAACTTTTCCTATTTTCATAATTGTTTCGGCAACTGATTATTGAGAAATCAAAAACATGGTATTATTTTTCATCGATAAAGAATATTATGAGAGCTTCAATATCGTTACATAGACACATCTGGTGTACATACAATGAATATGCCGGCTGATAATATAATGCCGACAGTGAACCAAACAGCCGCTACAATGAAACACATCTTACCAATGCTTCCACCTTCAGCTTCGCCCACGCAGGTGACGACCGCCCAGCATATTACAACTCCGGTCACTGTTCAGTCGATGCAAACATCATCGATGCAAGTGCAACCACCTCAGCAACAGGTATAAATTTCATTCCACCTTGACTGTGTGGAATCCTTGAAAATTTATTATTCAGTGTTCGTTCGATTCATAGTGACTTTATAAAATGAAATATTTATCTCTTAGATTATATAACATTGACGATAATAAAACATTTGTCTTATGTAATGTATAACACGTTAACTGTATATCGCATTATTAGGCTATGCAACAGTCCACTTGCAGCCAGCAAATATTATTAAGTACAAACGCTCAGTCACACCAGCAACAAAATAGTCCTGGATCACCGAAGGACAGTACAAACGCGCACAGCCCCCAGGCGTTAAGTTTAAGTCCTTTGCATAGTCCAATGAGCATAGGAAGTCCAATGTCACCCAGTCGAGGGTACATAAAGGGTGAAACTGAACGAGCACAGTACAAAGAGCAGAGAAGAGTGGGGCATACTCACGCGGAACAAAAGCGTAGATATAACATTAAGAATGGATTCGACATGTTGCACAGTTTGATACCGCAGCTCAGTCAGAATCCAAACACAAAGTTGAGCAAAGCCGCGATGCTGCAGAAGGGGGCGGATTATATCAGGCAGTTGAGGGCGGAGAGAAATCAGTTGAAAGAGGAGATGGATAGCTTGAGAAGCCAAATCGAGTGCCTTAATACGTCGATTAGGTAATGGCAGTTAGAAATAAATAAAATAAGGATAAATGATTTAAAAAAAAAAAGTTAATTTAAGATACTCTCTTACAGTAATTGTCAATCTATGCTTCCTGCAACGGGTGCTCCAATTTCTAGACACAGGACTAGCAAGATGAAGGAGATGTTCGACGAGTACGTACGTACTCGAACACGAGAAAATTGGAAATTTTGGATTGTATCCTTTTTTTTTATATAAATCTCATTTGATGATCGATTGAATATATAATATTGTAATTTCCTTATAAAATCATTAGTTCAGTATATTACTTGAGCCTTTGATGATTTCCTTCAACACGTCAGTGTCAACCGCGAGCATCGAAGATTTATACAGAAGTACAATGTTGTGGGTGGAGCAGCATTGCTCGCTTGTCGATCTCAGACCAGGTTTGCACTCAAAAACAAAGAATATAATAAATTCTGTCCCATATCTCTGAAGCTTAACACGTTGACTGCCCTGAAGTTGACCGGCATAATTTTTCTTGAAATAAATAATTATAATTTATTTTATTATTTTTAATTAAATTATAGGTGAATTGTTTATAATCAAAGCATTCTTTTGATTGGTTTTCAGTAAATAACAGCTGGCATCAAGAATCCTATTAATAGTCTTCAAACCAATAAGGTATTAATACCCTTCATAATCCATATTACTATGATAGCCAACGTGTTAAGTATTTGTCTTTATTATAATAGTATAAAAATGGTGATAGATAGTATTCTTCCAGTGGACAGCAACTACAATATTTAAATATGGTATGTGTATTTTTTAATGTTCTTATTATTTTCACATTTACATTTCAGCCGTTCTGAACTCCCTCAGATATCTGTGTACTGCCACTGATATTCTATCAGATCCTGGTCGTCTACCTGAAGAAGCACTCGCAGCAGTCAATCGTACGGAACGACGACGATCAACACAATGACCAATTTATATTATGCAAATTCGACGGCGAAACGTAATTTGCATGTACGTTTAAGATTTAGTCGCATACCAGCAAAATAAAAGCAGTTACCGTAGCCATAAGCCAGTTCTAGAAGAAACCGCGTGAAAATTCTGATGACAATTTCTCTTTTTCCTTTGGTTCATAGTAGATTTTCTCCAGGTTTCCTTACGCAACGATCCTGGTTAAAGAAAAAAGTGCAATTTTTCCTTGTCCCATTTTTTCGAAATTGTGATTAAAAGATAGGATGATTGAGGATTATTAATTGTATAAAGAGCACGTGGAAATGTACATGAATTTAATTGCAAATGATTAACAAAATGTGTATAGACTGTTACAGATTTGGAACATATTGAGATTTGAACATGTTTTTTTTTTATGTCTCTGTTATCGCAGTTATGTTTGTATCAGATATTAACAAAGCAAAGGTACATTTATATTTATTAGGTAATTATGTCGCATCACGTATTTACTTTCATCCAGCGCTAAGAAAAATTATATTTCATGTTCGGATTGCGATAACATTTTTATGATAAATTGTGTTTTCGTTGACTCATTTAACTCGTTATAATACTTGCCTATATATTTTGGTAATGTTTAAGGAAACAATGATGAAAAATATATAGAGCAAACCATTCCATTATATTTTTACTATGCTTGTTTTCAACTTAGTACCATATTTTTGGCAGTACTACTAAAAGATCAACGTTTTATATGTTGCTCTATAAGAAAATGGAATTAATGTTATTAAAATTATTCTTTTTTTTTTCGTAGATAACATTTCTTTCTATCTTTAAGATAAAAATATATTGTGGACACATACGTTGTGTGTTATCGATATATTTTTATGATAATTGAAATACAAGTAATTTTTTTTTAATCGTTTAGTTTTGGAAAATGAATGAATAAAGAATTGTTAACGAAAAATTAGCGCTAAGTTATATAAACCTTTTTACACCTCGGGGAAATACATGTAGGAGTACCTAGGTGAAATCGGTATCATAAAATTCTATTATGAAAGACTGGAATGAGAAGTTTAAAATCTATGAAATTATGCCTTTTACTATTATAGGTGCAATTAAATTTACCAATTGAAGATTATACATTTTTATCAATACCGACCGTGTATGTACACTATATTGAATACATAGTTGTTGATACTTGCATAGTAGAATGAAGAATTTATATTTGCATATAATTGAACTACGTACGAGATGAAAAATGGGTTGCTCAGAAATTATAAGTATACATAATATACTAATAATGTTATGAAATGTGAAGTTTTTATTGCGAAATTTCATGTGATAATGTACAAATCATTTATAAAATTTAAATATTAGCTTAAGCCATGAAAGACTTCTGCATATTGTAATGTTATTATTGTCATTAAATATTAATTGTATATAACAGAATGTTATGTAGTGTGAGTGATGTATAGTCTTTCAAAAGCTTAACCTGCTTCTTTCAATGATCACAAAACATAAAATTTACTTAATTTGATTTTTACAATATACAGACGTCTTTTATTTGAAATTTACATTGTGTACTCATAAGTCATAAAAAATATAAAGAATCAATGATGGGATGTTGTTTTTGTACAATATGTATCATATAATCACATAAACATTCATGTACTGTTAAATGTTTACTTCCATAAAAAAAATTTTAATTCCATTTTTTTTCTCTTTCCTATATTATTTCGTATTTATAATTTTTTGTTACTTTTATATTTGACTTAAGAAAAGGAAATATGATCATATTTACAATCTTTTGTATTATCCTAATGGATATCAATGTGATGCCCATTATGAAATTCATTTAAATTTATATAACTAGTCAATTAAAAAACTAATAATAATTTACTTCAATTAATTGTACAAAAACAAATAAATTAGCTTATTTTTAAGGCTGAAAGTTAATATCATAATTAAGAAATATACAAATTTATACTATTGATAGCCAAGTTGAACACTTGTTACAAACTAAGTATAAACATGTGTTATTTTCAGGAACTGATAGAAAACCAGGTGGTTCTCTACATATCTCAGAATGAGTATTTGCTGTTTTCTTTATAAGATATCCTAGATCTTTTAAGGTGATAATACCATTCAATATGAAGTCACAGGATGTACAAGTTATATGATTTTCTTTTTGAATGAGATTAGATGTCTGACATATAGGACAAATGACTTCATCACCTTCTGTATCTGCAATTAATGCTAATGACTCCATTTCTTCCTGTGACATTTTTTCATACTCTTCCAATATCCATTGTTCTGTAAGTAATAATCCACATAACATTTTTCAAACTTTCTGTTGGAGTAAATTTACCTTCTTCATTAAGTATTTCAGTTTCAAGCTCCATTGCTTCTTCAGTATTAAGTGGTTCACTGGTTATAGGAGAAAAAGGATTCAGAGTTGGATCTAAATCCGTGGTAACGAGATCGTTCAACTCTTTACGCACAATTTCGGATAACGTATCTTGAACTTCTTCCAAACTTGTTTCCAAACCAAATCTACCGTTGTTAAATAATTGTCTTCGTTTCTCGCGCATTCTTTGTCGACATCTCTGAAATTCATTTTGATTACACAAATAGTGAATCACATTGGAAAGTTTTGAAAATTTGAAAATAATGTTCGAGAGCTAACCTCTCTGAAGACTTCTTGAAACTTTGGCGATCCTTCCTTGATCTTTTTAGCAGCATTTTTGCTTTTCAATTTGGCAGTCATAGTAGGACTTAAAGTTATGTTTTCCATATCTTTTGTACACTTAAACATTTCTTAATTTATAGGAAAAGCAATAAAAGGCACTTGAAGAAAACACTTGGCGGTAAAAGTTCCGAGTTGTTTCGCTTGAATTCACTGCGCATGCACAGTGGGTTTCAAGTTCAAATCAATTTTTGTTCGTATCGAATATTTTTAACAGTATGTATTGGGGAAAAATGAATGGTAAGGGACGAATAACGAGAATGAAATTAAACGACAATGATTTATCATTTATTGTAATACCCAGTGACGAAAGTGTAATACAGCTTTATCGGCCAGGCATTCTATTCAGAATTGAGATCGTTTCCCGCTGAGGCTGATCAAAAAAATCACGTGCCAACGGTATATGAAATAATTATTACAATCAGAGCAAGGTGTCGCGTAATATAAAACAATGTACTTCTCGATTAGTTATTACAACATGTCATTTAAGTTATGCTAAAAAAAATATAACTCTTATTACCAGTGACAATAATTCGTCCATATAAGTAAAATATCTTTTGCAGTCACTTACACGACTAACAATAAATATACATCTAAATACATTATCTTAAACATTTACGTATACACACATATAAAGGATATTTCACAAATAACTTTGTCAGATAGTTCAACGATTCATGCATTGTTTCTTTTTAAAACAATAATTGAGATCTGCGAATATGCAACAGACGGATCTGTGTTAAAACTTTCTTCTTATTAAATTACTTTCACAACAATCCAACAAAGTTACTCGCTATTGAAATACCCTGTACATACACATATGCACAATTATATTACATATGTATGTATACATATACACGGTCACATTCTTATATATTATATATCTACTCCGTAACTACATTCGTGCCTCATAACAATACAAACAGTCGCAATTTCATTAATCAATTTGCTTTATATTACAGCATTGAATAATAATACACGAAGTTTCTTCTCGTCAGGACTAGTTCGATGGCAGATCTTCGACCGACTACAGTATTACCGGAACAGTCAAGGAACAATGATGGCACAACGATAAGTATAATTAATTACACTTTGATTAATCTAATTCTGTTCGTCCCTTACCGAGCCTTTGCATTCGTTTCAGGAAAATAAGAAAACGTGTCTCATCCTCGAGTGAAACGTAAGATTGGGTCGCGTCGCTTTTCTACATTATGTTCTTTAGCATAAGGTTTACTCCGCTAATCTTTCTATGAGTAACAATTGCAATAATTAATTGTAATAAGAAAAGCGACGGAGCGATTACTGATTAGAAAATTACATACGCCTTCTCTTAACCGAGATCTGTCAATAATTAATTATAAACACGTTTATAAGCGCACAATTGTCGCGAACGCGTCTTGAACTAACATTAATCTTTGTCATCGAGCTATCAGCGTGTTCACGTGATGAGCTAATTTATTATCATGTGGACAGTAACTTCCATTTGACGAAGTTCGTAGCAGCTATTCGGTAAAACAATCTCTATCGATAAATCTAACGCGGTGAACATCTGCAGCGACTTATTTATATACATATTTGTATTTACATTGTCTACAATGGCACAGCACTACAGCGATAACTGGGAAGTGTCTTTGTACCAACGTTCATTGAGAAATATTTATCATGTTCTCGCATACAAAATGGTATTATTAATTTTTTTTTTTTTATTATACTCGGTTACTTCCCTTTCTTGTTTTCTTATAAATGGTTGAAAATAACATATAGCACCGAAGGAACTTGAGCGCACCAACACGCGTTACTATATCTGATAGCTCTTGGCAATGATTAATTTAACTATAACAGTATACTTACAAGCTAATTAACCCTAACTATTAACGAATAGTTAATTATCAATTACTTTTTCGCGAGTAACGATGAGGTTCAGGTAACAATTTCAACGAATACTTCTTACTATACTAAGAACAGAGCGACTAGGTAAATGATTGTACATACACCAGAGCTTTCTGACTGATTGCTCAAACTCGATCGAAGATCAGCGAATATAATGATAAAATGTAAAACGAAAATCAATTGCGAATTACAGCTCTTTTCCTAGGAAATCTCTTTAGAATCTTGGTTTAAATCTAGGAACTAAACTGCTCGTCCCGATGGCTACTATATCAAAAATTTTGATCGTGCTCGATCACATTGTAAACGATTACTACTGTATCAATGTTAGAAAAAAAAGGAAAAGCTTTGATAAATCAATCTCATTTGAAACACAAAAAGTCCTCGTACGTTCAAACCACGGAGGATAAGTCTATCACCATAATTGCACGCTTTATACAATGGATTTACAGGTAAATATGTACATAGAGAGAAAGAGATTGAGGGGATATAAAAGGTGGAGTAACAAAGTAGAATTATCTCTTCTTTTTTAGATTGTTGATTGAGCACGTATCCGGTCGAAATATACGAGGACTTGTGTTTGAAGTATCCTCGTACATCAGGATGATTATGATGGCAACTACTGCCGGGATTCGAAGAACGACCGGCAGCGTGCAAATCGTCAGAGTTTCTCCGGTGCGGTGGATCTGATGTTCGACGTTGGCTGCGATGAAATTGAAGGCCCGACACTCGTTGATCGTTCCAATGGATACATCATCTTGCTCGGGATGGGCTGAGATATCGCTCGTTTTGCCAGCCTAAAAGAGCTATCATCCATTTTCATTAGTACACAAGTAAAACAGAATCTTTTTTTCAATTGAAATCAGTTATCTGACCAGCGACCCTCAATAACAGTTAACTATAAAATTTGACTAAAATGCTAGAACTAAAGTACACATATATTATGACGAAAGATTATTTGGACGTTGTTAAACATACTGCACTGATCGTTAAAAATAGATCGCCAGTCGTGGAAGCAGATGAAGAAGATGGATTAGCAGCGTGGTAGAACTAGCAGTGTGTTTAGATGTTCATACTGAAAGCGTGATATAAAATAGAACATTTCCATGAGTAAAGAAGCATCAGTGAGTGATCGAATGACGATGAAGACGAACAGCTGTCCAGTCTGCAATGACAGCGATAGAGAGAGTTGATTATTAATCATTCATTCATTTGTCTAAACGTATCTTTCATTGTGGATATTAATTTCTTTGATTAATCATCTTAAAATTCATCATAATCATCCACAATGGTAGATGTGTTAATAAATGATAGAACAAATTATGAGATAGAATGAATCAACTCAGTTTAATCTTGAGATTAAAACCAAGTGATCTATGTTAACCAACACTTTATCAACAGGAAGAGTATTGAATAGACTTTTCAAATTTTAATTTAGTACTGAAATCAGGATAATCAAGTGAAAGCTGTTCAATATTTTCCTGGTTGAATATACACCGTATGTCCGTGAGTTGTGGTATCATTGAAACGGCATTCACATGTATAATAATCGTGCATCGTGTCAGAACTTTTATACTATAATAACATGTTCGATCGTGCTGTTAATCAAGCAGTATCTCAGCCTGATCTACCAGCGAACGGAAATACACGAGAAGTTGAAACACGTCAAGTGTTTTCAGTCTAATTAGAATTAAAAACGAGACGATTAATTCTTTTTCCTAACAATTCAAATGAAAATAGAAATATCTCGTTAATTAATAGAATCGAATATTCCGTGCGCCATCCCTGGTGGATCTAGCTAAATATCATCTCTGTAACACAAACATTCACCTAACAGATTTCAAGCGAGAAGGGACTCTAGTTCTTTTTACCTTGGTCGCTAAAGTGAGATCAGACCATATCAGGAGGTAACGAAAAAACTTTTTAGTCTCTGTACATCTAGACACTCATTGGTGATTTAACCACAAATTCTGGACATGTGTATGTACGGCTGATAGACAAAACATTAAGTTTGAGCGTAGAATCGTTGCGGCTCTCGCCGAAACGAGATATCAACTATGCTGCGTAACGTATCTTCATAATAGGTACCTGTAATTAAGAAACTGATAAGCTTTAGATAATCGTTCAACCCTTTTACTCGATAGTAGTACAATTATTGAAACAAATTAATGTTTCAATATTGAGAAAAAATTGATTTGTTGCTTCGTTGAACAGAAGAATATTATTAAATTGAAATCTTTTCTTGCAAACCTAACAAATTTCTCAATTTCAGTTTAAAATTAATGAAGAAGAAAATTCAGTCAGGGTGTTAGCAACATTTTTCTTAAACTATTCAATATATGTACCTTGTTCTCGTGGATTACGATCATTTGACAGAGAAATCTGTTTTTTTTTTTGTTTTTCTTTTTTAAATTAAACATTGATGAATGCGATTTAATATGGAAGAATTATCGCACTTGATCGATCACTTCTGAAACAACTATTTTTCGCATGAAAACTTTATACTGATCACAATACGGCGAGCTATAAAAATACAGTATTATCTATGTACAGACAATAGTATGTTTATTACTGTCCAAGGCTTACGCCCATACCGAGGTATCTTCTTTCTAAGGAACAACATTTATCCACCATTCTGCAGCAATCAAAACATCTGAACGTCGAGGATAGCAAGGGGATCGAGAAGAATTTATTACCTTAAAAAATTCCCACATCACGACCAGATGTAAGCGATATCGAACACAATATAATCACATCGAACAGATTGTGCTAGAGTGAAATAGATAAGCTCACCTTCTCCGTCGTAGAGAAGCATTTTGCCCGGGTAAACCAAACTGACCTCTTGGTATCACCATACGGGCATTGCCCTGGGCTGGTCTCGAGCCTCCATGAGCTTGCAGACTCGTTAAATGAGCAGCGTAACCATCGTGAAGAATCGTTGCCAAAGTGTGAAGTTTCTTTGGAACTTTTCCAATGATGAAGATTTGATTTGCCCTAAGATTAATCGCAGTGTAAACGCTAATGTCTTTACTACTGCCGTAAGCATGATGAATAATCACACCGTGTTCCTGAAGGAAAGGATATATTGTTCGACTAGTTATATCAAAAAGAATTTATGTATGTTTTTAAATAGATTCGTTTACCTCTACAAGTTTATTTAAGTACGCAGCTTTGTGACCAAGCGGGTCTGTCGAAAGACCATCCGCAAAGGATACAAGACCATGGGGAAAGTTATGTTGAGACAACCAGGAAACAACTTTCTGTTGTTGCATGTCAGGCCTCGCGGTGATATAAATAATTAAGTAACCAAGTTCTTGCCAGTGTCTGGTAGAAAAATGAAAAATAAAAATATTGTGGATTGATATAGAATCCTAATCGGTCTTTAAACTATACCTGACGACGTCAACAGCCCCAGCTCTAACTTTTGGATCCTTCCCACTAACAGACACACTCGCGGTAAACGAACCATCTATACTAAACACGATACACTCTGTTTTTGGTGGAATCACAGCCAAGAAGAAGTCTACAGATGTATGGTCACCTCTGAAAGTAGAAAAATTATATCCTTTTAATCATGAATTACTATAGTATGATTAATGAAAAAGCGTTAGTATTACCTAACGATCATTTTAACTGGATACAGTCCATAACTTAAGGCTTTATCGCTCGGTATTTTATACGTTACTCTACCATTCTTATCAGTTATTTCAGTTGATAAATACGTCCATTCTCCAGCAGGTGTATTTTTTATAATGTGAATGTCTATTTTCTCGCCTGCTAAAGTGAAAACGTCGAACGGACCGTACATAAACCTAGCAACCAGCACTTGCGGTGCTCCTTCTCTAACAATTATGTCGTTTGCTCTATGATTGGCAGCGACATTTTTAAGTTTAACGGAAGTTCGTTTCTTATTCCATTTTTCTCTAGGTTGACCTGGACGGAAACACGTTAGATCTTTTTCCTCGTTTGAGAGTAACGGCAAATCGAATCGGCCTAATTGCCTTAGGATAAATGCAATAACGTCGGATGACTCCCAGTAACTAGCGTGGAAAACATGTGGCAAAGCGTTCGTAGGGAAATTTGCTAAACCCTCTGGACAATAGAGAGCGTAATCTAATCTCTTTGTACCCCACCACCTTTGCTGTACTGTAAACAAATACGATCCAAAATTAAAAAATAAAATAGCAATTAATTTTACAAGCAGATATTAGATACGAATACAAATACATATACTTACAATTAGACACTAATTGTAAAGGAACATTTTCAATCATCCCAGACATTGTACTATGAATAGATATATCGGACAGTCGCCTTAAATGAGACGCTGGCGTACTTAAAGTCTCCGTGAATAACTGTGTATTCGATTGGATTGTTTCCACTGGAAGTATTAAATGATTTACCTCTCTGTGTTTCACGAGTGAACTTCAATCTTGAGTGAAAAATACATACGTAAATGATAAGGCTGACCATTCCCTAACGGATACTTTTGATACCGAGCCACGTTCACAGGTGGAAGAAGAGAGAACTTAGCAGATATCAATGGTTCTAATCTAGCAGCTACCGGATCAGTGGGATGGAATAAATTGTACAACTGATTCACCAGTGGCCTTTTTATGTTGCTAGTTTTATCACTGCCAGATGATACCTTCCTATACGCTAGAACTAGAGCAAGTGGGCTACCAAACATAAAAAATTCTCCCACTTCAAAATCCAGCTTGCAGTGTGACACATCACTGAAAAGAAAATCGAATATTGAACTTCTATGTTCTTTTAACAATTATAATGAATTAATGTTAATTCTTTACCTTATACTAGAAGATTTCCTTCTAGGAGAAGGTGCAGTCAAGTGTCTACCATCTTCAGGATTATTTTCAACCCCTTGATTATCCAAAATATTGTTCTCGCTGTTATGCCTAGAATGCGTAGATCTACATAAAGCGTCGTACGTTAGAATCGCTCCTACTGAGTCTCCTATTAAACAAATCTGCCCAGTGAAGCCACGGCCCTCTTCGCTCTTCATGAACTCGTGATATACTTGATTAGCTCCTACTATGACTCGCGAGACTGCATCCTGGTATTCAGGAGTAGAACTAGCAAGTAATGGTATTGCACCAATTGGAATGGTATCGTGGGTCACTTGAGGCGCATCCATGGAAGAGGGTGACACGTCAAAGCTGTATGGACTTAAACTAAAAGAAAACACATTGAGAGACAAGAATGAAAAGATTAGTTTCTTCGTCTAATCATCTTATGTTTACCTTGATAAAATACCAAGACCCTCCGTACAGATAGAAGGACAGGAAACAAACTTAACGGCAACATGACCAACCATGCTGGGATAATGTTGCCTCATCACTGATTCAAAGGCTCCTTTAAACGTTGTAATGTCCGATTTCTTTGCTGTTAAATCCACATTCGCGTCTGAAACATTTGAATATAATATTTTTTTAAAACTATCAAGCAATGTAAAAATATAATTTCATTCACTGTTTATATAAAATTACCTAAAACACTACCAGCGTGCATGACAATAATAAGTACTGTTGTTTTACAGGGTTGATGGGTGGGAGAATGTTGAGGGGAGGCTGGACACGAGACATCAATGCTCGCCGAAGCGGAGATCTGCAATCTTTTACTGCTACGTTCACTGGCCATACGTTGTAGATAGGAAGGTGAGAATATCGTATCATCTGGAAACACATGAAACAACACTGAGCACCATTAAAGATAAGTGCAAACATTTGGATTACTAATCATCGTTTACCTTCTTTATTTGCGCTGCTAGACGAAGTGAACGTATTGTCCTCCTCTTCTGCTAGAAGATCCAAAGAACTCCATTTAGCTAATGAAGTGTTATCTCCAAAGTCCTCTGTATAATCAGAAATTTTAACGTTGCTTATGCATCGTGCCTTTTGAAGCATTTGTGACACGTGTTAAGGCAGGAAATATAGAAACAAGAATTCAGGGTGCTCGTCCCCCAATATCGTACAAGAAAAATAGTATTTCATTTGTTAATGTATCAAAGAAAAGCAGCTTATTTCATCTTTAGTCTACATAGCCATGCTGCTTCGTGCTATGTATTAATGTTAATGTTTGGAATGTAACTAACTTATTGGTATGTGTATAATGTTGTTAGTCGTCTACAAAGGCATGAATGCAATTGCAAAATGTTCCTAATTTTATGCAAGTGATACTAACATCAGTATTAATGTTGGTCTTTCTATCCTTCGAATCTATCTTCCAACAAACGTGTTATAATGTTGGTAGTTCTAACAACTCTATCTACGTGTCCTACCTTTGCGTATAATAGGTATAACGAACCCGGCTGCAGTGTGGAATGCGACATAAAAAACAGAGAGGGCACACATAAAGATAAAACAGAAGATCGTTAATACGAGCTCATGCTGTACGTATTTGCAGAGAAATTACGAATATTCTTAGGACACAGGATCGTTCGGTTTCTTAGAGAATTACACCAAGAAGAGCAGTGTCCAAGAAATTCGTCAAAGCATCAGAGTCATGTTAGTTTCACGTGTACGAAATACTTGAAAGAATCGGTTACATGCTTCGACCGATAAGTCAGTTTCTTTTACCTTGGCAATCGAAAAACTCGTCTTCGCTACCAGATTCCGATTCTCTCACGATACTTTCCATACGCCAGTTTGCTATTTGCATATCAAAGCTTTTGTTCGAACACGGTGAATTCATTACCCCTTTGTTCTTCTTCCACGCTTTTTTAGAGTCACCTTTATCCTCAGCAGAAGCGTTTCTGAAACAAAGTGCAACGTCGTTGAACGAACCATGCATCACCAGCCTTAACGACACACAATAAATAAACAAATTCATGATTTTACTTCTCTTTTTACCTAAGCTCGGGTACTTCAGTGGGCGAGTCTTCGGGGCTGGGTTCACCTTCGGAACTAACCGTAGTATTAGACATGGGTATATCCGACGATTTTCTAACGCTAGGTGGACTTTGGGGATCCTCGTTCTTCTCGATGCTACCAAGCGTGGCAGCCAAAGTCATAGCAACATCTGACTCTTGAGGAGTATTAGACGTATTCTTCTCCTGATTTTCATTCGCAGATTCCTCGCCACCTTCTGCATTTGCCATTCTCCTTTGCAATGCCAATTGTGTTTGTCGTTCAATCTCTCGGATGTCCTCCATGGTCAAACCGTTCCATTCGTCCTGCCAGGCCCATGCTTGTCTGTGCGCTCGCACCATAGTTTTCCGCAAGGCTGGAAACAGTCAATGATTGTAGTTTATGTATCATAAATGATGCACAGTGAATTCTATGGAATCAGAAGCAAATAAATGTTGGCTATGTGCAGTACTAACCTATGTCGTGTATGAACTTTTCTAATTTTGTTTGCACGCCCCAATAACGGAATTCTACGCGGCATAACTTGTACGCGCACATTAACGACTTCCCGGATGCCGTCGGCTGTTGCTTTCCCTAAACGAAAGCGAAATAGTTCTAGTGTATCCGACTACTCGAAGCTTTAACAAGGGAACACCCTTACTCAAGATTTAAATAAAATTTTGTGGATTTATGAAATGATCCATGGTAAAAGGACATAGGACCGTTCGGTTTCTTAGAGAATTACACCAAGAAGAGTAGTGTCTAAGAAATTCGTCAAAGCACCCTTGTTTTGTAGATACCATTATTTTAGTTTTAGATCCCTTTATCAATCCATGTAGTTTCAATTAAGAAAGGGTATTTCCTTGAAAGTGAAAGAACGCAAAACTTATACTTTAACATCAGCCCAGTATTCCTCCAGCCAGGACTCGGTGAGGGGTCCTCGACCAGTTTTCTGGGACACGTACGTTTTAGGATCTTCTTCTTTGACATAGTCGCACTGATCCTTGACAATGTCGATTACATCTAAACATTTGATGATTTCAGTAATCTGGTAATCTTTCATTTTGAAATAAATAAATAAATAAATTTGAATAATACACATTATACACGTACCAACGATTCTGTTTCTCAGGTCGCTACCACTGAGTTTGAAAACATTCTCTTGATAGCCATTGTCAGGGAAATAGTAGGTTTCTATTTCGATGGAGAATTTTTCAACGAAAGGACAGGTGTAACGGGTCTTCGTATAGGGATAAGAGTTCCATGCTTCTTCTTTGGCGATCAACGCGGATCTTGGTAACAAACTTTTGAACCATTCTGGAAGGTGACTACCCACGTGGTAGATCTTATGGGTGTATTGTCCATTTCCACCTGGACCATTGCTGTAAGGCTCGTTTACTATGATTTCTACACCGCTGCCTGCTCCTTGACTCTCTTCCCGAGATTTTTTCTGGAAAAAATAACGCACTGGGTTAATAAACTATTGGCGATGGGTTCCTATGAAAATTCAAAGTCCACCCGCATATGGATAATCAGGGCCGGCCCTGAGATCTGCCTAGGCCCAGAGCCGGCCCTGATTGCATGCTTCTGATAGTAACAAGATAATTACCGCTATCATATAAAGCTGAGCAATCCTGTATTCCTCGACGGTGAGAGGCAGCGGTATTCGATATTCTTTTATCAACATTTTGCCGCTATTATTTATCTTCTGTTTGCACTAGTAATGAATACTGCTCGATCAAAGGTTCTTATTTCTTTTTTATTATTCAGCTTCATGGTAACATAAGTGTGAACCTGGAAAACAAAAATTATTTTATTTTTAATTCGAACGTTATTCAAAATGAAGGGTTTCATAATCCAATGTTCCTCGAAAGTGCCGATCGATATCTTTCGAGTTACGATATATCGAGAGCCGATCGAATTTCGACTTGCATACCTTATCGATAAATCGTATTAACAAGTAGCAACTTATAACCATTTTTTTCCGAGTTTTTGTTCGTTATAATGACGCATTATTAAAAAAAAATGTTTAATATATCCACGTGTAATTTCCTCGAGGCCTACGTAAGTATCGATGCGTTATTTTTTTTCGCCTATAATTGAAGCACGTCAAATGCTGAATCGTTTGAGCTTGTACCACACGTTTGCACGCAAATCCTTGCTTGGTCTGCTAAAAAATTCTACGCTTACAAACCTACAAGGTCTATTAAGTAGATATTCTTCATAAAAGATATTTTAACAGTATTTTTTTCTTTTTTTTTAGACGACATGAATATTTATTGGCAATTACGTAGATACCAGATTTTCTACGCATTTACAAGCAGCTCGTGAGCTACGTATGCTAATGGAAGGGTCCAATGAAAACCAGATACGAATTTGCTGAGCTCGGAAGGAGCAATAAACAGAACGTTACGCAAGATACGAATTTATACTCACCTGTAATGTGGTTAAACATATGCACTACAAATAACTGTTTTTAGCGGGAAAGTTTAGATTATTTAAATTATAAACATTTGAACTCGTTTCAGATAAACAGTCTACCAATAATAGATCTCTAAATGTGTATGTATTCTAATTTTAGAGCAGACAGATGGAACAATTATTTATTCAAAGTATACCATCGCAATTTCACTGTCTTTGAAAATAACTTATTTTGAATGCAAGTTCTGATTGACCTCTCAGTATCAGCCAATTATAATTGCCAAAACTGAGCTATCAAATGTGATTAATTGACATCCGTCACGTCTCTGATCACAAGCCATTAATACACTGGGTGTATCCTATCGACGTACTTACAGGTAAAGGGTTTCCTTAGTCACGAGCATCACGGAAATAGGGTTAGATTGATAGACACGTACTCGTCTTACTAATGCACTATACTTTTCGCGCCACACCTTAGGTCCGAGGAGATAAATCGCGGGAAGCCGCGATAGGTTATACGAGCACCACAATCCCTGGAAAACACCGGTAAACAACCAGCTCTCTAATTGACGAATATCAAAACGCGTATACTGTACGCGTCTAGAATATTTCTCAGATGAGTAATTAAAATGCTTGGGACATCGAGTAGAGGAATATCGTGGCACAGTTTCTTTCACTAAATAAACGTTTTAGTTATAATTTCTATTCACTGTCACATCGTGTGAGTATCAAACAAAGGCATGGTACACGCTTGCAAAAGAACGCTTGTTTCTTTTTACAGGTGAACTAGAAAACTCGACGATTAATGAATGAAATTGTAGAATGTAAAATAATATTTGTAATTGCTTTGCAGAAATTGGCAGGGATGCGAGTTGGAAAGTAAAAATGTGATGAAGAATTTATTAAAGATTTTGAGCTACAAAAAACAGTCACGATGTTGCGTGGACAACGCGCGGCCACTGACTGACGGACCGGAGGCACCGGAGGTGGCTGCGATTGGCGGGCCCGTTGACACGCGCGGCTCTTCGAACCCGCGAAATCGAGCTAGACCAATCGGAGCAACCCCTACCGCCCCCGCGACCCGGTCATCCGGATACAGTGCTGTAAAACAGAGGTGCACCATCCGGTTCCCTTGGAACTCACCATTAACACGTGCACCCTATGCAACGTGCCATTATATTCCTATTTAAATTTTTAATTTACATAATTTTTAAAATTTATTAATTTAAATTTTAATGTTTAAAAATACTTATATAATTATTATTTCAAATATATCCCTTTTATGTTAAAAAAGTTTGCTAGAGTGATGGTTCCCTTGGAATGCACCAGACGCCTTTAATGTGTGCACCTACCCACTTTAGGTAACATGACAGTATTAATATTTTAATATGCATCTATACTTCCCAGTACACTTTCATTATACTAAATGTATATTTAAATAATTTTTCATGACAATAAACAGGTAAGGAGATGATAAAAATGTACGTACAGGAAGTGGATTAAAAAGGAACTAAATGTAAATTTAAAATGACCTGGAATTGCCGAGGATTAGGCACACGAGAATTATTCAAGGTAATTTTTAAATGTTTCTGATGCTGATTGATTTGAAATGCTAAACTGTATCCGTCACTGGCTGGACAGCCACCTCCGCCGCCTCCACCGCCTCCCTGGCCTATTGATCGACCCCCAAGCTGGCAAGAAAACGCGAGACCAGATGCGCCATAACAGCCACCAAGTTCTCGTGGAGGCGAGACGTTCACTGAAACGTTCACCAGGAGGGTTGCATTCCTCGGGGGTGTCTAAATGAGACTTATAGCGATGGTCCAGGTGGAAATGGACGATACGCCCACAAGATTTATCACGTGGGCAGTCGCCTTTCAAAATAGTTGAGGGAAGTTTAAGTTCAAGGAAGATGTTTAAAAACGTTTCATTGTATTAATCATTGTGTAGACCAACGGATAGTTAGATATGAAACATAATACTTGATTAGACTTGGTCCTCTTTTTCTGAATAATTGAAGACCAAAGCCACCGGCAATTTTAGAGCAGCACGGGGCTTGTTTACTCTTATAAGACACCTCTTTCCAAGAAATTACTTTTCTACGGGCTAAAGAGAAAAAAGATAGTCTGGGGACAGGAAGATAGGTAATTGGAGGTGCGGATTAAAAATAACAGAGAGAATCAGCACTTGTGGGAAATTGTAATCAATACTGATAATCAATACTGCTGTAACTAATTGGAGTTACAGTGGGAAATGTAGACTTGGTAGTTAGATAATTATAGCTTAGTCATGATTACAGTACAAAGTAAGGTTGTCCTTGACCACGATTAAAACTGCTGATAAAATAATGACAATAAAAAAATAAAATAAACAGATAGTGTTAGAAAGGACAGCGAGGACCACGATTAAAACTGCTGATGAAATAATGACAATAAAAAAATAATTAATTTTTAATTTTATTAAAAAAGATATTTTAAAATTTAATAGATCCGTCTCCATTGTCTCCTCTAGATCCATCACTGATCCTGATTCTTGACTGAATGTACAGAGGACGTATCACAGATGCAATTATATTGAAACTAATAGAGTTAACTAGTCTCTGGCCTATCGAACATTTCCACGCAAGATTGACGAAGAAAATTGACCCCTGACATTAGTCGAGAACTTGCTGGCTGAAACGATTCCTCAATATTGTAAATCAACTGATTCCGCAAGGTACACGTGTTCAGAGCCAACGAGTTTGGCCTATTTAAGAATAAAATTCGTCTATCAAAAAATAGATAGAGATTGGGGAAGATCAGTAACGTTTTACCTACGGCTTGGCATAAAAGCGTGACGAATCGCTTGATGGACGGTAAAAAACCATTCTCTTTTGTGGAATCAACGATGTGTATGAGACATTTTATGAATAAGCGTGCACGATTTGATTTCTGCAAAAGTGAAAAGCGTCAAAGAGAAATGCACCTTCGAACAGCATCCACTCGGTAACCTTTGGATGGTTTTAATGCACTTTAACGATAAAAAGACTGCACTTTAATTTCACTTGAACTTCTCGTAACTGAGGTACTGATTTTTCGAATATTTCAAATCATCTATTTTTTTTAAATAAAAAAGAATTAATCATTTTTATCTCTTCTGAAATACGTTTAACTGATTGTTTCACATTGCCAGATAGAAAAGTCGTCAGGGAGAGTTACCCTCCTACCTGGACAATTTATATTTCCTTCTAAAAGAAGGAATGATAAATGATAAAGGAATAAAACGGTGTCATAGTTTGGCTGGATTAAAACGATATCGGCTTCCATCAAAGTAATGGAAACATCGCCCCACAAAGAGAAGTAAGTTGGACAGAGATAAACGAACTCACGTATGTATGTACGTATATTTCATTCTCAGATGGTCAGGGTACACGTCGAATGACGTCAAAACATTCTGTGCCAACCTGTCGGCACAATATGCACATGTACAGTGACGTAAGCAAAAGATTTCTTCAGACAATCAAAGGAAGGGGCCAAAGAATGTGCTTAGTAGACTATCCAACGTTGACCTTCTATTTTAGGACAGAAACCACGATGGACATTGAGCGGGAGCAATGTACAGTCAACTGAAGTTTTCTTTGATTAACAGAAAGTGGAGGAGAAGGAGTTTTGATCATCTAGATTTTTTGTATGGGAGGATGGGAGGTCCTAGGTTCTACTTAAGCTCCTCCAAGGTTCTTCCTAGATTTTCTCTAGGACCTAGATTCTCTTTAGGATCTCCAAATGTCTCCCTTGGTTCTCCCAAAGCCAAAACTTAATGGTGATTCCTCCTATCTTACCTAACGTCGTTTTAAAATCCACCTTTGGCGCAGCTCATAAAAACCGTGACTTTATTACAAACATCTGGATATCTTCTGAAGACATCATTAGGGAATAAAGGTGGTAAAAAAGAGACAAGCTCTCAAAGCTTGAGGTGATCCCAATTGTAACTTTGATGTTTTTTCTAGCATTCTACTGCGATAAATTTTACTAATCCATAAAAAATGAAAAAAAGATTTCGAAGAGAATTAGGAGGAGTTTTCGAGGAGATATTTCGAAAGATTTTTACGCTAGTTCTAATATTGAGACTATAAATCTAGAATGAAACGAGGATATAAAGATCGAATGCGGTCAAGCAGTAATAATCATTGGATTATTTTCATTGGTTCGCCGGATACAAGGCATCCGGTTCTCAAATAGCGTGAATAATGTTGGGAATATAGCGATCAACTTTCCTCAGAAAATTTATGTAGGAAATATAATTTGTAATTTAGAAAAATCTCCAGGTAATTGATACTATTAAAATACTGTTAAAATACAATTTTTACTTTATAAATTGCAAAAACGTTAAAGCATTCGTTAATTAATTTTATTTTCATTCTCGAGGCAATTTCCAGCGATATAAATTGATGTAACGTAAAAAGTAATCTTATTTCATCGTTTCTGTTCAATGTATCGGTTAATTTTCTTTTTCTTTCTTTTGTTCAGTCTTCCTCGCCGCATTCGGGTCTTCCACTTCGTATCCGTGAGGAGATATTGGATTTTTCACGGGATTGTGGAACAAGGAGTGCTTGCCATCGCCCCATGGGAAAAGCTATCGAAGGAAAAATATTTATAAATTATTTATAGGAAAAGGTCTCGTGGTTCACAGCTTGCTATGCCTATAAAATAACCAACGTTGCTTCGATTAACCGAACAATATCAAATTTCTGTGGTGAAGGCGGACGATTCGTACGACTTCGTTAATCGATTACTCCACAAATGGATTACCGCTCTGAGATGCACGGTACGAAGAGGCTCGTTAAGTATAAGAATCAGTACAAAATTCGCGTAGTTACGCAAAACAAAAATAACGCGTATAATCAATTCTTCCACTAATTACAGTTCCACGATCAAGAGAAAAATTGTACGAAGAACATTGATAGGAAGAAAAATAGAAGATATATTAAATATTAACACGTAAGATTAATTAGAAGAACACCTTGACTATTTTACGCATCCACGGGACGTCTTCGAATTCGGGCCTCGGTTCTTTCTTCTTTTCCAATTCTTCTGTGTAAGTGTAGATCGACATGATTATCAATATTGGCATGGCGACGAAACACGCTAACGATCGCCAGAATTTTTCCTTGTGCGGATCTGTATTGACAAAACCACACACTTTATCATTAATCATCAGACCAACGAAGCTGCTAAAGAATTTCGCGGTTTTTTGATCGCTTAAAATAGAAATATTTGAATTTCTTTACTGTTTAAATAATATTACATTATAGACATTGCTTCATATTTTGTCTCGTAACAATGGAATAGATAAGATTTTTATTTAAAGAACAACAACGTAACTTTAATTACTGATAACGTCCGACTTATTCTTATCGATGATATTGTCCATCGAAAAGAAACTGATTTCCTATTTTACTTCATTTCTATAATCTACAGAGCTATAGAAAGGGTTACCTTTCTCACGACAATAATCTTCGATGTTAGGACAAGGAGGTGTCGTGCAAACAGGTGAAGGATCCTCGGGCAACGGTTTGCATGGTCTCGAAGAGTCAGGACACTCGTTCGAGGAGGTTTTCACATCACAAGAATCAGATTTTGTTTCAGAACAGATATCCTCGAAAAGTTCTTGCTTTTCTTGTTCAGGACATTCTTCTGACTTTGATTCTTTTTTGCAGGAGGAGTAACCGCGGACATTCTCGTAACAGGGAATAATCATTTGAGAAGAATTTTTTCTCTTCCCTAATTTTTCACGCTTATAAAATGGATCGTCTATGGAAGAATGAAATTTCAACGCCGAATTTGATAACATCCTTGTGGACGAACAGAAATATCTTGCTGAAGGACGGGGCTCTTTGGAGAACATCCAACTATGGTAAATCTTGGCCAAAGGGTACTGTGAAACAATCGACGATCTTTTGTCGAACAGGAAAGTCTTTTGAACGTTGTTCTTTCTTTCAGCAGAATGTTCATGTATCTTCAGGGATAATGTATTCTTTCCTGAAACGAACTTTGGAATCACATCAATCTGTTTAACAAGCAGGCTGAAGAAATAGTAGATAATTTAATGGACAACGTAAGAAAGAAGTTAAGCGCAAGGAATGGTTCATAGTAAGAAGAGGATAATATAAGAAACTAAGTGAGAATTAATGCAAATGAATTCCACCGTGCGTCGCCGACTATCTGAACGGATCCTTGGTATTTATAAGGGAGACTCTTATCAAAACTCGATACGTTACTTTCTTTCTATCAGACCAGCAATTGAATTCACAACCTTCTTAAATAATAAATTATTAATTAATGTAACATTTTGATTTGAATTATTTTTATAACTTATAAAATTTTAATTCTCATATTTATATAAAATTTTTTAATTTTCTTAAAATGGCGAAAGATTTTTAATTCAAGCGTG